ACGTAATTGTATGATTGAATGAAATAGAAATTACTTCATTAGGAAATAGAAATTATTTTATACTTTTTAGTGCATTTCGAAATCGGCGTATTTTTTTTCTTAAAATTATTTTATTATCATTTACGGAGTGAATACTGTCCTAATCCAACATGAGGTAATCTAAAGTATAATAATCCAACTTGTAGTAATTTAACGAGTAGTAATCTAACGTGTGGTAATCTAACGCGCTGTCGTATAGCATGTAATAATATAAGGCGCCGTGATTCAATGTGTGGTAATCTGATGCGTAGTAATACAAAGCGTAGTAATCTAACGCACAGTTATCCAACCCGTAGCTATGAAACGCATAACAGAGCACACTAATTTAATGCAAGATAATTCAACGCACACTGATTCAACACAAACTTCATGCAATATACGTGCAATTATATGTACATCAAAGCGTGTTCGTATGTTTTACAGGTTCTTAGAGCTTACAGAGAAAACACTTCGATACATATCCCTGGTGGAATTCCTGGGGTGTACAGTGGAGTTGTGTTTGCTTGGTTATTGCGTTCTCATGGTACGCACAAAAGACGTATTCAATCGGTTTTCAATAGATATGAAAAGGGATTTTTCATACATTTTTAGGAATGGAATTCGAACGATAGGATAAGCTCTGCGACTTACGCCGTTCTTTTTGTGTCTTTCACCTGCAATATATTCATATATTGTTACATAGGAGAACTTGTTGCCGAGGGGGTATTGTTCACATCGTCTGTTTGTTAATGTATTCCACATAAATGATCTTGAATAATTATGCATAAAGATTAGCACAATTTTTTTATATTCTCGTTAAAAGCACATAATTTTATTGAAATAATTTTAAACATTTTGGAGTAAAATATAAGCACTTTTGTCTTGATTGTATATGAAGAAATATATCTCCATTTTAAGAATTAAAAGTATTTGTTATAATAGTGTAGAAAAATTGCTGAGATATCGTACATGATTGACTGGCATCGATTACTAGGCAAGAGGAAACTCAGCATGATTTTGATCATGCAAATGTCGCATTCAACGATTAAACTAACAGCAGGGAACATCGCGGTATTATCTTACAGAAAGTTCGGTGATGTAAGTATTAAACGGAATTATTCTCATGAATTTAATTATTAATTAATATATTTTAGGTCGTTAAAAGTGCGTTCGCCTTTCTGAATGTACTACGAACGGTCACTTGAAACAATATGCAGTTGGAGGACATGTTGGTAGAAGTAACGGGTCATGCTAGCATCGTTAATTTCTAGAAACATAATAAAAATTGTTCTTCAAATCGGATGCTCATCTCATATGCAGAAGTATAGAATTTATTATAGAATTCACGTGTAAGTTCATCAATGTACACTGTGGATTGTAGTACGAAATAAAGTGTTAATATTGTACACTGGTACGTTCACATTTTCTGGCGACATCACTCGTACGTAGACATGTGACTAATTCACACCACTAACTCTTCAGAAATTGAAACACTATACTACTTAGTAAATTATATGCAAAATTTATCGAATTCAAAAATATAGAATGTAAACAATTCATTGCCATGATTACTTTTCATCGAAAGTAATAAAAACATAGGAGACTGGCGACAAACTCCTGACGAACAAAATGTACACATTATAATTACACAGAAATTAACCGGGCAATACCATACAGTACGTAAGATAATCGCTTGAAAGTAACAACTTGAAGAGTGGACGCTCGCTGATGTTTGAAAATCAATTTATCGATGCACCGTCATCATTCTACCCCCGCACTAATAATGCATCGTGCAAAGTAGAAGGGTTCGACCCTTCGAAAAAGTAGAAAATGATGGTTTAAATTCTTCATCGGAAATTAGCGCAAGCGCAATAATGATTTTCGAGAGAGAATCTAGTCGCGTTCGCTCAGTATCGAGCAATCAACGATGGAAAAAGCAACAGCGAAAAGCAGAGCAGGATTACCTGAGCAGGATTACCTGAGAAACGTGGATCTAAGCGTTGGGCTGAATCGTTGGATACTGAAACCAATAGCCGCGTGGCCGGAATCGAGCACTGTTTCGCCGATGAAGAAGTACCTCAGTTGGTTCGTTCACGTCGTCTGTTATTTGCTAGTGAGTTTCCTCTTCGTCCCTTGCTTGATCTTCCTGATCCTCGAAGTGAACGGCACCTACAACAGGATTAAGTTGTTCGGGCCCCTTAGCTTTCTCCTCATGTCGTACGCGAAGTACTACTTACTGCTGCTGCACAAGAATGACATCCTGAAGTGCATGAAACAGATCGAGTGGGATTGGAAGAACATGAAGCACCTGGAGGAGAAGAGGATCATGATGGCGAACGCGAACTATGCGCGTAGGATAGTGATCGTTTGTACGTTCTTCATGTACAGTTCTTACATGTTCTTCTACATCGCTGTGCCAATCACCGTGGGGAGGATCCCGGCGCAGGACGGGAATTTCACCTTCATCTTACTGCCGTTTCCTTCCTCGATGCGGATCACCGACTACAGACAGAGCCCCGTCAACGAAATCTTCTACTTCCTTCAGTGTCTGGCAGGCATTTTGCTGCGTATCATCACGGCCGGGGCTTGTAGTTTGGCGGCGACCTTCGCGGTACATGCGTGTGGCCAGATGGAGATCTTGATGAACTGGTTGAGCTACCTGGTGAACGGGCGGGCGGATATGAGCAAGAGTCTGGACGGCAGGATTGCGAGAATCGTGGAACAACATATTCGAATACTCAAGTAATGTCTTTGTGAATAATTTGATTTCTAGTTTTTTGAGAAATAGGCAGTAAATTTAGTTCGTAGTAACATCAACGCACAGCTAAATTGTCGGGTGGAAAATTTAAAGTGCACAAAACTTAATGCGTGAAAAATTCATCAGGTGCAAAATTGAAAGCGTGGCAAATCCAATGTGCAGATTCAACGCGTAAAAAATTCAACGCTCCGCAAATTCAACGCGTAGAAAACTAAATACGTAGATAACTCAACGCATAACAAATTTAACACAACGCAAACTCAACGCGCAGAAAAAGCGCGCAGCAAATTTGATGAGTGATGTATCCAACGCGTAAAAAATTTAACGCATAACAAATTCAACGCGCAGCAAATTCAACACGTGGATAACACAACGCATAGCAAATTTAACGCGTGGAAAATTCAGTACGTAGAAAATTTAGCGCAGGGCAAATTTGACGCGTAGAATATCCAATGGGTAGCAAATTCAACGCGCTGTTAATTCAACGCGTATAAAACTTAACACGTAGATAACATAACTCATAGCAAATTTAATGCGCTGCAAATTCAACGTGTAAAAAATTCAACGAATAGCAAATTCAATGTGCAGTGAATATAATGCACACCAACTCCAACGCGCAGCAAATTCAACGCACTACAAATTGAACCCGCGCAATTTCAACGCACAATAAATTTAACGCGTAGACAATTCAATGTGTCAAAAATTCCGCGAACTGTGAATTCAACGTCTATCAAACTCAACGCGCGAAAAATTTAACGCGTGGTGAGCAACACATGGAGAACTCAACACGTGGTGAACACAACGCGTGACAAGTACAATTCCTGGTAATGATAATGCGTCGTGATCCAACGTGTTGTAGTTGAACGCGTAGTAATCCAACGTGGTATAATCTAACGCGTAGTAACTCATCGAGTAGAATTCTCACACGTAATAATCCAATATAGGTATTTTAACGCATAGTAATCCAACGTGGAGTAATTTATCGCGTAGTAATCCAAAGCGTGGTAATCTAACGCGCAGTAATTCAACATGAGATAATCTAAAGTATAATAATTCAACTTGTAGTAATTTCACGAGTAGTAACCTAACGTGTGGTAATCTAACGCGCCGTCGTATAGCATGTAATAATCTAACGCGCCGTATTTCAACGTGTGGTAATCTGATGCGTAGTAATCCAACGTGCAGTAATCTAACGCGCAGTTATCCAACCCGTGGCTATGAAACGCATAATAGTGCACACTAATTTAATGCAAGATAATTCAGCGCACACTGATTCAACACAAACTTCATGCAATATCCAATTATATGTACATCAAAGCGTGTTCGTATGTTTTACAGGTTCTTAGAGCTTACAGAGAAAACACTTCGATACATATCCCTGGTGGAGTTCCTGGGGTGTACAGTGGAGTTGTGTTTGCTTAGTTATTGCGTTCTCATGGTACGCACAAAAGAGGTATTCAAACGGTTTTTAATAGATATGAAAAAGGATTTTGCACAAATTTTTAGGAATGGAGTACGAACGATATGTTAAGCTCTGCGACTTACGCCGTTCTTTTTGTGTCTTTCACCTTCAATATATTCATATATTGTTACATAGGAGAACTTGTTGCCGAGGGGGTATTGTTCACATCGTCTGTTTGTTAATGTACTTCACATAAATGATCTTGAATAATTATGCATAAAAATTAGCACAATTTTTTTTATTGTCGTTAAGGCACATCTGAAATAATTTTAAATATTCTGGAGTAAAATATAAGCACTTCTGTCATAATCGTATATGAAGAAACATATTTTCATTTTAAGGATTAAAAATATTTTTTATAATAGAGTAGACATATTGCTGAGATATCGTACATGATTGACTGGTATCGATTACTGGGCAAGAGGAAACTCAGCATAATTTTGATCATGCAAATGTCTCATTCTACAATTAAACTAACAGCAGGGAACATCGTGATATTATCTTACAGCAAGTTCGGTGATGTAAGTATCAAACGCAATTATCCTCATTAATTTAATTATTAATTAATATAATTTAGGTCGTTAAAAGTGCGTTCGCCTTTCTGAATGTACTACGAACGGTCACTTGAACATTCTTAAAAATAATACGCAGTTAGAAGATTTGGTAGAATTAACAGGTCTATTATTGCAACATGTTAGTATTGACTTCTAGAAACATAATAAAAATTGTGCTTCAAATCGGTTGCTCATCTCATATGCAGAAGTATAGAATTTATTATAGAATTCACGTAAGTTCATCAATGTATACTATTAATTGTAGTACGAAATAAAGTGTTATTATTGTACACTGGTAAGTTCAAATATTCTGGTGGCGTCACTCGTACGTAGACATATGATTCATTCACATCATTAGTTCTTTTGAAACTGAAACACTAGTACTTAGAAAATTCTATATAATTTATAAAATTCAAAAATATAGAATGTAAACAATTCATTGCCATGATTACTTTATATTGAAAGTAATAAAAACATATGCAGGAGACTGGCGACAGACTTCTGACGAACAAAATGTACACATTATAATTACACAGAAATTAACCGAGCAATACCACACAGTACGTAAGATAATCGCTTGGAAGTAGTAACTTGAAGAGCGGACGTTCAGTGATGTTTGAAAATCAATTTATCGATGCACCGTCATCATTCTACCCCCGCACTAATAATGCATCGGGCAAAGTAGAAGGGTTCGACCCTTCGAAAAAGTAGAAAATGATGGTTTAAATTCTTCATCGGAAATTAGCGCAAGCGCAATAATGTTTTTCGAGAGAGGATCAAATTGCGTTCGTTCAGTATCGAGCAATCGACGATGCAAAAAGCAACTGCGAAAACGGAGCAGGATTACCTGAAGAACGTGGATCTGAGCATTCGGCTGAATCGCTGGATACTGAAACCGATAGCCGCGTGGCCAGAATCGAGCACCGTTTCGCCCATCAAAAAATACTTCGGCTGGTTCGTTCACGTCGTCTGTTATTTCTTGGTGAGTTTCCTCTTCGTCCCCTGCTTGACCTTCCTGATCCTCGAAGTGAACGACACCTACAACAGGATCAAGTTGATCGGGCCTCTCAGCTTTTTTCTCATGTCGTACTTGAAGTACTACTTACTACTACTGCACAAGAATGACGTCCTGAAGTGCGTGAAACAGATCGAGTGGGACTGGAAGAACATGAAGCACCTGGAGGAGAAGAGGATCATGGTGATGAACGCGAACTATGCGCGTAGGATAGTGATCGTTTGTACGTTCTTCATGTACAGTTCTTATATTTTCTTCTACATCGCTGTACCAATCACCGTGGGGAGGATCCCGGCGCAGGACGGGAACTTCACCTTCATCTTCTTGCCGTTTCCTTCCTCGATGCGGATCACCGACTACCGACAGAGCCCCGTCAACGAAATCTTCTACTTTCTTCAGTGTCTGGCAGGCGTTGTGCTGCATATCATCACGGTCGGAGCTTGTAGCTTGGCGGCGACCTTTGCGGTGCATGCGTGTGGCCAGATGGAGATCTTGATGAACTGGTTGGGCTACCTGGTGAACGGACGGGCGGATATGAGCAAGAGTCTGGACGGCAGGATTGCGAGTATCGTGGAACAACATGTTCGAATACTCAAGTAATGTTTTTGTGGCTAATTTGATTTTTTGTTTTGTTTTGAGAAATGGGTGGTAAATTTAGTTTGGAGCAAATCCAACGCACGGCAAAATTGATGCGTGGAAAATCCAAAGTGTACAAAATTCAATAAGTGGAGAATTCAATGCGTGAAATATTCAACATGTGGAAAATTTAAAGCGTAGCAAATTCAACGCGCAGCAAATTCAACGCGTAGAAAACTCAACACGTAGATAACAAAACGCATAGTAAATTAAACGCGCTGCAAATTCAACGCGTAAAAAATTTAACGAGTAGCAAATTCAATGCACAGCGAATTTAACGCACAGCAAATTCAACGCGCAGCAAATTTAAAGCGTAGAAAATTCAATGCGTAGAAAATTCAATACGTAGCAAATTCAACGCGTAGGAAATTCAACGCATAGCAAATTTAATGCGCGCAAATTCAACGCGCGACAAATTTGACGCGTAGAAAATTCAGTGTATTACAAATTCCACGCACTGTAAATTCAACGCGTATCTAGTTCATTTTGATAATTTGGATAATTTGAATAATTTGAATAATTTGAATAATTTGATACCTCTTTGTTTTTTGGGAAACTAGTTTGGGAATTGGCTTTTATTTTTATTTTTGGGCTACAAAGTTAAATTCAAGGTGGTAAAGGTATAGTAAGGTCTGATTATATTTTCTTCCTTGTAGGAGCTGTATATTATTTGTCCGCCATCTTAGAATACAGAAATTGGTAACGTACTATAGGTTAGGATTTTAGAGTTGTTAAAGAACATAGTAACTTACAAATTTCCGTTTGCATTATTTATCAGCTGTGATGCTAAATTTATTACTCTCCATGGGAATATAACGAGATTATAAAAAATATGACAAGTATATTTTCTTTCCTTTTGCATACGTTTAATACCAAACGTATACAAAATAGCTGCTAGTCAATGGTTAATCGTTACCTGTATGTTTAGTATTTCAGAATTTATTTATTTTATAAACTTGATGTCTCTTGACATTATTTGAAATTGTTACATAATTCTTTCATATTTATTTTCTCATACCATGCTGACAGTTTTCATCACGTTTCAGGTTCCTGGCGCTGACCGAGAAGGCACTGCAACAGATATCTTTCGTAGAATTTCTAGGATGTACAATGAATCTCTGTCTGCTCGGATATTATAGCATCATGGTACGATAAATTAATAATAAAACAAAACACATAGTTATACATCCTCCAAATATATTCTCCATGTCGTAGGAATGGAATCCGAAAGATGTAATGTTTTCCTTGACTTACATGGTGCTGGTGACGTCCTTCGGTTTCAACATCTTCATATTTTGTTACATAGGCGAACTCGTGGCTGAACAGGTACGATTTTTCCATATATTCGAACTCATCCGTTCATTTTCTAATCATTAACTTAGGTCAACTCCTTGTCGTACTTTGACGAGTCTCACTCGTGACGCACTCACAGCTCAAATCTTACTCAAATTTTTAATACTCTTCAACTTCAAATTTAAGTCCAATTACAACTTGTATTATCAAGAATCCCTGAATATAAAATATTCACATTTTAATTTTTATTGTTTGTTTAAACATTATAGCTATGAATAGTTAGTTTTGACTGACGCATGTGACAAATAAATTGTATGGCAAGGGTTTAATCAGTAACCTTTCATAATTAACTATTACGATTATTATGATGAGAAGAAAATATTCTGATAGAATATATGATAGTGCAGAAAAGTCGGCGAGGTATCATACATGATCGACTGGTATCAATTATCAGGAAATAAGAAGCTCTGCTGCATTTTATTCATCGCGATGTCCAATTCGTCCATCAAACTCACAGCTGGAAACATGGTCGAATTATCCATTAGCACTTTCAGTGATGTAAGTATGAAGTATTAAATACTTGTAATAAATCGTATAATAAATATCGTTGTCTTACAGGTTGTCAAAACGGCGACGGGGTTTTTAAACATGTTGAGAGCATTGACGTGAACGTTCCTGGTAATACAATGTAGTTTGACAAATATTTTGTAGAAATAGAATTATTGTATTTGGGTTTTAATGAAAACTTGATGAAATTTTATATTGTTTTTCTATCAGTGCGATTGAAGTTTGAAAATGTGTGCAAAATTTATTGATTAATTTTAGTGACGTTATTTTTAGATCTGTAGGTCATAGATTTATAAATTTCCAAGTTTTTAGGAAATTCATAGATTCATAGATTTCTAGAGATTTAGATTAGATCAATAAAAATCTAGGAAGACTGTTAGAGTATCAACAAAAGTCCAACAAAACTGTTAAAGCATTAACAAAAATCTAACAAGACTGTTAGAGTATCAACAAATATCTAGCAAGATTTTTATAGTATCAACAAAAGTCCAACAAAACTGTTATAGCATCAACAAAAATCTAACAAAGCTGAAATACCAACAAAAATCTATCAAGACTGTTAAAGTATCAACAAAAATCTAGCAAGACTGTTATAGTATCAACAAAAGTCCAACAAAACTGTTATAGTATCAACAAAAATTCAACAAGACTGAAGTATCAACAAAAATTCAACAAGACTGTAGTATCAACAAAAATCTATCAAGACTGTTATAGTATCAACAAAAATCCAACAAGACTATTATAGTATCAACAAAAACCCAACAAAACTGTTATAGTATCAACAAAGATCCAACAAGACTATTATAGTATCAACAAAAACCGAACAAAACTGTTATACTATCAACAAAGATCCAACAAGACTGTCAAAGTATCAACAAAAATCCAACAAGACTATTATAGTATCACCAAAAGTCCAACTAAACCGTTATAGTATCAACAAAACTGCTACAAGATAGAATCAACAAAAATGTACCAACACATAGTATCAAAAAAATCCCAAAACTATTATAATATCAAAAAAATCCAACAAAACAGAAGTATCCACAACACTCCGCCCATCAGAATATTAAGAAAACGACCTTGTTCAGAACTACATCACGCAACAATGTCTAACATCGATTAGCAGCCGTCGAAAAACGCAACTGGTACCTCGCGCAACATTGATCGATCCGAGTGCCCCGAACAATTCCAGGGAACCAAAAAAACCGTGCGCACGCGCCATTACCCCGAAGATAGTCCTCTTCATCAAGCAACTCACTCTACGATCGTTCTCCGCGCAATAATGAACTCGTCTGATAAGCTAATAACAAATACCAGGTACCTTCAGGACTACGAGTACAGCATCCAACTGAACCGTTGGTTTCTGAAGCCCATCGGAGTTTGGCCAAGGGCATCCACCGCCAGCATCGCCGAGAAAATCTTGGCAATCGTGTTGAACGTAGCCTGTCACGTGCTGATCATCTTCACGTTCGTGCCATGTTTGCTGTTTATATTGTTCGAAGAAGCGAGCTTTCAAACGAGAATAAAGGCGATCGGACCTATGAGTCATTGGATAATGGGCGAACTTAATTACTGTTTTCTGACGATGAGAGGTCAGGATATTCTTCATTGCATCGAGCATATAGGAAGCGACTGGCAGACAGTCAAACGAGCCAGCGATCGAGAGGTGATGCTGAAGAACGTCAAGTTTGGACGTTTGATCGCCTGCCTCGCCGCGGTCGGCATGAACGTGGGTGTCTTCTCCTACATCGTCATAGGATTCCGTAAAATCGTGTTCCACGTCGGCAACGAGAGCTTTCTGATGTATCGGTTACCCTGTCCCGTTTATACGAAGCTGCTGAACGTGAAATTAAGTCCAGCTAATGAGATAGTGTTCGCTCTTCAAGTACTGTCGGGGTTCATCGTCAACTCCGTAACTGTCGGAGCCTGCGGATTGGCCGCCATCTTGGCGATGCACGCTTGCGGACAGTTGAACGTTATGATGTCCCGGATGGACGAGCTAGTTGGAGCTGGAGTGGAAGAACAGAGGGTTGTTAAGAAAAAACTGGCTGATATTGTGGAACATCATCTGAGAACGCTGAGGTATATGTGGATGCGGACCGTGATTGTTGGAATATTAGAGTGACAAAGAAGGGTCAATTTTATTTTTATACAGAACGTTCGTTTCAGTTTTGTGTGGTATATAGAGAAAATTATGAATCTGATTTGTCTGGTTGAATTAGTCGGATGTACGGTGAACATATGCGTGCTGGAGTATTATATTATTACGGTATGTTGTGCACTATCAGTCGAGGGTCTTGGGACGCTTTTGTAATTTGTATTTATAGTGAAGTTATTGGTATCGGAATTGGTAAAGTACGAGGATGTAAAATAATTGCGGAGATCGAATATACATACGAGTATGATAATTGGTGACTCTATGCGTGGCGTTATCATGCATGGTACGGATACATGTGGTGATTCTATATGTGGGAAACTCTACACTTTGTGGTTCCATGCCTGAAAAACTCTATATATGAGGAACTCTATGCGTTGTGGTTCTATGTTTCAGAAACTCTATACGTGGTGATTCTACGCGTGGTAATTCTGCACACAGAAAATATAACGCATGGTAATTCTGCACATAGTATATCCAATGTGTGGTGATTCTGCGTGTAGGAAATACAATGCGTGGTAATTGTGCGCGTAGAATACACAATGCGTGGTAATTCTGCGCATAAGAAACTTTGCGCGTGGTAACTCTGCGCAAAGGAAATCTAATGCGTGGTGATCCTGCGCATAGGAAATCCAACGCGTAGTAATTCTGCGCGTAGAAAATCCAACGCGCGGTAATTCTACGCGTAGAAAATTCAACGCGTGGTAATTATACGCGTAGAAAACTCAACGCGTGGTAATTCTACGCGTAGAAAACTCAACGCGTGGTAATTATACGCGTAGAAAACTCAACGCGTAGAAAATTCAACGCGTGGTAATTCTACGCATGGATACCCTACCCATAGTAATTCTACGTTTGGAAATTCTACTCTACATAATTCTAAAATTCCCAAATAATTCTAGTATACGTATCCAGTATACAATGTAGTATATTCTATTATAAGATTATAATGCCATATAAGATGTCCTATGACTTTTGACTGATAGTGCTCTAATTATCATACCTACGCAATCACAGATTTTCTCTGTCACATTGTAAGTTTAACCAAGAACCTAAATTGAACCATCAACGCGAATCAAACCTGATTCTCAGGATTCCCAAACATTTGTCACCAAATTTCATAACAATTTTATAAACCATATTACAACTTCTCAGGAGAAATCAAAGGATACGTTAGCATCATATGCAATCATATACGCATCCATGAGTTTCAATATATTCATATTTTGTTATATCGGTGAAAGGCTGACGGAACAGGTAAGAATATAATTATAAACGCCATGTAAATCCTTATGAAAAGTCTGTATCTTCCAATAGTGTAAAAAGGTTGGAGAAAAAGCATACTCGGTGGAATGGTACCGTTTATCACACAGAACTGCTCTTAGCCTGGTGATGATAATCTCTAGATCCAGCATGGTGATCAAAATCACTGCTGGCAAGATTATACGGATCTCCCTAGCAACTTTCGGCGATGTGAGTATCAAGACCTTAATCGCATAAATATGATTTTATGCGTGGTAATTCTACGCATAGGAAATCCAATGCGTGGTGATTCTGCGCGTAGGAAAGTCAACGCGTGGTAATACTGTGCATAAGAAATTTGACGCGTGGTAATTCTACGCGTAGGAAATCCAACGCGTGGTAATTCTACGCGTAGGAAATCCGATGCGTGGTAATTCTACGCGCGGGAGATCTAACGCACGGTAATTCTACGCATAGGAAATCCAACGCGTGGTAATTCTACGCGTGGGAGATCTAACGCGCGGTAATTCTACGCATAGGAAATCCAACGCGTGGTAATTCTACGCGTGGGAGATCTAACGCGCGGTAATTCTACGCATAGGAAATCCAACGCGTGGTAATTCTACGCGTGGGAGATCTAACGCGCGGTAATTCTACGCATAGGAAATCCAACGCGTGGTAATTCTACGCGTGGGAGATCTAACGCGCGGTAATTCTACGCATAGGAAATCCAACGCGTGGTAATTCTACGCGTGGGAGATCTAACGCGCGGTAATTCTACGCATAGGAAATCCAACGCGTGGTAATTCTACGCGTGGGAGATCTAACGCGCGGTAATTCTACGCATAGGAAATCCAACGCGTGGTAATTCTACGCGTAGAAAAGCCTACGCGTGGTAATTCTACGCGTAGAAATTCCAACGCGTGGTAACTCTACGCGCTGAAAACCCTACGCGTGGTAATTCTACACAAAGGAAATCCAACGCGTGGTAATTCTACGCATCGAAATTCCAACGCGTGGTAACTTTACGCGTAGGAAATCCAACGTGTGGTAACTTTACGCGTCGGAAATCCAACGCGTGGTAACTCTACGCGCTGAAAACCCTACGCGTGGTAATTCTACGAATAGGAAATCCAACGCGTGATAATTCTACGCATAGGAAATCCAACGCGTCCATTTAACTTATATTTTCTCTAATCTACATTTAACCTAAATGTTAAACTCACCTCTACATTGTGTTCCAGGTGTTGAAGACATCTTTCACGTACTTCAACATGCTTCGAACAATCGCAACCTGACCGGAAACCGCTTGAAACTTGTACGACCTGATGTAACCGCAATAAAAGCAGAATAAACTTTCTTTACAGAGTTGGTGCACTTGACATTACCCTCGCAACATCAGCATCGTTCCACTGCAACAAGTTGCAAATCGATGAACGTTCGTGCAAGGCGCACCTGCGCAAGCGTTGGCAACTCTCTGTTCCTACCTTCCCAATGTTGAATTCCCTGTTCAGTTGCCTTCGAGACTTCAATGAGTGGTCATGACAACCCCCGCGTCCGTTGTACCTACGGATCTGGACAGTCTGAGCGATTACAGTCTGCAGTTGAACAAATGGCTGCTGATAACGATAGGCGCCTGGCCCTCCACGCCGTCCACGACAAAAATCGAGAAGATCGTTTCGTTCATCTTGATAGTCATTTGTTATTGCACGATTCTGACCACCGTACTTCCTAGCATATTGTACGTGATCCTCGCTGATGAAGATCTTCAGCAGAAGCTGATGGTCATGGGTCCCCTGAGCCACTGGTTCATAGGAGGAATCAATTACACAACGCTGCTTTTGCGCGGGAAAGAAATTCAGTGCTGCATAAAACGCGTGCAAACCGATTGGCGGACAGTCACTAGATTGAACGATCAGAAAATTATGATGAGGAACGCGGAGATCGGTCGGTACGTGGTTGTATGCTGCACTGCGTTCATGCAGGGTGGCGTCCTGTGCTACTGCGTGATTACGGGGTTCACCACGGAGGTTGTTCAAGTCGGAAACGAGACCAGAACCGTACGTCTGCTGCCCTGTGCCGCTTACAAGAAACTGATACCTGTAGATACGAGTCCCACGAATGAGATTATTTTATTCGTGCAATTTCTGGCGGGTTTTGTTGTCAACTCTACCACTGTTGGGGCTTTTAGCTTAGCTATAGTGTTCGCGGCACATGCTTATGGTCAGTTAGATGTGCTGAGCACGTGGATCACGGAGTTTGTGAATCAGTCGAGGGAACACGATAAGAATGCGTTTTTGAATAGCATTGGACCTGCCGTGGAGAAACATCTGAACGTTCTGACGTAAGTTGCGTGTTGTGTTATGAGATTTGATGGTTTAAGTTGGGGTTTTGATTACAGTTTTATATCGCATATTGAGGATATGCTGACGGAGATGTGCTTCTTGGAGTTATTTCAGTGCACTTTTGGTATATGCCTACTTGGGTACTATGTTCTTCTGGTACGTTGAAAATGTGTAATACATGATTAAAAATTTTGGTTGATCTATTATATTGCTATGTAAGCATATATGAGTGTGTGGAGATTTTCCTTTTCTATATCACCTAGTCATTTGGACACATCTACATTTCTGCTCTTCTATATCTGCAGAAATACAATTCCTTAAATATCTATATCATTGTTTTTCTGTATACTCCTGTACTCCTATGTGTGCATACATACATATGTTCCTATGTCCCCCTATCCACATATCTTAATATCTCTACACATATCCCTTAATCCTTCCTAAATCCACATACTGTATCATCCTAAATCCACATACATATCCTCATACATATCCCAACAATTACATCTCCCAAAATTCTATCTAATATCCCAACTATAAAAATCGTCTTTTGCAGTACTGGGCCCTTCACGATCTCCAAAACATGGTAACATGTTCCATCATACTATTTTCCATGTCTTGCAACATATTTGTAGTGTGCTTTATCGGTGAGAAATTATCAGAACAAGTAAGTGAACAAACTAAAAAATATATCTAATTAATCAGAATTACTAACAATATAAATTTGTGGCAGTGCACGAAAGTTGGCGAAGCAGTGTATATGACCGAATGGTATCATTTACCTGGCAAAGACATCCTCGACCTGGTACTGATCATTTCACGATCCAGCGTGGTGACTAAAATCACTGCTGGAAAAATTGTCCATATGTCCCTTTATACGTTCACTACTGTACGTTCGTATGATCTTTACTGTCACACAAGACAGATAAATCGTGTTGGACTTATGGCATTTTTTAACATTGTAGGTGATGAAAACTGCGTTCGCGTATATTAATGTGTTGCGACAAACGACGTGACGAATCTGTGGCTGATTAAATTATCTGTAAATAAATTTATTGTATTCAAACATTAAACTACGGCATTAAACTAATAGACATTAAATTACAGCATAGAAATATGGTATTTTATTCATATTCTATTTATGTGCACCACTGTTGTTGAACGTTATTCATAAAATATAAAATGATTGATTAAATTTACAGAGTACGTACTTATAATGCATGCATGCGAATTATAAATAAATTTTACATATTTAAAATTTCAAGTAGAATTAATATTGTAGCACCAATAATTGAAACATGTTGCAATCTTAAATCAATTCAAATTATTGAACTATAAGTCTGTAACTATTTTGTAAGTACTATAGATACAATACAAAATAACAGAAGTGCTCAAGCTCTAATCAAATAATAATTATTATTAATATCACATACCTTTCTGATACCTTCGACATCTTAGAAACTATTAAACCTTGTCAGAAGTTTTTCATAATCTCTTCAAGCCTCTCAAAGCGAACCCTCTATCTTCATTTCACAAGTAGCACAAAACAACGACAACAGGAAATTTCACTGACGAAATCAAATTTCACTGACGAAATGCAATTTCACTGACAAAATGAAATTTCACTGACGAAATGCAATTTCACTGACAAAATGAAATCGAAATGAAAGAAATGACCCAAAGAATTTAATTATAGCAAGTACCTTTCAACTCCTCGCGACCGACTGTCCACAGCGTTCGCCACCGCAACAAGTTGCACAGTCTAGACGCATCGATCGAGCATTGTTGAAAAGAAATCTGCGCAAGCGTAGCCCAACATACTTCTGCCTTTTCCAATGCTCGATTCAGTAGTTTCTGCAACTTCGACACGTGATCATGGAACCCTCGATCATACGAACAGATCTCGACAGTCTCTTTGACTACAGTCTGCAGCTAAACAAATGGTTGCTGATACCAATCGGTGCTTGGCCCTCAACGACTTCAAAAATCGAGAGGGTCGTTTCATTAATTTTGATCGTCGTTTCTTACTGCTCCATTCTAACAACCGTGGTCCCTTGCATATTGTACGTGATTCTCGACGACGATCTTCTGACACAGAAGCTGATGATGGTGGGTCCTCTGAGCCACTGGTTCATAGGGGGAATCAACTACACCACGTTGCTCTTGCGGAAAAAAGAGATCCAATGCTGCGTGAAGCACATACACATGCAAACCGATTGGCGGTCGGTGACAAAATCGAAGGACCAAGAAATTATGCTGAAGGACGCGGAATTCGGTCGTTACGTGGTTATTTTCTGCACCGCCTTCATGCAGGGTGGCGTTCTGTGCTACTGCGTGATAACAGGATTCACCACGGAGGTTATTCAAGTCGGAAACGAAACCAGAACCATACGTATGCTGCCATGTGCCGCTTACAAGAAGCTGATACCCGTGGACACTAGTCCCACAAATGAGATCATTTTATTCGTGCAGTTTTTGGCTGGTTTCATTGTGAACTCTAGCACTGTCGGGGCTTTTAGTTTGGCTATAGTGTTCGCGGCACATGCTTATGGCCAGCTGAACGTACTCATCACGTGGATCAGGGAACTCGTAAACGAATCGAGAGGTCGTGATCGAAATGTTTATTTGAAGGAAATTGGTGTCGTAGTGGACAACCATTTGAGAGCCCTGAGGTAATTTTAATTTAGTTTAGTGCGAGGTCTGGTGTAATGAAGTTTTGTTGCAGTTTTATATCGTATATTGAGGACATGATGACGGAGATATGCTTTTTGGAGTTGTTTAAGTGCACGTTTAATATATGTATGCTTGGATACTACGTTCTTATGGTACGCTGAAAAGTTTTTTGTTATATGTGTGTTTGTAATAAATATTGTAGTGAAGATAAATGTTTCAGTATAGTATTGTTACTCGAATAGAAAGTTATTTTTAAAAGTCGTAAAAAATTATTTCTATCGTCAGAAATTCATAGTAAAATTCATAATAAAATTCATAGTAAAAATTCAAAGAAAAATTTATAGTAAAATTCATAATAAAGTTCATAGTAAAAATTCAGAAAGAAAGTTATAGTAAAATGCATAGTAAAATTCATAGTAAAAATTGAAACAGAAAGTTAGTAAAGTTCTTCAGCTTCTAAGTCATAGCAAAGTCTTCATAGTTAAAATGAAATAGTGATAGTTCATAATAATCTTAACAAATTAACGTCGGTGTCTAAATTTGTATTGCATCGCAAATTAGAAAAATCATAAAAATGATTTATTTCAGCACTGGGCGAATCGCGATTATCAAAATATGACAATTTGTGTCGTCATACTGTGTTCCATGGCTTTCAACATTTTCATTGTGTGCTACATCGGTGAAAAACTATCTGAGCAGGCAAGTGATTACAAAATAATTAATGAAAATCATAAGGAACACTCACCGTTCGATTCTTGACAGTGTAAAAATGTCGGTGACTCAGTCTACATGACGAACTGGTATTATTTACCGGATAAACACATTTTGGATCTGCTACTGATAATTTCACGATCTAGTACGGTAATCAAAATGACAGCTGGGAAATTTGTTACTATGTCTATTTATACGTTTGCAAGTGTACGTCCTTCATATTTTAGTATTTCATATTAAATCATACTATTTTTATTTTTTATTTAAGTTTTCATTTTTTCACTCTAGGTGGTGAAAACAGCTTTTGCTTATTTAAACGTGTTACGGCAAACTACATGAAAGAAACGAGTTTAACTTACAAATAATCTGGAAACAAATTTTTAAAGAATAAATTGTAAGCAATTAATAAAGTTGGTCACGGAGTTTCTCACCTTATATGATTCGTAAGTTTGATGATCTAATTTAAGGTTTTATATTTGTGAACTGATCTGTTGCGCGTTTGATTAATAATGATCGTGTATTTGTAATGTTTAATAATATATATTATGGAAAAGTTAAGGTTGTATTCTGTATTCGTCCACGTGCTGCGGCGGCCATCTTGGTGACAGCAGTTTTCCTAAAATGGCGAGTCTTTATTTGTAATTACGTATAGTTATATTGTGTGAATTATGGTTATCTTGTATTACGCGAAAGGGGGATTATGCAACTTAATGTTTACATGAATTTAATAAGAAGGACATAGATGTATTAATTTAATTCCAGCTATTAAATTGCTAATTTAGTCAGGACAAATTTGCACAAAATAAAGGACAAATTAAATTAAATTAAATTAGAACAAAATAAAGGACTTGATCCAACATAAAACGGCAAAAATAAAAATGTCGAGTAATTAAATCAAATAATTCTATAATATTTATTTGAAATAATATACAATGTATATGTATAATAAGCAATAGCTCCTTCTAGCATGACAAGTAGCAATACATAGGCATAACTATTAGCCTATTATTAATATAACGAACTATTTATCTAATCTTCTAATCTTTAGATGTGCATCAAAACCATAAAATAGTAGCAAACAAATTGCAAATGTTACAATTCTCTTTTCACACAACTAAAGTCTTGCACCAAACTAAAAGAAACGCAATATGAAAGCAAGCTTGCACCTTCAAAAAAGATGCAGTTCTCCGCGACTCCATCTCAATACCCCACCAACGATATGTAAACATAGTTGCGTTTCCAATTACTAAGTTGCAAGCAATCGGTCGATGTCTGCGCAAGCGTTGAGCTGCATCTTCGTCCACACAAAAACCACGATTCAGTACATTGTTGATCCCTGACGAGCAACATGCACGGCAAACCCATCATGGGGCAGACGGATCCCGAGATTCTGAGCGACTACAGCCTTCAATTTAACAGATGGCTGCTGAAGTCCATAGGTGCCTGGCCTAAATCATTCTCCAGCACCAAAACGGAATTAACAGTCTCGCAAATTTTGACGGTGATTGCTTACACCACCATTTTGATCACCGTAATTCCTGCCATTCTACAGCTGATTTTAGAGGCCATCGACTTACATACAAAGGTGGTCCTTGTGGGTGCGATATCCCATTGGTGTCTGGGCGGCATCGGGTACACCATGTTGCTGATGCACGATGAGGAGATAAAATGGTGCGTGGAACGAGTGAAGAACGACTGGCGGTCTATAATGAACCCCGAGATGCAGCAGACGATGATCAAAGACGCAAAACTTAGTCGCTACGTGCTCTCCCTGTGCGCGATTCTCATGCAAGGTGCGGTTTTGGGCTTCGGTGTCGAGAAAGCATTGTCGACGCAGGTCATCACGGTCGGAAACGAAACTAAGGTCGTGCACATGCTACCTTGTGCCACGTATAGGAAACTGCTACCCGTCGACACCAATCCCACTTTTGAAATCGTTCTTGTCGCGCAACTTGTTTCCGGATTTTTCGTGAACGGTACTTTCGCCGGTGCTTTCAGTTTGGCTAGCGCTTTTACACTGCACGCGTACAGTCAGCTGAGTATACTCGCCATGTGGATCACGGAAGCTGTGGATCAGTCGAGTTTGAACGATGTTGGGGCTATCGTAAGAAAACATTTGGCAATTTTGAGGTAAGTTGTTTGACTAATTTTATATGGGCCTCGACTGCTATGATCGTTGGCCCGGGTAAATTGCTTGGTTAAATGTTTGGTGAATTTTTGGTTACAGCTTTATATCGCGTATAGAGGCTATAATGAACGAGATATGCTTCATGAAATTGTTTAAGTGCACCTTTAGTATATGCCCGCTTATAACTTATGGTTTCTAACTTATGGTCAGTTAGATGTGCTGACCACGTGGATCACGTAATTTGTGAACCAGTCGAGGGAACACGATAAGAATGCGTTTTTGAATAGTATTGGACCTGCCATGGAGAAACATCTGAACGTTCTTACGTAAGTTGCGTGTTGTGTTATGAGATTTGGTACTTTAAGTTGGGGTTTTGATTGCAGTTTTATATCGCATATTGAGGATATGCTGACGGAGATGTGCTTCTTAGAATTATTTCAGTGCACTTTTCGTATATGTCTACTTGGATACTATGTTCTTCTGGTATGTTGAAAATGTGTAATACATAAATACTTTATGGGATGATTGAATATTTTCACTGATACTATATCAGTTGAGACTATTTTCTGTGTAAGCATGCATAAGTGTGGGGAGATGTATGTTCCTTTTCTGTATATTATTACATTATAGAGTATCTCAATCTTCAGATTTTTTGGGGCATAGAAATTTAAGTAGTTACACATCTGGATTGATAGATGTTTAGGTACTTAGGTACTTCAATTACTAGATACTAAGAGACCCAGGTTCTATGATCATAAGATATATTTCTCAATATTCTACATCCCAGATTTTTCAATTGTCAGGTATGTATCCATATTTTCAGATACCTAGAGATTTAGATACTTAGGCACCTAGACACCTGGACACCTAGACGTCTGAGTACCTAGACATCTGGACACCTAAACACTTGAATACCTAGACACCTGGACACCTAGACACCTCATTCTGAAAAACCTAGATGCACAAATACAGATGTAGATCCACAAATACCTAAATTCCCAAATTCCTACATCGTGAAAAATCTAGAACCCCAAATATCTAGCTTCTGAAATACCTTAATCCCCCGATACATGTGTTCTTAACTATGTAAACACCTAGGCACCTCGACATCCGAATTCCTAGACCCTCAGATTTCTACATCTCACCGCTCCTATATCTCCAGAAATCTAATTTCTCAAATACCTATATCCTTGTATCTCTATATTCTTGTACTCATATGTGTACATACACATGCTCCCATGCCCCCCCCCCCCTATTCCCATATCTTAATATACCTAAATGTATCCCTTAATATATCCCTTAATTCTTGTCTTCGTAGATCCATAAACATATCCTCATATCCCCACAACTATGTCTCCCAAAATTATATCTACATAATGAATTCTATCTCCATAATGAAAATCGTCCTTTGCAGTACTGGGCCCTTCACGATCTCCAAAATATGGTAACATGTTCCATCATACTATTCTTCATGTCTTGTAACATATTTGTAGTGTGCTTTATCGGTGGGAAATTATCAGAACAAGTAAGTGAACAAACTAAAAGATCTATCTAATTAATCAGAATTATTAACAATATAAATTTGTGACAGTGCACGAAAGTTGGCGAAGCAGTGTATATGACCGAATGGTATCATTTACCTGGCAAAGACATCCTCGACCTGGTACTGATCATTTCACGATCCAGCGTGGTGACTAAAATCACTGCTGGAAAAATTGTCCATATGTCCCTTTATACGTTCACTACTGTACGTTCGTATGATTTTTACTGTCACACAAGACATATAAATCGTGTTGGATTTATGGCATTTTTTAACGTTGTAGGCGATGAAAACTGCATTCGCGTATATTAATGTCTTGCGACAAACAACGTGACGAATTTGTGGCTGAATAAATAATATGTAAATAAATTTATTGTATTCAAACATTAAACTACAGCATTAAAATAACAGACAGTAAATTACAGCATAGAAATATGGTATCTTGTTCATATTCTATTTATGTGCACCGCTGTTGTTGAACGTTATTCATAGAATATAAAATGATTGAATAAATTTACAGGAATATTTGACATATATCCTATAACGTATTTATAATGCATGTATGCGAATCATAAATGATTTTTACATATTTAAAATTTCAAGTAGAATTAATAATCTTAGAGTTGATAATATTGTAGCATTAATGATTGAAACATGTTGCACTTCTTAAATTAATTCGAATTATTGAACTATAAGTCTGTAACTATTTTGTAAGTACTATAGATACAATACAAAATAACAGAAGAGCCCAAGCTCTAGTCAAATAATAATTAATTATTATTAATATCACATACCTTTCTGATACATTTGACATCTTAGAAATACAATTTCACTGACAAAACGAAATCGAAATGAAAGAAATGACCCAAAGAATTTAATTATAGCAAGTACCTTTCAACTCCTCGCGACCGACTGTCCACAGCGTTCACCACCGAAACAAGTTGCACAGTCTAGACGCATCGATCGAGCATTGTTCAAACGAAATCTGCGCAAGCGTTGCCCAACGTACTTCTACATTTTCCAATGCTCGATTCAGTAGTTTCTGCAACTTCGACATGTGATCATGGAACCCGCGATCATACGAACAGACCTCGACAGTCTCTTTGACTACAGTCTGCAGCTAAACAAATGGTTGCTGATACCAATCGGTGCTTGGCCCTCACCGACATCAAAAATCGAGAGGGTCGTTTCATTAATTTTGATCGTCATTTCTTACTGCTCCATTCTGGCAACCGTGGTCCCCTGCATATTGTACGTGATCCTCGACGACGATCTTCTGACACAGAAGCTGATGGCGGTGGGTCCTCTGAGCCACTGGTTCATAGGAGGAATCAACTACACCACGTTGCTCTTGCGGAAAAAAGAGATCCAATGCTGCGTGAAGCACATGCAAATCGATTGGCGATCGGTGATGAAATCAAAAGACCAAGAAATTATGCTGAAGCACGCGGAATTCGGTCGCTACGTGGTTATTTTATGCACCACCTTCATGCAGGGTGGCGTTCTGTGCTACTGCGTGATAATGGGATTCACCACGGAGGTTATTCAAGTCGGAAACGAAACCAGAACCATACGTATGCTGCCATGTGCCGCTTACAAGAAGCTGATACCCGTGGACACTAGTCCCACAAATGAGATCATTTTATTCGTGCAGTTTTTGGCGGGTTTCATAGTGAACTCTAGCACTGTCGGAGCTTTTAGTTTGGCTATAGTGTTCGCGACACATGCTTATGGCCAGCTGAACGTGCTCATCGCGTGGATCAGGGAACTCGTGAACAAATGGAGAGATTGCGATCGAAATATTTATTTGAAGGAAATTGGTGTCGTCGTGGAGAACCATTTGAGAGCTCTGAGGTAATTTTAATTTAGTTTAGTGCGAGGTCTGGTGTAATGAAGTTTTGTTGCAGTTTTATATCGTATATTGAGGACATGATGACGGAGATATGCTTTTTGGAGTTGTTTAAGTGCACGTTTAATATATGTATGCTTGGATACTACGTTCTTACGGTACGCTGGAAATTTTTTTATTATATGTGTATTTGTAATAAATATTGTAGTTAAGATAAATGTTTCAGTATAGTATTGTTACTCGTATAGAAAGTTATTATTAAAAGTCGTAAAAAATTATTTTTATCGTCAGAAATTCATAGTAAAATTCATAATAAAATTCACAGTAAAAATTCAAAGGGAAAGTCATAGTAAAATTCATAATAAAGTTCATAGTAAAAATTCAGAAAGAAAGTCAGTAAAATTCATAGTAAAAATTGAAACAGAAAGTCATAATAAAATTCTTCTCCAAAATTTGTAATAAATATTAGAGTTAAGATAAATGTTTCAGGATAGTACCTATTGTTACTCGTATAGAAAGTTATTACTAAAATTCGTAAAAAATTATTTTTATCGTCAGAAATTCATAGTAAAATTCATAATAAAATTCACAGTAAAAATTCAAAGAGAAAGTCAGAGTAAAATTCATAATAAAATTCACCGTAAAAATTCAAAGAGAAAGTCAGAGTAAAATTCATAATAAAATTCATAGTAAAAATTCAAAGAAAAATTTATAGTAAAATTCATAATAAAGTTCATAATAAAAATTCAAAAAGGAAGTCATAGTAAAATTCATAATAAAATTGATATTAAAAATTGATATTGATAGTAAAAATAATTTAAATAGTGATAGTTAATAACAAATGAATGTCAGTGTCTAAATTTTTATTGTATCATAAATTAGAAAAGTATATTTTTATTGTATCATAAATCATAAATTAATTTATTTATTCCAGCAATGGGCGAATCGCGATTATCAAAGTATGACAATTTATGCCGTCATACTGTGTTCCATGGCTTTCAACATTTTCATAGTGTGCTACATCGGTGAGAAACTATCCGAGCAGGCAAGTAATTACAAAATAATTAATGAAAATCATAATAATACTCACCTTCCGATTCTTGACAGTGTAAAAAGGTCGGTGACTCAGTCTACATGACGAACTGGTATTATTTACCGGATAAACACATTCTGGATCTGCTACTGATCATTTCACGATCCAGTACGGTGATTAGAATGACAGCTGGGAAATTTGTTACAATGTCTCTTTATACGTTTGCAAGTGTACGTAAAAAACTTTCTGCTGTTTTTATTTTTTATTTAAGTTTTCATTTCTTCACTCTAGGTGGTGAAAACAGCCTTTGCTTATTTAAACGTGTTACGGCAGACTACATAACAGAAACGAGTTTAATTTATAAATAATTTGGAAACAAATTTTTAAAGAATAAATTGTAACCAATTAACAAGGTTGGTCAGGGAGTTTCTCACCTTATATGATTCGTAAGTTTGATGATCTAATTTGAGGTTTTATATTTGCGAACTGATCTGTTGCGTGTTTGATTAGTAATGATAGTGTATTTGTAATGTTTAATAATATATATTATGGAAAAGTTAAGGTTGTATTCTGTGTTCGTCCACGTGCTGCGGCGGCCATCTTGGTGACAGAAGTTTTCCTAAAATGGCGAGTCTTTAAGTATTTGTAATTATGTATAGCTATATTGTATGAATTATGGTTATTTTGTATTATGTGAAAGGGGGAATATGCATCTTAATGTTTACATAAATTTAATAAGAAAGACATAGATATATTAATTTAATTCCAGCTATTAAACTGCTAATTTAGTCAGAACAAATTTGCACAAAATAAAGGACAAATTAAATTAAATTAAATTAGAACAAAATAAAGGACTTGATCTAATATAGAACAGCAAAAATAAAAATGACGAGTAATTACATCAAATAAATCTATAATAATTATTTGATATAATATACAATGTATAAATATAATCAGCAATAGCCATTTCTAGCATGACAAGTAGCAATAAATAAACACAATAATGAGCCCATTATTAATATAACAAACTACTTATCTAATCTTCTAATCTTTAGACGTGCATCTAAACCATAAGATAGTAGCAAACAAAAGTTTGCAAATGTCACAATTCTCTTTTCTCCCAAATAAAATCTTGCAACAAACGAAAAAAAAACGCAAAATGAAAGCAACCTTACAGGATTGCACCTACAAAAATGCACCTTCAAAAAGGATGCAGTTCTCCGCGACTCCATCTCAATACCCCACCAACGATATGTAAACATAGTTGCGTTCACAATTACTAAGTTACAAGCAATCGATCGATGTCTGCGCAAGCGTTGAGCTGCATCTTCGCCCACACAAAACCCACGATTCAGTACATTGTTGATCCCCGACGAGCAACATGCACGACAAACCCATCACGGAGCAGACGGATCCCGAGATTCTGAGCGATTACAGCCTTCAATTAAACAGATGGCTGCTCAAATCCATAGGTGCCTGGCCTAAGTCATCCTCCACCACCAAAACGGAATTAACAGTCTCATTAATTTTGACCGTGATTGGCTACACCACCATTTTGATCACCGTAATTCCCGCCATCCTGCAGCTGATTTTAGGGGACATCGACTTGCATACAAAGGTGGTACTTGTGGGTCCGATGTCCCATTGGTGTCTGGGCGGCATCGGGTACACCATGTTGCTGATGCACGATGAGGAGATAAAATGGTGCGTGGAACGAGTGAAAAACGACTGGCGGTCTATAATGAACCCCGAGATGCAGCAGACGATGATCAAAAACGCGAAACTCAGTCGCTACGTGGTCTCCCTGTGCGCGATTCTTATGCAGAGTGCGGTTTTGGGCTTCGGTGTCGAGAAAGCGTTGTCCACGCAGGTCATCACGGTCGGAAACGAAACTAAGGTCGTGCACATGCTACCTTGTGCCACGTATAGGAAACTGCTACCCGTCGACACCAGTCCCACTTTTGAAATCGTTCTTGTCGCGCAACTTGTTTCCGGATTTTTCGTGAACGGTACTTTCGCCGGTGCTTTCAGTTTGGCTAGCGCTTTTACACTGCACGCGTACAGTCAGCTGAATATACTCGCCACGTGGATCACGGAAGCTGTGGATCAGTCGAGTTTGAACGATGTTGGGGCTATCGTAAGAAAACATTTGGCAATTTTGAGGTAAGTTGTTTGATTGATTTTATATGGGCCTCAACTGCTATGATCTTTGGCTCAGGTAAATTGTTTGGTGAATTTTTGTTGAAATAATGCTTTGGTTACAGTTTTATATCGCGTATAGAGGCAATAATGAACGAGATATGCTTCATGGAATTGTTCAAGTGTACCTTTAGTATATGCCTGCTTGGATTCAATATTATTTTGGTACGCTGAAAGTTGGAAGCGTATAGTTTGACAATATCATACGTGCACTCATTAATTGTAGTTTTAATGGAAAATAATGTGTTCTCAAACACAGGAATTACTCTTTGTATAACGTTGATATTAAAGACGTAATTTAGTGCAAGTCAGATTTTCATATGTTAAAATATTTCATTTTTGAAATATTTCATTTTTTAAATATTTTATATGATCGAGGTTTCTGTGTTAGGTGGTCGCAGATGAAGTTTCGGTTTAAAATATACTTCATTTAAACATGAAGTGTAAATTAAATTGTTTCAGTTTAAAATAGAAGTTGTGGTACTTACATCAATTTTAAAATTAACCTTTTTACTGACTTTTGGATCAGCAGGTCATTTTTTTATATTTATTTCATTTTTTTACTTTGTGTAGACTGTTCTTCGTAACAAAAATGCGATAAATTTGCTTTCGAGTAAAAATATTTAAAAACATTTGAATGTATATGTAGATTATTTATACTATGTATAAAAAATTCACTAACCCAATATTGAATTAATTCTTCTCAAAAGACGTTAAAATTTGGTAAAAATATTATGTAGATTAATATTAATGTCTCCGTTAAAGATATCTAATTTATTAACCTAAATATTTATTTATTTATATGTCTAAATATGTAATTTATTAGCAATCGATACGTTAGAGTGAAAGTTTGATAAATAAGCGACTCCATTTGCCGCAACCCAGTAATCAAGATGGCGGAGCACTCCACTAACGCATACCACTAAAATCTCCAAAATTCCCATTTGCTTTTAGGAATGGAACAATCGGAATTATTCAAGTATGTTAGGTTTTACCTTCGTTTTTATTTCCATGTTCTTCAATATTTTTCTCCTGTGTTTCATCGGTGAAACCATAACAGAACAGGCAAGTGAACGAAATCATCTTACGATCCATCATAATCGTAAATTTCTCAAAATTCTTAACAGTGCAATAAAATTGGTGAAGCAATCTATATGTCGAATTGGTACTATTTAGCCGACAAAGATATTCACAATCTAATGATGATCATTTCAAGATCCTGCGTGGAGACTAAAATCACCGCCGGGAAAATAGTTCACATGTCCTTCTATACGTTAGCTTCTGTACGTTTTTCTAATCTTTATAAATTATAATTAGTCTTTGAGATAATTTTTAACGTTCTAGGTTATAAAATCCAGCTTTGCTTACACGAATATACTGCTGCAAACAACATAACGCTGTATTACTTTATAATTATAAGCAAAATATAGACACGAAGTTATAAGCAATCTTATTTATTTTTCATGTAGTTGCGTATGAAATTAAACAATGTTATATTTCAAACAATTTTGTTTTAATCAATTCAATCTGTAACTAGATCATTATTATAGATATATTATCTAATAAATAACTAGAGGTAAATTAAAACAGTTCATCAGTAAAGATTCATAAAATCACACTTCAAGTTTAAGTACTTCAAGCTCCACTACTTACTTAAATAGTTTGTATGTTCTTTTTGTTGCTACTTCTTCAAGGGTTCAAAAAAATATTTCTATTTTGTTTGCACATATTGAATCACCGTCTAAAGGACAGATTTTAGTTGCATTATAATTTATTAATCTTTGGTGAATGTATTAGTAGACGTGTATTAGTAGACGTTCATACATCTGATATGTCTGTACATCATACATCTGATGTGTCTCACACATTCCTATGAACAATATTCATACATCTGATATGTCTGCAATATGTAAACATATCGTGTAATCTGTAGTATCCACCTATAGATTTAATAATTTATACAAACTTCGATATAAATGCACAAACATCTGTAATTTAGTAATTACCGAACACCTTTATGAGGTTTACTGTCCAGATCAAAATTGGTGTACAATAAATTTTATCATCACTACACGTATGTTTCTCATCGACACTGCAACACTGAAACTGTATAAAGTTAATCTAAACTTCAGATTCTAAAGTATAAAGATTCCTACAGTGTACGTAGAAAACATGAAAAAGTTTAACTCATCGCAGACAAAAGCTACCGCAAGCGGTTCACGGAGCGCGTTCACTCGCCAATCAAAACAAATCGATCAAAGCATTCATCAAAGGATACAAAGTTACGTGACGCGCAGGCGCCGTCACCCTCGCCTCCCTATTTCGATATAAAATCCTCATTCAGCACTTCGTAGCTCGAGTGGTCACAATGGCCAGTGAACCCACTGCCATTGAGGCGGACCTTGACAGTCTGAGCAACTGCAATCTCCAGTACAACAAATGGTTGCTAAAACCGATCGGCGCTTGGCCTAAATCGTCGACTGCCACAACGATGGAAAAGATCGCTTCATTAATTTTAATTTTTGTCTGTCAGTGCTGCATATTGATCACCGTGTTACCTTGTATATTGTACATCGTCTTAGACGACGACGACATCGCGGAGAAGTTGATGGTCGTTGGTCCGCTGTCTCACTGGTTCGTCGGAGGGTGCAATTACACCACGTTGTTGCTGCACAGCAAGGAAATAAGATTTTGTGCTCAACAGATGAAGAGTGATTGGATGACAGTCACGAGATTGAAGGATCTGCAAGTTATGCTGAAGTACTCGAAGTTGGGGAGATACGTGGTGGTTTTTTGCGCGGCTTTCATGCAGGGTGGTGTGCTGTGCTTTTGTGCGCTGAGAGCGTTCACTGTTGAGACGGTTCTAATTGGAAACGACACCAAAAACGTGCACCTGGTGCCCTGTACGCCTTCTAAGAAGGTCATATCCTTCGATACTAGTCCTACAAATGAGATATTTATTGCTCTACAATTTTTATCTGGTTTCATCGTTAACTCTACGGCCGCTGGAGCTTTTAGCTTCGCGGCTGTCTCTGCGGCTCACGCGTATGGACAACTAAATGTTCTGACCGATTGGATCAAGGAGCTTCTGAATCGCACGGGGAAATTTGATAGGAAAATTGATTCGAATAAAATTGGTATCATCGTGAATAATCATCTGAGGATTCTGACGTAAGTATGACTTTATCGTTTTGTTAGGTTTGTTGATTTCAAGTTGGTTGCAGATTTATAGCGAATATCGAGGATATTATGAATAAGATTTGTTTGATGGAGCTGTTCAAGTGTACGGTCTGCATATGCACGCTCGAATATCATATACTAATGGTACGCTAAAGAGATATATTAAAATGCATAAAACAGATTTACTGAATTCTTTTTCATATACATATTTATAATTCACATTAACATGTATTTAACACTTTAACACAAGTTTAACACTTTAGCTGTATTTAATATTAATTTTTGTAATTAGTACATCTTATTGATTTACCACTTTCTACTTCTAATTTACCATATTGATGTACCACTTTTTGTGAAATACAAACCTTTGCATAATTAATGTACTTGATTTACAATCTTGATATGTATAATCCTTTCAAGGATACTTACAAATGGACATTTTGTGTGTTTTTAAATTAATCGATTCTTTATGCTATTTCTTATACTATAAACTCTAGTATAATTTATTTATATACTGCAGGTTAAAAAAGGAACAAAGAATAAGTCGTTTAGTTTGCTAACCTCGAAAAATTATTTTTAACCTTGAAGAAATTAACTTGATAGAATAAATGAACAAATAAGTACAGTTTTTTGGGTACCACTTATTTGTTCATTACAATTGAATAAACGAACAAATGAACATTTTGTATACTCTCAAATTCATTAATTCTTTATGCTATTTCGTATACTATAAACTCTAGTATAATTTATTTATATACTGCAGGTTAAAAAAGGAACAAAGAATAAGTCGTTTAGTTTTCTAACCTCAAAAAACTCTTTTTAACCTTGAAGAGATTAACTAAATTGAATAAATGGACAAATAAGTACAGTTTTATTTGTACCACTTATTTGTTCATTTCAATTGAATAAAGGAACAAGTACATTTTTCTGTATATATTTACATATGCATACATATATGCATTTACATATACATACAATATATCTGTATATATGTGTGTATACATATATCTGTAATATTTCTTTGTTCATTTATTCAACTACAGATGAAACTGCATCACTTTGAATAACAATTTTGCACATACTCATATCAGAATTTAATAAATTATTTTTGCAGGAGTGGGCCAATCACGATTACCAAAGTGTAACAAGTTTCTTCCTCGTACTTTGTTCCATGTCCTTCAACATGTTCATAGTGTGTTACATCGGTGAGAAACTATCAGAACAAGTAAGTGAACAAGAAACGATCCAATGAAAAATACCTAAATAATACAATTCGTGATTTTAAATTTTTGACAGTGCAAAAGTATTGGTGAAACAGTGTACATGACAAACTGGTACTATTTACCTAATAAAGACATCCTCGATCTGATAATGATCATTTCAAGATCCCACATGATGACTAAAATCACCGCAGGAAAAGTAGTTCCCATGTCATTCGATACTTTCGCCAGTGTACGTTTTTATTTTTGTATCTATATGTCAATAATGAAACTCACTATCTTTCATAATTTTAGATGATGAAAACCGCTTTCGCGTATTTGAACATTTTACGCCAGACTGTATGACAAACGAGTAACTGAGTCTGTACATAGATGTAGCTGGTGCAAAATATATATATTGAATTATTAACAATTTCGGTAACTGTGTAACTGTGTCATCGTAATCATTATGGTTATTATATGGGAAGTAAAAAAGTAAAGGAAGATTTGAGAAAATTTTTTGTAATAATAAAAATGTGAAAGATAACTTAATTTTCTATATGACCTTCAATGCACTTTTTCCAACTTTTCACAAGTTTTTCGATTCCGTCAGAAAAATGGTTTTTACACCCCTTACTTTTCGACTTCCCTCATGTACTCAACAAAGAAATATTGTGAATTTTCTTTATTCTACTCAACAATGTTACAGCCATTTTATTGTAATTTTCATCTTATACCCAAGACTACTCATATTTTCAAACCTTCATAACCCTCACACAACTCGACTCACAAGTTGTAATTGCCACGCGAATAAAGTAATCAAACAGAGACTCTGAATTGTTTAACAAAGTCACAAACTAACTGACACGTCACACGTGATGCTAACAAAGTCACAAACTGACTAACACGTGACACGTAATTTTAACAAAGTCAAATTTAATAAAACAACGTGCCAGACACAAAATGCAAGCGCACGACACTCAACTCACATCAAACATAGTTGAATATACCGATGCAACAAGTTGTCTGTCCGAATCGATCGACAGCGATCGCAAAAAACTGCGCAAGCGTCCTAAGCTCTGTCGCGTAGCTTTCCTTTCCAAGATTCAGTTCCCTTTTCATCCTCGAAGAGCCATGAACAAACCTCCTCAGTCAGACCTCGACATTCTAAGCGATTACAGTCTGCAACTAAACAAATGGATGCTGAAACCGATAGGCACGTGGCCTAACTCCGGTACAAGACCAGAGAGGATAATTTCTCTAGTCTCAATCGTAAGTTGTTACTTCTTCATTCTGATCACCCTAATCCCCTGCATACTTCACGTGATCCTCGAAGACGACGATATGCAAGCGAAGCTATCGTCGATGGGTCCCATGAGCTACTGGCTCTTCGGAGGAGTCGGTTACACCGCGTTGTTGGTTCACAACGAAGAAATAAGATGGTGCGTGGAACAGGTGAAGAGCGATTGGCGAGCGGTCACAGGGCCGAAGATGCGGCAAACGATGCTGAAGGACGCGAAATTCGCTCGCCACGTGATCGCCTTTTGCTCGACCTTCATGCAAGGCGTCATCTTGTGCTTCAACGTGTCGCAAGCGTGCACCACGCAGATCATACAAGTCGGGAACGAGAGTAGAATTGTACATGTGCTACCGTGTGCTGTTTACAAGAAGCTCATACCGGTCGACAGCAGTCCTACCAACGAGATTTTTGTCGTTGTGCAGCTGGTGTCCGGTGCTATTGTAACTAGTACCATCGTTGGTGCTTTCTGCTTGACTACTGCCTTTACGGTTCACGTTTATGGGCAGTTGAATTTACTGATGGAGAGGATTGATGAGGATGTTGATCGGTCGAGCTTGAACAAGTGTGGAAGCGATATTGGCGCTATCAACAGAAGGCACCTAACAATTCTAAGGTAACTAAGGTAACTTCTTTTGCACAGTTTTACGGAGCTGTTAATTTTGATTTGGTTGCAGTTTCATATCACATATTGAGATTATTATGAGCGAGATATGTTTCATGCAATTCTTCCAATGTATATTCAGCATTGCCATGCTGGGATACTATATTCTTATGGTACGATGACGCTGCAAAAGTGTGTACATACGCATATTGTATTTTAAGTATATTGTGTTTTCTATAGATTACATGATAGCTTTTAACACTAAAACTACCAAACCGGTCAAATGACCGCTCCACAAGTTTCTTATTATAAGGTACACATTTTGTTAAAGTATTAGGTCGAGTCATAAGTAACTTCCGATGCAGCTAAATAGATTTTATTGTGTGTATGGTGAGATTATGAAGGTATAAGTCACCACGAGTTGTTGAAGTCAAATTTAACGATTACTGCGGATAAATACATTCAACAATTGCAAAGAGTGCAAGAGAAACTCCTAGAAAAGCGCCCTGCACTCGTCGTCAATCGCAGAAATGTCATTCTTTTATACGACAACGCGCGACCGCATACAGCAAGGGTGACTCAAGAAAAAATTCTCGAGCTTGGATGGTCTGTTTTACCACATCCACCTTACTCCTCAGATCTTGCCCCGACAGACTACCACCTTTTCTGTTCCTTACAGAACTTTTTAAATGGAAAAACCTTCAATTCTGAAGAGCAAGTCAGGCAGGCTGTTGAAAGCTTCTTCAGGTCCAAACCAACCACATTTTACAAGGAAGGAATTGATAAAATACCAGGAAAATGGGAGAAGGTTATAGAAAATAGTGGTGAATATATAATAAAATAATATAATTTTGTTGTTTAATGAGAACGAAATAAATGTCTGATAAAAAAACGGAAGTTACTTATGACTCGACCTAATACATTCCTTGAAATCAGCATTGATTTTCATGAAGGTAAAGAATAAATGTGTGTACTAATTTATGTTTCATCGTTTGTTTATTCATTTTTTAACTTCATTTTTAATTTCAAATTGAGTGCACATTATATGTCGGTAGGTTTAGTGTTAAACCTCTAGTTGTAGTAGTTAACTCCTTGTCTTACAATTCATGCGTCAAAATTGTACATAAGTGAAGTGAAGTTCGTAAACAGGGCAACTGTGTATACAGACTATTTTTATTACAATATGAGCGAAATTTCTCCATTTAGTATGTTTGTTCCCTTGTTTTGTTTCACTATATCTTATATTTCAGCTAAGAGTACTTGTTTGCAGTATAGAGTACTTGCATAATGCAGTAAAAAGCAATTTATAGCTGATTTGTTAATAATTCGGCTCTTGCCCCATTGCACATGAAATAAAGTTTCAAAGTATTTAACTTCAAGTTACACTCTTACCCCATTTTCGGGGAAAGTGCAGAGTTGTTGACATTTTAAACAATTTCCTATCAAAATCAAAATGTACAAGGAAAATTAAGGTCCTAGTTAATATTAATTAAATAGTAGTAATTGTGCAAAACGTTCGATATCAACTGCGTTTAAGTATTTACATAGCAGACTGAAAATACTTACGTTTAAATACCAACTTTATAAAAAGCAGTCTGCACTTACCTCACTTCACCTCAGCTACAATATTAAAACAAAGAAAATTAAAATCATTAAACTTAGTCCTTGGTTACATACATTATAATTAAACTTCAAGGTGAAGAGTATTAAAAATTTTAGTGAGGTTTGTCATGTTTGAACTGTAACGTGTATCACGAGTCTAACGCCATGTTGTAAGCCAAGGAGTTAACAGAAACGTGTCTTTGCTAATTATTTATACGAGTTTGCTAGCAATTTATGGAACATTGATAAATAATAAAATTTATCTTGAATTTGTGAAGTATATGATTTATTTGGATTTTTCAATAACTTCGAAATATAACATTTTATTTGCACAAACTAGCTATTTATATTTTGCTTTAATATAAAATGGAATGTTGTCTTTTATGACAACATATAAATTCCATCCAACGATCTAAATACACTTAGATCGTATGAATACAATTTTCAAAAATTGTAAACACATAAAAAATTGCTATTTCTTTCAGGAATGGGCGAATCAAGAATTTCAAAATATTATCAGTTATGTTCTCATTCTTGGTTCCGTAACTTTCAATATTTTCCTGCTGTGTTTCATAGGTGAAATGATAACAGAACAGGTAACTAAAATAAATTGTTACATTTAATGCGTGGTAATAATGTCTTTTTGGTAGTGCAATAGAGTAGCTAACGCAGTGTACATGTCGAATTGGTACAACTTACCCTCGAAAGACATCCTTGATCTAATGCTGATCATCATAAGGTCCAGTGTAGAAACCAGACTCACTGCTGGGAAGATGGTTCACATGTCATTCGACACTTTCGCTGATGTACGTTTCTTTAACTTCTGAGATACAGAATGAATGATTAAAAGTTGTTTAAAATTGCAGGTGATCAAGACTGGATTCGCGTATTTAAACGTGCTACGACAAACAATATAGTACGAATATTTCGACGATAGTTTTGTAGACAAACTGCTCTGTAAATAAATTTAGATGACGTGAAACGTTGGTGCTACAATCAACTTTGAATAATGATAATTTCATACCTTTTATATGTATTCATATCATTATTTTATTTTGAAAAACAAAACATAGCAATGATAACAAAATAATAGCAAATTTTACAGTCAAACCTATTAATTCTATTATTAACCCATAATTCTATTATTAAATACATAAGAACACTTTAAGGAAAGATTACTCATTCAAGCAATGCATAAGATGCAACCATAAATGATTTAAAATTTTGTTCACTGATAAATAAATCGATTTGCCATTTTTAGCAGAACAAAAACACTTGGTAATGATAATACTAAAGAGAATTTTATTGATGCTACCCCATATTTATTCAATATGAAAACACAACGAAACAATCGCAAAAATGTCCCTTGAAACTCGCTACCTAAACGCCTCTGCAACAAGTTGTATAGTGCAGCCGAATCGATCGGGAGAACAGACACAAAAAACCTGCGCAAGCGTCCTCAGCTCTATTCTCCAAGCGCACTACAATGTTGATGCAGACCTTTCCTCGACTTCGAAGGATGACCATGGCGTCCAGCAAACCCATCGTGGTACACACAGAGCTCGAAATCCTGGGCGACTACAGCCTCCAGTTAAACAGATGGATGCTGAAGGCGATCGGTGCCTGGCCAAAATCGCATTCCACGAAATTCGAAAAGATCGTTTCGATACTTTTGATCATAACCTGTTACTTCTTCGTGCTGATCACCGTACTTCCCTGCATACTGCACCTGATCTTCGAAGACGACGACCTTCGCACGAAGGTGATAATCCTGGGTCCCCTGAGCCACTGGTTCCTCGGGGGTGTCGGTTACACCACATTGCTCGTTCACAATAAGGAAATAAAATGGTGCGTCGATCAGGTGAAGAGTGATTGGAGAAACGCGACCAGACCGGAAGTGCAACAACTGATGCTGAAGGACGCGAAGTTCGGTCGCTACGTGGTAGCCTTTTGCGCGACCCTCACAGAATTTTCGACCGCGTGCTTCACCCTGGTGAGGGCTCTGACCACCGAGGTTATTGTGGTCGGAAACGAAACCAGGATCATGCGCATGTTGCCGTGTGTGCCCTACAGGGAGCTGGTACCAGTTCACACCAGCCCCACATACGAACTCATGCTTATCGCGCAGTTTGTTTCTGGTTTCGTCATAAGCTGTGCTTTTGTTGGGGCTTTCAGCTTGGCTACTGTTTTCACGATTCATGCTCATAGTCAGCTGAACGTGCTCATGATGTCGATCACGGAGCTTGTTGATGAGTCTAGGGAGAAGAGCTTCGAGAGGGATATCGGGGCTGTCGTCAGGAAACACTTATCAATTTTCAGGTAAGATTCACATCTATATACACTACCGTCCATAAGTATCCGGACACTTGGTTTCGTTACATAAAACATAGTTGAACTTTGTACGAAAGGTATTTAGAGTTATCATATTATTTGTAATAATTATTATTATCTATTTTGAGATGTCATAACGTAATAGAATTAATTTTTAAGTACAAATTATACAATGAAAGTGTGAAAGTAAAATTCATGTCCAGAAATACAAAGTCCAAATTAGTGAATCTAATAAAACGCTTTCGATTCCAAAAAAAATTTTATTTTTACTGTGTTTCATTTCTATGGTGCAGAACGTATTCAGAGGGTTCTTCGATATTCAAACGACAATTATCAATCGAAAAACGTTCCAGTATTCTGATCTTCGCAGAAAAAAAATCGATTTTAGTTGCTGTTGCAGATACTTGAATAACTTTCATGCAACGTGAATGCATATTTCGCTTGTGTCCGGATACTTATGGACGGTAGTGTATATAGATGTGAATCTTACCTGTGGGGTTTTCAATCATGGTTTGAACAAAAATTCAAAATTTCACGAAAGTAATTTACTCTTTTACTATTTCACTCTCACAAAGTTTACACGAAAAATGTTAACTTGTAAATTAATTTTAACATACATTCACTGTTTTTTAAAAATGAAAGACACCTATAGATCTTGCTATTTTTATTGAACGGTGGTTCAACCATTATTTTTTCTTCTTTAAACTTAAACTAGAAAACTAAGGATTTCAACTTAATCCAGAAAACTAAGGATTTAAACTTAATCTAGAAAACTTCAAATGAGGGTTAAACTGTTATTGAAAACCCAGCATTAGATCTGTGATATAAATTTTGTCAACAAGTATGTTATTTGCAGTTTCATATCGCATATAGAGGCAATAATGAACGAGATATGCTTCATGGAACTATTCAAGTGCACATTTAGTATATGCCTCCTCGGATATTACATACTTATGGTATGAAAAGTTGTGAGAGCGGGTATCTCGAAAGTGTATGCTGCATTTCACTATTAATTGTTTTGAATGTCTTTCAATAAATGTGTTCTCTATTAGCGAAGAAGTTGTAGGTGTATAATTAATCAACATGATATTAAATTTTATTTTGTAACATTTTATTACAATCTAGATTCTAGAACATCGTATTACACTAAATTCGAGTGTTCAATATTTAAAAAATTAATAAAATATTAATTTAGAAAATTATTTTTATAGGAATGGGCTCAGCAAGATTTTCGAACTATGACTGGTTATATCTCTGTGTTTAGTTCAATGACCTTCAATATTTTTATGTTATGTTTTATCGGTGAGACGATAAAGGAACAGGCAAGTGTACAATGCAAATTTTTAGGAAGTATATATAATTAATTATGATCGTAATGAACAGTGTAATAAAGTCGGTGAAGCTGTCTACATGTCGAATTGGTATTATTTGCGCGAGAAAGATGTTCTTGATCTGATGTTGATCATTTCGAGATCTTGTGTGGAGACTAATATCACTGCTGGAAAAATAGTTCATATGTCTTTTTATACTTTTACTGGTGTACGTTTCCCTAATTTTAGCGCACAAAGAAATAGGGTTCGTTTTAAACGTGTGATTCTTAAAATTCTAGGTTATGAAATCTGCATTCGCTTATTTAAATATATTGCTACAAACGATATGACACAAGTGCTGCGTTAAATTTGTAGTAAAATTTGTTGAATGAGTTGAGAGGCCAAAATCTAGTTATTAAATAATTGTGAACAATCTAAAATTGGTCTCGTTTATTTCCATTCTATATATTTCTTATTCATTATTATATTTGCAAAATTTTAGGTGAACCTTCAGACAAATAAAAAAAGGCAAGCATAATATTTATGGTAAAAATTAAGTTATGTTTTATATTCTGAAAACCAAATTTGGTAACTTCTTGCAATATGTTCGTAATACTATGTATTAAACTGAGTATTAATATTTTCAAATTGATTTATTTGAATTTCATGAAACACATTTTGCACTGTCAATTAATTTAACCTAATAAGAAGATTTAACCTGATATAAAAAATAAAACAACGTTCTAATTAACAAATATTATACTTTGATAATCCCTGTTGAAGATACTAGGTTGATAACAAACCATAATCTAACACATAACTGTACAAGATGATTTTTCTAAAAAAAATGGGTGAACAAAAATTTGCTCAATTATATTTTTAAGCTATATACCACTTTATCCTGCAAACTGAATTTAAAAAAAATCAACTCAATGTCTCATGTCATTTACAAACAATATTCTTAAGAGATCCAAAAGTTGTGCACCACCATCCAATATAACCACAAATAATTACATAACTGATACAAAAAATATACGTATATTACTTCAAGCACAGTAATATACGTCGCTAACCCTTATGACACACAGTTGACCAAAGTTCTACCCTATTATGAAAGTGTAGCTGAAAATAATAGCCGATGAAGTTTTAGGACAAATAAACACCCTCCGTCCTACAACCTATAATCATTAACTTACCATCATACACGCGATTCAAAACCAGTATCTACCTCTGCTACAAGTTCACAATTCAGACGTATCGATCGACATATGTTACACATCTGTGCAAATGTTATTTACTTACGCAGATCAAGGTGTTTGATTTCATGACACTTTAGTATGAATTTTATGGTTTCATGAGACTGTAGTATCAATTACATGGTAACATGACACTGTAGTATCAATTACATGGTAACATGACACTGTAGTATTAATTACATGGTAACATGACACGTTAGTATCAATTTCATGGTAACATGACACATTGTAGTATCAATTACATGGTTTCATAACACGCTGTAGTATCAATTACATGGTAACATGACACTGTAGTATCAATTACATGGTAACATGACACTGTAGTATCAATTGCATGGTTTCATGACACACTGTAGTATCAATTACATGGTAACACGACACTGTAGTATCAATTACATGGTGTCATGACACACTATAGTATCAATTACATGGTAACACGACAATGTAGTATTAATTATATGGTTTCATGACACTGTAGTATCAATTACATGTTTTCATGACACATGGTAGTATCAATTACATGTTTTCATGACACAAGTTAGTATCAATTATACCAAATATGTTGCACAAATATGTAGTCACGCAGTCACGTCATTGCACGAAGCATGAAGCAAACCTAAAATGACTGACGAACAATGGTTCATCGTCGAATCGCATTTGTCATTATTAACGAAACAAACAGGTCATTAATAAAACGTCATAGCTAAATGTTATACTTACCCTAAATAAAAATTTATTCAGTCCACCAACTAAAAGTACAATGAATCCATAAAATGTCCCATACATTTCTCTGCAACCCGACGAACAGTAACCAGTTGCAAACACAAACGCCACTGCAACAAGTTGCACAGCCGAATCGATCGTTTAGATACAAAAACTTGCGCAAGCGTTCTCAGCTCTGTTCTCCAAGCATTCACCCAAGAAAGTTGTCCATTCAGTTCTATCTTTGACACCGAAGGGCAACCATGACGCCCGGCAAACCCATCGTGGTACACACAGAGCTCGAAATCCTGGGCGACTACAGCCTCCAGTTAAACAGATGGATGCTGAAGGCGATCGGTGCCTGGCCAAAATCGCAATCCACAAAATTCGAAAAAATCGTTTCGATACTTTTGATCGTAACCTGTTACTTCTTCATACTGATCACCGTACTTCCTTGCATACTGCACCTGATCTTCGAAGACGACGACCTTCGCACGAAGGTGATAATCCTGGGTCCCCTAAGTCACTGGTTCTTCGGGTGTCTCGGTTACACCACGTTGTTCCTTCACGACAAGGAAATAAAATGGTGCGTCGATCAGGTGAAGAGTGATTGGAGAAACGCGACCAGACCGGAAGTGCAACAACTGATGCTGAAGGACGCAAAGTTCGGTCGCTACGTGGTAGCCTTTTGCGCGACCCTCATGCAATGTGCTGTTGCGTGGTTCAGCACGGGGAAAGCTTTGACCACCGAGATCATTATGGTCGGAAACGAAACCAGGATCATGCGCATGTTACCGTGCACGGCCTACAGGAAACTGATACCAGTTCACACTAGTCCCACATATGAACTTGTACTTACCGCACAGTACATTTCTGGGGTCATCGTAAACAATGCGTTTGCTGGCGCTTTTAGCTTGGCTACGGTGTTTACTATTCATGCTCATAGTCAGTTGAATGTGCTCATGATGTCGATTACGGAACTTGTGGACCGGTCTAGGGGGCAGAAGAGTTTCGGGCTGAATGATATCGATGCTATCGTGGAGAAACATCTGTCTATTTACAGGTAATGTATGAATCGTTCTGGAGGACCGGTTTTTCGATCATGATTAAAATAGATATTTGAAGCTAGAGTATGGTCAAATAATTTATTCTTCGTTTTTGTTAAATTTCTATTTTTTAATCAGACTACAAGATATATCGAATTTGTAAATTTGTAATTAAATTGTAAAATTAAGTTTGACACACGATCGACATTTTTAAGGACCAAACTAGAAAAGTAAACTATTACCATGACTTTGATACATTTATTAAACGACATTCTGAACCATCATTTCTTAATTTTAAATCTTAAGCTTAAAATGTGTAAATCTGAGTTTGAACCTTGATCTAAATTATAAAATAGACTTAAGCTATTCTTGAAAGACCGGTCCAATGCTACATTACAAAACTTTGTCAACAAGTTTATTAATTGCAGTTTCATATCGCATATAGAGGCAATAATGAACGAGATATGCTTCATGGAATTATTCAAGTGTACATTTAGCGTATGCCTCCTAGGATATTATATACTCATGGTACGCTAAAAATTGAGGAATTTGCAAAGTGTCATTCTGTATTTTTTCAATTGTCTCCAAATGCAACTTTGAACTCTAAGAGACTCAAAATATTGCATGAAACAATTTTAGACAATGAAGTTATGCACATAGAAGAAAATTCATGGATAAAACCTTGTCAAATGTTTTTCTAGGAATGGGCTCAACAGGATTTTCGAACAATGACCACTTACATATCTGTACTCAGTTCAATGACCTTCAATATCTTTATGTTATGTTTTATCGGTGAAACTATAATGGAACAGGCAAGTTTACAATGACAATTTTCACGAAATATATATAATTAATCATAATCGTAATAAACAGTGCAATAAAGTCGGTGAAGCTGTCTACATGTCCAATTGGTATTATTTACGCGAGAAAGATATTCTTAAACTAATGTTGATCATTTCGAGGTCTTGTATGGAGACTAAAATCACTGCTGGAAAAGTAGTTCACATGTCCTTTTATACTTTTACTGGTGTACGTTTTTTTTTATTTTTGAAACGCACAAAATGAGATCGTTCGTTTCAAACGTATCTTAACATTTTAGGTTATGAAATCTGCATTCGCTTATTTAAACATTTTACTACAAATGATATGACACAAGTTGCGTTCAATTTGTAGTAAAATGATGGTTTACTGAATGAAAGGGGCAAAATCTAGTTATTAAATAATTATGAACAATGTAAGAGTGTTGTTCTTAACCTTATTTACATATCGTTTACATACTTCATTACTGTTGGCCACTTCATTTTATAAAATAAAATTCTTAAAAAATTATTTTACAAATTTACAAAAATTCTTACAAAACTTTTTATAAATAAAAGAAAATAGTACCGTCATACTCACCTGGAAGTTAAATAAAAGCTCCGTAGTTACGGTCTAAGAGGTGACTTTTAATCTTGAAGTACGGTCGCAAGAAAAATATACATTTTAAACTAACAATAAGTATTAAGATATTCAAATTCATTTTAATTCCATAAAATAAATAAAGCTACACTGTAACATTGCATAGTTTTTGAAAGTCGCCACTAAAAATATTAGCTTGACAATAAACATAATCTAACACCTTGGCATTTTCACCTTTGCAAAATGGCAAAAATAAAAAATGGAAATTCGACTATATTTTTGAACCACAAAACATTTTACACTCAGAACGTTATTTCAATTAAAAACAAAACCAACTAATTAAATCATCACCAACTTGTCATGTCAACCTTATATTCTTCAGGGTAAAAATTGTGTACCCCATGCAAATAATTGCATAACTGATCTCCGATCATAATCACACCAATCCTTTTACACAGTAACTACATCATGGTGCACTGTATATCAAAACAACGACGAGTAACAGTCGATAAAGCTTTAACCAGCAAATAATTGCCTCCGTTCCAACCTATAATCTCCCTTCACCACACAATTGACAACTACGAACATCTACCTCTGCAACAAGTTGCACAGTCCCGGCAAATCGATCGTCCGCTAAACATCTGCGCAAGCGTTTACCTGTCGCGTAAATACAACATCGTTGATTCAGTAATTTCTTCGACTTCGATGAGTAGCCATGAGCAACGAGTTTATGGTTCAGAAGTTTATTTCTCAGAAGGAGCTCGATGGTCTGAGCGACTATAGTCTCCAGCTGAACCGCTGGCTGTTAAAACCAATAGGTGTTTGGCCGAAATCGTTCTACACGTCCAACATCGAAAAAATTGTTTCCTTAATTTCGAACATGATCTGTTACTGTTCGATCGTGATCACGGTCGTTCCTTGCATACTGCATCTGACGTTCGAGGACATTGATTTTCGTACGAAGCTGAAGGTGTTTGGTCCCATGACGCACTGGTTCGCTGGGGGAATTAATTACACCACGTTGTTGGTACGCGGCGAAGAAATTCGTCACTGTATGAAACAAATGCAGAATGATTGGCGAACTGTGAGCAGTCCGGAAGTGCAGCAGGTGATGTTGAAGGACGCGAAATTTGGTCGCAACATGGCTACGTTCTGCACCGTCTTCATGCAGGGAGGGGTTCTGTGCTACTGCGCCGCCATGGCGTTAACCAAGGAAATCGTTCAAGTCGGAAACGAAACCAGGACCATACACACGTTGCCAATTGCGGTTTACAAGAAGCTAATACCCGTGGATACGAGTCCCACTAATGAGATTGTTCTTGCGGTGCAAGTTTTGGCCGCCATCATCGTTAACTGTACCGTTGTTGGGGCTTTCAGCTTGGCCATTGTGTTCGCGGCACATGCTCATGGTCAATTGGATGTGTTGAACATGTGGATCACGGAGTTTGTGGATCAATCGAGGAATTCAAGTAAGAAAGTACGGTGGAATGGCATTGGAGTGTTCGTGAATAACCATACCAACGTTTTAAGGTAATTTTGTGTGTTTAAAGTCGTGTTGGTTTTTGTTAAACTTTGATTGGTTGCAGTTTTATAGAACACATTGAGCATGTGATGAATGTGATATGCTTTACGGAACTATGTCAGTGTACGATGTCTATATGCTTTCTTTGTTATTATATTCTTACGGTAGGTTGAAAAGGGTTGCGAATATAGTGGGCTCTTGGTATATTGCAGGTGAGAAGATTGAAGCGTTAAGGTCAGAAGATGTGACGAATAGAACACGTTGACAATATAATGCATGTCAAATTTGATGTGTATAAAATTCAGTACGTATTGAATAATTCCGATTATAACGTATTCCAAGTATCACATGTGTCAAATATAACATATGTCAAATATAACATGTGTCAAATACAACACATGCTAAGTTCAACACATGACTAATACAACACGTACTGAATACAGTGCATGTCGAATATGACACATTCCAAATATCATACGTGATAAATACAACATATGTCAAATATAACATGTGTCAAATATGACACATGCTAAGTTCAACACATGACTAATACAACACGTACTAAATACAGTGCATGTCGAATATGACATATTCCAAATATCATATGTGCCAAATACAACATGTGTCAAATGTAATATGTGCCAAATACAACACATGTTATGTTCAACACATGACTAATACAACACGTACTGAATACAGTGCATGTCGAATATGACATATTCTAAATATCATACGTGACAAATACAACATATGTCAAATATAACATGTGTCAAATACGACACATGCTAAGTTCAACACATGACTAATACAACACGTACTGAATACAGTACATGTCGAATATGACACATTCCAAATATCATATGTCACAAATATAATATGTGCCAAATACAACACATGTTATGTTCAACATGTGATAAAAACAACACGTACTGAATACAGTATATGTCGAATATGACAGATTCCAAATACAACACATGTCAAATGTAACATACGCCAAGTACAGCATATGTCAAATACAATGCGTACCAAATACAACATATGTCAAATGCAACACGTGTCAATACAACATCACTCAATAATACCAATATAATATTCAGACTTCAACACAGATAATTCGCAATTGCAATACAACAAAAGAGGGCGCCACAAGTGCGCATGAAGACCGCCTTAAAACTTGCAATATAACAAGAGTCTCCTACACACAAACCACTATTATAAGAACAAATATCAAAACATATTCAGCGTTTCAACATCAATACTCTTCAATTTTATTTTATCGACCCAAAATGAAATTGCATATTCTTTCAGGAATGGCATGAACACGATATTCATAATTTGACCACATACGTAATTATACTTGTTTCCGTGACTTTCAACGTTTTCATAATGTGTTATGTCGGTGAATTATTAACGAAACAGGTAACGTTTTAATCAGTAGCACAACGTATGATTTAAAATATCGTCTCGATTCATTAACTGAATTTTTAACAGTGCAACAGAATTGCCGACGTGATTTATTCGACAAATTGGTATTATTTACCTTGTAAAAACGTTCTTGATCTAACAGTGATCATCACGAGGTCAAGTATGGTAACCAAAATCACAGCTGGGAAAATAATTTACATGTCCATGTACACTTTCGGTGCTGTAAGTCTTTTTATTTACGTGAACATGGTATTTGAACAATTTTAAGAGATCTTACTATTCCAGGTGCTAAAAACATCTTTCACGTATTTAAACATACTTCGACAAATGACGTGACATAAATGTATTTACTGTAAGTTCTGCGTTAATTAGCGGTCTGTAGAAGTTCAAATAGATGTTTCAAGTAGTCTCTAGCTTTCACTTATTCAAAATATCGCACAAGACATTCTGTATCACTCACATGATTAATATTTAGAAACATTAATACTTGGATAACCGACTATACTGTATTTACATTACAGTCACATTAAATTACAGCCACGTTGTTATTAACTTTTAGTTAAATTTATATTATATTTTTAACGCGAAAGGGTTTTTTACATCTGAATTTTTATATGGATAATTATGAGTACTAATTAAATTTAAAAATCTTATAATTTTGATATACACGTTTTTATACGAGCGAACATTAAAAATATACTGACGACATTTGAATTATATTAATTCTGGTTTACATTCTACCCACACAATTTTATTCTGAAAACAATATACAAAGTATACTTACCTCCACATCTCATTAAACATAAATTCCGATTAATACAAAACCAACATTACCACAAACCCCAACCACAAATCTAGAAAGACCGAGTACTCGCGTCCCGCAATCATCGACAGAACGATGTATACTAAAACACAATTTCACCGTAACCGCAACAAGTAGCAGAGCGCAAATCGATCGCACATTCGCGCAGGCGTTGAGCTAACTCTAATCATCCCCATGCAAAATCCTCGATTCAGTGGTTTTGCAACTTCGGTGCACGATCATGATCGACGAGTCGACCATCCAGCAGAATCCCATCGGTCTGAGCGATTACAGTCTGCAGCTGAACAGGTGGTTCCTGAAACCGATAGGTGTCTGGCCAGTTTTGACCTCCAGAAACGAAAAAATCGTTTCATTAACACTAAACGTAATTTGTTACTGCTCCATTCTGGTCACCGTAGTTCCCTGTTTACTGCGTATCTTCCTCGAGGACGATGACCTTCTCGCGAAGCTGAAAATGACGGGCGCCATGAGCCACTGTTTCGCAGGCGGTCTTAACTACACCACGCTGCTTTTACGCAGGAAGGAGATACATTATTGCATTAAACAGATTAACAGTGACTGGAGAACCGTGAAGAGACCCGATGCGCAGCAGGTGATGCTGAAGGACGCGAAATTCGGCCGCAGCGTGGCGGCCTTCTGCGCCATTTTCATGCAGGGCGGCGTTTTCTGCTTCAGCGTCGCTACAGTGTTCACCATGGAAATTGTTCAAGTGGGAAACGAAACCAGAGCCGTGCACACATTTCCGTGTCCAGCGTATAGGAAGTTGATACCGGTTGATAATAATTTTTTATGCGAAATTTTTCTTGCGGTGCAATTTCTGTGCGTTTTTATTGTGAATTCGACTATCGTCGGAGCCTTCAGTCTGGCTATAGTGTTCGCGTCTCACGTGTACGGGCAATTGGATATCCTTATGGTGTGGGTCACCGAGTATGTGAATAAATCGGAGGAGATGCATAAGAATCGGTGGAATCAAATTGGAGTGTTCGTGGAGAATCATGTGAAAATACTGAGGTAATTTTTAGGAGGTTCGTGGAGAGTTTTTGTATTAAATTTTGGGTTTTTAGGTTTATAGCGCATATTGAACAAGTGATGAGTCCCATTTGCCTGTCGGAGCTGTGCCAATGTACGCTAAGCATGTGCACTCTTTGTTATTACATTATTATGGTATGTTATTTCAAGGTTTTTGTTTGTACAATTTTACATGTGAAAATTTTTCGTATTTAGTCGTACAATTTGGGGTACTTTTGTTTATTGGTTTTTGTGAGGACTATGACTTGAGATGTGAAAAGTTTGAAGAATTATTGTAGGGTAAGCTTTCTCTGTTTGCAAATTTATTTCCACATTTTTATGTTTATAAATTTGCAAGTTACTAAATTAATGAGATATGAAATATTTAAATTTGTTGAGTACTGAATTGTTTAGTTTATAAATTTCCAAATTGGAAAGTCACAAAAATAGTAAATTAGCAAATTATCAAGTCACAGAAATATTAAATTAGTAAATTACCAAGTCTCAAAAATTGTAAATTAGCAAATTACCAAGTCACAGAAATATTAAATTAGTAAATTGCCAAATCACAAAAATACTAAATTAGCAAATTACAAAGTCACAAAAATAGTAAATTAGCAAATTACCAAGTCACAGAAATATTAAATTAGTAAATTGCCAAATCACAAAAATACTAAATTAGCAAATTACAAAGTCACAAAAATAGTAAATTAGCAAATTACCAAGTCACAAAAATACTAAATTAGCAAATTGCCAAGTCACAAAAATACTAAATTAACAAATTACAAAGTCACAAAAATAGTAAATTAGCAAATTACCGAGTAACAAAAATACTAAATTAACAAATCAACAAATGACCAAAATAAGCAAATTATCAAATTATCAATCTATCAGTTTATCAAGTTATTAAATTATCAAATTATCAAAAAGCACATCTCATAATGTTGAAAAAATAAACCCTCTTCAAATCAATCACAATGAAAATCGTATACTTACATACGCTTCCTGACGTTCACATTTTCCAACCCTCGTCAAGTCATCCCCTATAAATATAAAATTGATAATGAAAATACGTAGGACTTTTAAATTATTTACCTAGTTATTTACACAATTTAACTTAGTTAAATTAGTTAAAGTTATTTACTTGTATCTCTTCTCGTTACATAAATACAAAATAATGTTTTTTAGGAATGGGAGGAGCATGACGTTCAGAATTTAACTTCTTACGCCATGATACTAGTTTCCGTCACTTTCAACGTTTTTATAATGTGTTATATCGGTGAAGTACTAATGGAACAGGTAAAAAATACAATTAATAAAAACTATTTACAATAATTATCCGAAAGAAATGCTTAACAGTGCAACCGAGTTGCTGATGTGGTTTACATGACAAATTGGTACTGTATGCCTTATAGAAGTATCCTTGACCTAATTCTAATCATTAGCAGATCGAATGTGGTGACTAAAATCACTGCTGGAAAAGTAATTTATATGTCCATATACACTTTCGGTGACGTGAGTATTTCTAGTAACCATTTTTATGATAAATACAAATCACTTGAATAACATTTCATTCGTTCAAAGATAAAATGAGAACAATGTTACAGGTGTTAAAGACAGCCTTCACGTATTTAAACATACTGCGGCAAACGACGTGACGCAAATAAGTCAATTAACTTGTATAGAGATCTGTAGAGAGATGTAGAATTTTCAGACACAGCAATGATAACTTTGATGAGAAAATAAATAATTACGTAGGTTATTGTATGTATGTAGAATTTATTACGGTAGAAGCAAATCTAGTTTCTTTTGTACCAAGGTATAAAACTTTACTTCTTTAAAATGTTTGCTTCACCATGTTTTCTTCTATTCACTTTTCAATTTAATAATTTGGAAGTTTAGAAATATGAAAATTTTCGAATTCACGGATTCAAGTGTCCAGAATTATAAATTTAAATCATATAAAAATTTCAAGGTTCCAAAATTTAAACTTATTTTAAATTCTGGAATTGGAAGATTTCAAGATAATGAAACTTCAAACCTTCAAACATAGAAATTTACTAACATAGAAATGTAGAAGAGTGATATGCAAAGTTACAAATTTAAAAAGCACCGCGATCACCACAAGCTTATTCACTTTCACAAAACACCCTCGCTCACCTTTACTACTTAGAATACTATTAGAATATTAATAGTTATATCCTATTTAGAATACTAACTAATCTCCCAAATGTTGCTATCCATTCCCAACATAATTCACAAGCACTCAATACATCAAGCCACCACAAACGCAAGACAATCGCGTTGCACCGCATCCGCACCTCCGCCGAAGAAAACTTCAATGCACCCTCTTGTAACAGTGCGGGACGAAGATAGCACATGCGCGATGGCGAGGTCCTTCGATAATCGATGTGTCGCCTGGCTGTCAGTTGTGCGTGCACTTTCGACAGCACAGTGTCATAATGAACGCACTCAGCGATTTATCGTTGGAAAACGATTGGATGTACAGTATCCAGATGAATCGTTGGTTCCTGAAACCGATCGGTGTCTGGCCTCTGTCGTTGTCCGTGACCACCTTCGGAAAACTGAATTCCATAATTCTCGCGTTGATCAGCAGCTTCTTGATAGGATTTCTCCTGGTCCCGTGCGCGTTGTGTACCCTGCTCGACAAAACGGGGGACCTGGACACTAAAGTAAAGATGATCGGTCCCCTCAGTTTCTGCATGATGTCGACCTTTAAATATTACATCCTCGCTTCGAGGGGCGGGAAAATCAGCGAGTGCATCGAAAGCATGCGTTCGGATTGGGCTAAAACTCGTTCGGCGGGGTATGAAGAGGACAGAGAGATCATAATCGACTGCGCGAGGGTTGGCAGATCGATCGCCATCATCTGCGCTGGTTTCATGTACTCCGGTGGATGCTTTTATACCGCCGTGATGCCGCTGTACTCCAAACGAACGGAGATCATCGATAACGAGACTGTGAGGTCTCAGACCTTTCCGATTTATAGACGCCTTCTTGATCCACGTACTACACCCTCGGTCGAGATCGTGCAGTTCATGCAATGCTTGGCGGCGTTTGTGATGTATTCCGTTACCGTTGGTTCCTGCAGTCTGGCTGCGGTTTTTGTCATGCACGCTTGTGGACAGTTTAGGATTCTTGTGATGAAATTGCAGAGATTGGTTGATGGGGCGACAGGGAAGAATAGTGTTAGAACGTATGAACATCGACTGGGGGATATTGTTGAACATCATTTGCAGATACTTAGGTAATGAATTTTGTTCTTGCGGTGGATTTTAACTTTATATATTATAATTTTCCTTGTGATGTTATAATGCAATACGTTATAATTTTACTTGCAAAATGATTATAATATAATACATTATAACTTTACTTGCAAGAGGATTATAATATAATACATTATAACTTTACTTGCAAGAAAACTGTAATACATATAATACATTATAACTTTGCTGGCAAGAGGACTATAATACAATGTACCATAATTTCACTTACAAGAAGATTATAATGTAATACATTGCAATTTTATTTGCAAAGGATATAAAATATAATATATAATAATTTTACTTGCAAAACCATTATAACGTGATACATCATAGTTTATCTGTGAGAGAATAATAATGTAACACGTCATTTTTTTTGTAAGAAGATTATAATGTAATATATTCTTGTAACTACCATGTATGTATAAAGTATATAGTAATGGTGCGAATTTTAATCTGTAAATTATCTCCTGTAATACTTGTTGAAGTGGCTTAGTCGAAATTTGATCTGAACCTGTAAAGATCGTGTGAAGGTCAACGAATATTAAATAAAAAATATTTAAAGATGTTGCATTCGTGAATAAAAATGGATCATTACACATACACGTACATGTGATATAAGACATACATATGTATACATATGTGTACTTAATGGTACAACATATGTTGTATCACATGTGAAGATATGCATATGTACAACAGCTATACATATATGTATGAAAAAACAACATAATTATGTTGAATACATTTTACCAGTATTAACTGCTACATAATTATTAATTAATATGCAATATCCATTAATTGCTGTAATAACGAAAAACTTACTAAAATTATACATAAAACATTGTCATTATAAATAAATTGACTACGTATCTCCTTCATCTGAGGTCCTTTACAAACAAAGATATATTAACTCTTTAATGACCCGCTCATATCTAATGCGTGTGATGGTCCCAAAGGTTCTTACCCTTTGTGTGATGATTGAACGTAAACGTAAAATATTAAATTTCTTGTATTAAATGTGTTGTTATTTTCATTTATTTCCTATGAATATAAAGTTTCCTTAAATCAAATTTTTAAAAATATTGCCAGGCCCTGACGTTTGACTGCATACACGTGCGGCCATTAAAGCGTTAATATTCTAAAACCCGCAATTTTGAAAATAAAAAGTAAACATCGTGAATGATTTTCAGGTTCATATCTCGAGTGGAAGATCTCCTAAACGAGATCTGTCTGGTCGAAGTAGTTGGTTGCACAATGAACATATGCTTTCTGGGTTATTATTTGCTTACGGTAAAAAAAAAATTCACATGTTTCAATTTTCTTTTCGTTTTATTATAAATAATCTTTTCTCTAGGAATGGGAACAAAGTGAAGCTATAGGAACACTGACTTACTGTCTTTTTTTCATTTCTTTGACGTTCAATATTTTCATACTATGTTACATCGGTGAAATTTTATCAGAACAGGTATATGATTTTTATAATAAATAATGAACATGAATTTTACCTGCATGCAGAGGAGAAATTTTTCGTAATTCAATTTTATAGTGCCAAAATGTCGGGTTATCGGCTTGTATGATCGACTGGTATCGTTTCAGACAGAAAAAAGCACTGGGACTGATATTGATAGTTGCGATATCAAACTCTTCCACTAAATTGACGGCTGGAAAACTCGTTGAATTATCTCTGAGCAATTTCTGTAGTGTGAGTAGCTTAGGAAAGATGCTCAAAACAGTCTTCATAAAATGGCAATATTTACCTTCTAAGGAACGGAAGATACATTTACTTAAAATATAAAAAAAATATATACTTTCTGTTAATAATCTGCCTCCATAATTTTTGAAAAAGATCTACAAATCAGTGAAAGATCACAAAATCAGCAAATTCGTTGACCACTTTTAAACATCTTCCCTTAACTCAGTTTTAGATATCTTCAGATAGCAAACTTTAAATACTATCATATTTGATGAAAATATTTTTTCTCACAGGTATTCAAATCGTCGCTGGCATACTTGAGCTTACTCCGCACGCTCACAACGTAAAAACAAATCATATTTTATTAATCTCAGGACGAAACATTGTAGATATGAAAATGTTGTTATTAATTACTAATTGTTGGATGAATAAATGACTGACTGACAGTCGTATTAGACATTTGAAGTTGTTAGAATTATTTCGAGAAATAAGAGACCCAGAGTTTCATATCCTTCCCATCAGAAAAAAAGCAAGAAAAATAGCAAACAATTAGCAATAACTAAAAATAAACTAAATTAGCAATTACTAAAAATAAACTTAGCAATTACTAAAGACTAGATGAAATTTATTAGTGTAAAACATATTTCACGAAATCAGTTCTATGCATCTTTTAATTTCCATAAAATAAAGTATTCACGTGATGAAGGGATATAAGCGATATTGAATGTAAGAGGATTAAAAGTGCATAGTTACCTCATCGACTTAACCGAAGAACTGATCTTAATTGAAGATCATCAGCCTAACAGCAGTTAAACACAGTCGACATCCCTCATTCGAAATCATCATGAATTGCAAACTACCCCTCGCAACTTCACCATCGAGAATTACAAAACGATCGTTTCACCCCTGCGAAATTGTCTGTATTCACAGACCGCAACGAGACAAATGCAACATGTGATTTCCACCCGTCATTATCGATCACGAAGTGCAACTTCGTTCTACCAAGTTTCCCCACTATTATCGATCACGAAGTGCAACTTCATTCCACCAAGCGTCCGCATCGCGCTTGCGTCGTCCACTGAGCATCGCAGGCGTCGAAATGCATCATTACATACAAAATACATCGTCTGTCTAACAGAAACCGTATCCTTTAATTATTAACAACCGCAACCCTCCGTCCGTAGCATGCAACGTAAACATTAAAACACTTGCATTTCAACCATCGCGTCAAATCTTTCATTCGATCGCGTGCGTTACAGCCGTCACGATGCGTGATCAATCCTTCGATAACGTAATCCTGAAGAACTCTTATTATTCATCGGACATACGATACTCTCTGGAGATGTGTCAATGGACTCTGAAACCCATCGGAATATGGCCTTTGATCTACCACCGCGTCACCAGACGGGATAAGCTGATTTCCGCCGTGCTTCTGGTCCTCGGTTTCTCGTCCCTGTTCTTCGTCCTGATTCCGTCGGGTCGTTTCATATTCTTCGAAGGACACATCAGCACGAAAGTGGGTCTCTTCGGCCCCGTCGGATTCTGTCTGTCCACCACCGTCAAGTACGTTTACCTCGCTCTGAGAGCGTCCATCTTTGAACGCTGCATCGAACACGTGGAGCGAGATTGGAGAACGGTGGAGGACCAACGTCACCGTTCCATCATGCTAGAATGTGCAGCGTTCAGCAGAAAATTGATCACCTTGTGCGCCGTTTTCCTGTACAGCGGCGGTATGTCGTATCACACGCTGTTGCAGTTCTTGTCCAAAGACAAACAACAGAACAACCTCACCGTCAAGCCGTTGACCTACCCTGGATACGACGCGTACTTCGACTCCCAGGCCAGCCCTGCTTACGAAATCGTCTTCTGCATTCATCTGGTCACCGCGATGGTACTTTATACGATCACCACTGGGGCGTACAGCTTGATCGCCATTTTTGTTACGCATATCTCCGGGCAGATTCAGATACAGATGGCGAGGTTGGAGAACTTGAGGAACGCGCAAGTGGGGAAGGGACAACGGAATCTCTTGTCGAATATTGTTTATAATCATGTGGAGATTTTGAGGTAAGCGATTAGGAGAATATTGGAAATAGTGGAGAATTGTGGAGTTGTATTTTCTGTAGATTTTCGGAGAATATGCAGGGGGCGCTGCAGGAGATATGCTTTACGGAAGTTGTGGAGTGCACGATGAATATGTGTATGCTGCAGTATTACTGTATTATGGTAAGTAATTGTGTCTGTAAATAACTGTCAGTAACTAATTAACTGTTTAACGTGTTTATGATTGTTTGAGATGCTATTAACAGACTTGATAAATTTAGACAATTAAATATTTAGTCCTTGATATCTTTATTAACCACTATGACTTATGTACGTCTTTGATAGAAATTAAGTCTCTTAAAATTTAGTTTAATAGACTTAATTTAATTAAGTCTGTTTAAGTCTAGTTATATAGCAATTTATAGTTAAATATTTACAGTTAAATTATAGTTATAGAAAGCCTGCTAATTAAATATGTGCATGCATATATTTTCAGTCATGGAAAGCATCAGACGGTATAAAAATAATTACGTATTTTGCTTTGTTAATTTCCTTCACTTTCAATATATTCATATTCTGCTACATCGGAGAAGTTTTAACTGAACAGGTACCCATTTTTAAATAATTGTTCTTCATGAAAAGAGCACTTGTAATAAATTGTAATCTTTCCAGTGCAGCCAAATCGGTAAAGCTTCCTATGAAATCGATTGGTACAATTTACCAGCGAAGAATGCTCACGATCTCATTCTGTTGAACATCGTATCGCAAAATCCTCCTAAGCTGTTAGCCGGGAGAATAATCGAGTTGTCGTTGAACACCTTCAGCTCTGTAAGTGATCGTATTTTGAAATAAGTGTTTGAAAGTTTGATAACGAATATAAATTTCAGGTAGTTAAAACGTCTGTAGCTTATATGAATTTACTTCGAACTGTTACAGACTGATATACACAGTTATTTGTTATTGGCACTGGAAGACAGTCCGTTAGTTTAACTGATTCTTCGATGAAAATTACCTATTTTATCTTTCAGAAATTATTAACCCTTATTGAAATTTGTGGTAACTTTTGTCAAGAAATGCTAATTTTCATCGTTCAATTTTGGAATTTCGAAATAAATACTTGTTTATAGAGAGGAAGATAATTTATCCCCCGTGAAATTATCGAGTGTAGTATGTTGATAAATGTTGTTGTATACAAGTGTAGTTTCTTTCTTCTTCAACCGTATGTATTCTTTTTGAATAATTTTCACGTTTTACTTTGGGTATGCAACACTGAAGTTTTTAAATTAATTTTAATACTTATTTCGAGCAGCATGCAGTCACTTTCTCGTAATTGAATGATACAACGCATGCGCACAACACCGACCAATGAATTAAACGCCAACCTCCAGGGGGTTGACCGCGCCTGCGCGGTGGTTGTAGACACCCTTACACCATATGATGCCTTACATGTATATCAATTTTGAACTACGAATTAACTAATCAAATTTATATTTTAATTAAGCACACTTTGAGTACTCAACACTTTAATAGCCAGACATGTGTTAGTCACAAGTACTTATTACATTCGTTTCTGTTTCGATTTCTGTATAACGTACGATTACAATTAATACAGTAGATAGTATAATAAATATACTATCAAATATTTTAGGTTTCAAGAAATTCTAATGAAAATATATATACACTTGACGTCATATAAATTGTATAAACTTGAAGTTATATGTGGGTTCCGAAATTTCGAAGACACGTTTCACCATTCAAGAATTCGCACTTTTATCACGTTGAATACGAATCATTTTTAATAGTCTTTAATTATTACTTTTGTAGCTATTATCTAAAGTATCAAGTACTTACAAGTATTTCTAATTAGCCGATTTAAAACAACTTCAAAATTTGAACTTTATTTAAATTCTGGAATTGGAAGATTTCAAGATAATGAAACTTCAAACCATCAAACAAAGAAATGTAGAAGAGTGATATGTAAAGTTACAAATTTAGAAAGCACCGCGATCACCACAAGCTTATTCACCTTTACAAAACACCCTCGCTCATCTTTACTATTTAGAATACTATTAGAATATTAGTAGTTATATCCTATTTAGAATACTAACTTATCTCCCAAATGTTGCTATCCATTCTCAACATAGTTCACAAGCACTCAATATTTCAAGCTACCACAAACGCAAGGCAATCGCGTTGCACCGCATCCGTACCTCCGCCGAAGAAAACTTCAACTGCACCCTCGTGCAACAATGCGGGACGAAGATAGCACATGCGCGATGGCGAGGTCCTTCGATAATCGATGTGTCGCCTGGCTGTCAGTTGTGCGTGCACTTTCGACAGCACAGTGTCATAATGAACGCACTCAGCGATTTATCGTTGGAGAACGATTGGATGTACAGTATCCAGATGAATCGTTGGTTCCTGAAACCGATCGGTGTCTGGCCTCTGTCGTTGTCCGTGACCACCTTCGGAAAACTGAATTCCATAATTCTCGCGTTGATCAGCAGCTTCTTGATAGGATTTCTCCTGGTCCCGTGCGCATTGTGCACCCTGCTTGACAAAACGGGGGACCTGGACACTAAAATAAAGATGATCGGTCCCCTCAGTTTCTGCGTGATGGCGGCCATTAAATATTACATCCTCGTTTCGAGGGGCGGGAAAATCAGCGAGTGCATCGAAAGCATGCGTTCGGATTGGGCTAGAACTCGTGCGGTGAAGTACGAAGAAGATAGGGAGATCATAATCGACAGCGCGAGGGTTGGCAGATCCTTCGCCATCTTCTGCGCCGGGTTTATGTACTCGGGTGGGTTCTTTTATACTACCGTAATGCCGCTGTGCTCTAAACGAACGGAGATCATCGATAACGAGACTGTGAGGTCTCAGGCCTTTCCGATTTATAGAGGCCTTCTTGATCCACGTACTACACCCTCGTTCGAGATCGTGCAGTTCATGCAATGCTTGGCAGGGTTTGTGATTTACTCCGTTACCGTTGGTTCTTGCAGTCTGGCTGCGGTTTTTGTCATGCACGCTTGTGGACAGTTTAGAATTCTTGTGATGAAGCTGCAGAGATTGGTTGATGGGGCTGCGGGGAAGAGTAGTTTTAAAACGTATGAAGATCGGCTGGGGGATATTGTTCAACATCATTTGCAGATACTTAGGTAATGAATTTTGTTCTTGCGGTGGATTTTAATTTTAAAAATTATAATTTTCCTTGTGATGTTATATTGCAATACGTTATAATTTTACTTGCAAAATGATTATAATATAGTACATTAGAACTTTACTTGCAAGAGGATTATAATATAATACATTATAATTTTACTTGCAAGAAAACTGTAATACATATAATACATTATAACTTTGCTTTCAAGAGGACTATAATACAATGTACCATAATTTTACTTACAGGAAGATTATAATTTAATACATTGCAATTTTATTTGCAAAAGGATTACAATATAATACATAATTATTTTTTCTTGCAAAACCTCATTTTTTCTGTAAGAAGATTATAATGTAGTATATTCTTATAGCTATTGTATATGTATGCAGTATATAGTAATGCTGTGAATTTTAGTCTCTAAATTATCTCATGTAATACTTGTTGAAGTGGCTCAGTCAAAATTTGATCTAAACCTGTAAAGGTCGTGTGAAGGTCCACGAATTTTGAATAACAAATATTTAAAAATGTTGAATTTATAAATTAAAATGAATTATTATACATACATGTACACGTGATACAAGATATACATATGTATATGTGTACTTAATGGTACAGCATATGTTGTATCACATCTGAAGATATACATATGTACATGTGCACATAATGATACATGATATGCATATATGACATGTAATATTGTATACGTGTACAAGATATTTATCAAAAAATTCACCATACAATACTTATACAACAGCTATACATATATGTATAAAAAAACATAACGTAATTATCTTTAATACATTTAGCAGTATTAATTGCTACAAAATTATTGACTAATTTTCAATATCCATTAATTGCTGTAATAACGAAAAACTTACTAAAGTTATATATAAAACATTGTCATTATTAATAAATTGACTACATATATCCTTCATCTGAGGTCCTTTACAATCAAGGACATAGATACTAACTCTTTCATGGCCGCTCGTATCTCATGCGCGTGATGCTCCTAAAGGTTCTTACCCTTTGTGTGATGGCTAAACGTAAACGTAAAATATTAAATTTGTTGTATTCAATGAGTTGTTATTTTTATTTATTTTCTATGTATATAAAGTTTCCTTAAGTCAATTTTTTTTAAATATTGCCAGGCCCTGATGTTTGACTGCATAGCCGTGCGGCCATTAAAGTGTTAATATTCTAAAACCCGCAATTTTAAAAATAAAAAGTAAACATCGTGAATGATTTTCAGGTTCATATCTCAAGTCGAAGGTCTTCTAAACGAGATCTGTTTGGTCGAATTAGTTGGTTGCACAATGAACATATGCTTTCTGGGTTATTATTTGCTTACGGTAAAAAAAATTCACATGTTTCAATTTTCTTTTCGTTTTATTATAAATAATCTTTTCTCTAGGAATGGGAGCAAAGTGAAACTATAGGAACACTGACTTACTGTATTTTACTCATATCTTTCACGTTCAATATTTTCATATTGTGTTACATCGGTGAAATTTTATCAGAACAGGTATATGATTTTTATAATAAATAATGAACATGAATTTTACCTGCACGAAGAGGAGAAATTTTTCGTGCTTCAATTTTATAGTGCCAAAAAGTCGGGTTATCGGCTTATATGATCGACTGGTATCGTTTGAGAGAGAAAAAAGCACTGGGACTGATATTGATAGTTGCGGTATCAAACTCTTCCACTAAATTGACGGCTGGAAAGCTCGTTGAATTATCTCTGAGCAGTTTCTGCAGTGTGAGTAGCTGAGGAAAGATGCTCAAAACGTTCTTCATAAAATGACAATATTTACCTTATAAAGAACGGAAGATACATTTACTTAGAATATAAAAAAAATATATACTTTCTGTTAATAATCTGCCTCCATAATTTTCGAAAAAGATCTACAAATCAGTGAAAGATCACAAAATCAGCAATTTCGTTGATCACTTTTAAACATCTTCCCTTAACTCAGTTTTAGATATCTTCAGATTGCAAACTTTAAATACTATCATATTTGATAAAAATATTTTTCCTCGTAGGTATTAAAATCGTCGTTGGCGTACTTGAGCTTACTCCGCACGCTCACAACGTAAAAACAAATCATATTTTATTAACCTCAAGACCAAACATTTTGGATATGAAAATTTTGTTATGAATTACTAATTGTTGAATGAATAAATGACTGACTGACAGTCGGATCAGACATTTAAAGTTGTTAAAATTATTTCGAGAAATAAGAGACCCAGAGTTTCATATCCTTCCCATCAGAAAAATAGCAAACAATTAGCAATAACTAAAAATAAACTAAATTAGCAATTACTAAAAATAAACTTAGCAATTACTAAAGACTAGATGAAATTTATTAGTGTAAAACATATTTCACGAAATCAGTTCTATGCATCTTTTAATTTCCATAAAATAAAGTATTCACGTGATGAAGGGATATAAGCGATATTGAATGTAAGAGGATTAAAAGTGCATAGTTACCTCATCAACTTAACCGAAGAACTGATCTTAATTGAAGATCATCAGCCTAACAGCAGTTAAACACAGTTGACATTCCTCATTCGAAATCATCATGAATTACAAACTACCCGTCGCAACTTCACCATCGAGAATTACAAAACGATCGTTTCACCCCTGCGAAATTGTCTGTATTCACAGACCGCAACGAGACAAATGCAACATGTGATTTCCACCCGTCATTATCGATCACGAAGTGCAACTTCGTTCTACCAAGTTTCCTCAGCATCGCGCTTGCGTCGGTCAGCGTCGTTCACTCGTCGCCGAGCGTCGGTGGCGTCGAGATGCACGCCCGTGTGTCGAATGGTGTTTCGCCGAACAAATATTACGACACCGACATAAAATACACCTTCGAACTCTGTCAGTGGATTCTGAAGCCTCTCGGAATCTACCCTTTCGTCTACAGCAACGTGAGCAAGCTCGAACGCGGGGTATCTGTACTGCTTCTGATCACTTGCTGCTCCATCATTCAATTCGTGATTGTACCCTTCGGTCATTACGTGCTCTTCTACGAGAAGGACATAAACGCGAGGATCAAGTTCCTGGGTCCTCTCACATTTTGCTCAACGGCTCTGGTCAAGTACGTGTACCTCTGTCTGAAGGCACCTGCTTTTAAACGATGCATCGAACACGTCGAGAGGGACTGGAAGAAGTTGCAGGATCAGGTTTACCGAGATGTCATGATCAATTACATATCCATGGGTCGTAACCTTATCACAGTGTGTGCTATGTTCTTTTACACCGGCGGGTTGTCATATCACACGGTCATGCCTTTGTTGTCGAAAGTGAAGACCGAGAATGTTACCATCAGACCCCTCACTTATCCTGGTTACGAAGCCTTCTTCGACGTCCAACGAAGTCCCACGTACGAAATTGTTTATTTTATGCATTGCATCTATGTGATGGTTGCGGGCAACATCACGATGGTTGCGTACAGCTTGGCGACTATTTTCACTAGCCACGCGTGTGGGCAGATGAAGATACAAATACTGCGGCTGGAAAATTTGACTGACGAACGAGTGACGGAGAAACGCGGGGAGGATCGGTTGACGATTATTGTGAAGGATCATGTGGAAATATTAAGGTAATGTGGGTTTTTTAGCAGTCGTATGCAGTAATTGTGAGGATGTGTGAGGATGTTTTGGTTAGAAGGGTAAGGATATTATTGTAGCTAAGATTTAAGCTTTTCAAGTTAAAATTTAAAGTTTAAAAATTTCAAGGTTCCAAAATTCTGTGTGCTGAAGTTCTAAAGACAGTGAATCTCAAGGTCACAAGGTACCAAGGTTCCAACACTTTCAATGTGCTAAGGTTTTAGAATCCCAAGGTTCCATGGTCTCAAGGTCCCAAGATTTCAAGGTCCAAAAATATCAAAGTCCTATGGTTTCAAGATCCCAAGATTTCAAGATCCCAAGAGTTCAAGATCCCAAGAGTTCAAGATCCCAAGAGTTCAAAATCCCAAGAGTTCAAAATCCCAAGAGTTCAAGGTTCCAGGGTTTCAAGGTCCCACGATTTCAAGGTCCCAAGGTTTGAAGGCCCCAAGGTCTCAAGGTCCCAAAATTTCAAGGTCCCAAGGTTTCAAGGTCCAAAGATATCAAAGTCCCATAGTTTCAAGGTCCCAAGATTTCAAGATCCCAAGAGTTTAAGGTTCCATGGTTTCAAGGTCCCAAGGTTTCAAGGTCCCAAGGTTTCAAGGCCCCAAGGTTTCAAGGTCCCAAGATATCAAGGTCTCAGGATTTCAAGGTTCCAAGATTTCAAGATCCCAAGAGTTCAAGGCCCCAAGGTCTGAAGGTGCCAAGGTTTGAAGGTTCCAAGATTTCAAGGTCCCAAAGTTTCAAGATTCCAAAGTTTCAAGGCCTTACGGTTTCAAGATCCCAAAGTCTCAAGCCTCCATGGTTTCAAGGTCCCAAGATATTAAGATCACAAGGGCTTAAGGTCCCAAAATTTTACAACCCAAGATCTCAAGGTTTCATAGACCTCTATATGTATATTCTATGGACCTAAGGGCTCTAGATTCTAAAATTCCAAGTCCCAACAATTTAAAGGTCTCAAGGTTGCAAAGTCTTGAGGTCCATGAACCCAAAAATCCTAAAACTTCCAAATTTTGAAATCATAAGTCCCATAATTCAAAAGTGTCGAAGGTCCATAATCAAGCAATTCCGAAATTTCAAAATTGTCAAACGCTTAAAGCCTTCACTACTTAAAGTCCTCAAAACCCCAGAATCCCAAACTTTCAAAACTCTAAAGTCTCCAAGGTCCAACGTTTAAAAAATCCCAAAGTCTCAAAATGCCAAATACTGGAATTAATTCTAGTATTTCTAATATATAATATTAGACCTAAAATTCTAAAAGTCCCACTACTCAAAGTAGTAATCCCTACCTCTCCATAGAATGATTCTACGGTCCCACATAAACGCTCTGTTATCAAATCACCTATCGACAAAACTAAACATGTTCAATTCTACATACATCAAACTATTAAAATTTATATTACTATTAAATAACAATGAATTTAACATAACAATAAATTTGATTAACTATTTATAGATTTACAAAACTCGTCGAAAGTGCGTTTCGCGAGATATGTCTAATCGAAGTGATAGTTTCAACGCTGCTGATATGCTTGGTGGAATATTACTGCCTGATGGTAAATACAAGTTTAATTCTAAAACTTCAAAAAATACGAACACCGATATTTTTTAGGAATGGGAGACAAGCGATTCCGTCGCCATATTAACTTACGCGATGCTCTTGATCTCCTTCATTTTCAACATACTGATGTTTTGTTACTTAGGGGAGCTTCTTCTGGAACAGGTACCGTCACACTCATATATCAAGCTTCAGTCTTCATCCACACTTGTCCATCTCATTTCTAAGCCAAAAGAAGACTTATTTAGACTAAAGGAAGACTTAATCGTCGAGATAATAGACACGAGTGTTGTATCAGGGAAACAGAGTAGCGACGGCTTCTTACGAGACACTGTGGTACAATCTGCCAGCGAAAAAGGCACGTGACATGGTTCTCTTGCTCGCCATTTCGAAAACTCCGCCGAAACTCACCGCTGGCAAGATCTTCGATCTCTCTTTGTACACCTTTGGCGTTGTATGTTATCACTTAAATCGATCTGCAAAATGTAAATCCTTTTGTGATTGAAATTTTTATTGCAGGTGTTGAAGTCGTCGATGGTTTATCTCAACGTGCTGCAAACTATGATTGAATTGTAATGTTGACTTGGAAATTGTTGAAATTATTTTGAAATAAATATTTATTGACTAGTTTCAATTTTATGGGGTTTGGAAATACGAAGGTTGTAAGATTTGAATTTTTCAAGGTCAAGATCTGAAATTTTCAAGGGCAAAATTAAAAATTTTCAAAGTAGGAAGATCTAAAATTTTCAATATCGCAAGGTCTAAATTTTTTAAGACTGCAAGATCCGAAATTTGCAAGGTCGCAAGATCTGAAATTTTCAAGGTCCCAAGATCTAAAATTTTTAATATCGCAAGATCTGAAATTTTCAAGGTTCCAAGATCTAAAATTTTCAGTATCGCAAGGTCTAAATTTTTCAAGGTTGCAAGATCTGAAATTTTTAATATCGCAAGATCTGAAATTTTCAAGGTTCCAAGATCTAAAATTTTCAGTATCGCAAGGTCTAAATTTTTCAAGGTTGCAAGATCTGAAATTTTTAATATCGCAAGATCTGAAATTTTCAAGGTTCCAAGATCTAAAATTTTCAGTATCGCAAGGTCTAAATTTTTCAAGGTTGCAAGATCTGAAATTTTTAATATCGCAAGATCTGAAATTTTCAAGGTTCCAAGATCTAAAATTTTCAGTATCGCAAGGTCTAAATTTTTCAAGGTTGCAAGATCTGAAATTTTTAATATCGCAAGATCTGAAATTTTCAAGGTTCCAAGATCTAAAATTTTCAGTATCGCAAGGTCTAAATTTTTCAAGGTTGCAAGATCTGAAATTTTTAATATCGCAAGATCTGAAATTTTCAAGGTTCCAAGATCTAAAATTTTCAGTATCGCAAGGTCTAAATTTTTCAAGGTTGCAAGATCTGAAATTTTTAACATCGCAAGATCTGAAATTTTCAAGGTTCCAAGATCTAAAATTTTCAGTATCGCAAGGTCTAAATTTTTCAAGGTTGCAAGATCTGAAATTTTTAATATCGCAAGATCTGAAATTTTCAAGGTTCCAAGATCTAAAATTTTCAATATTGCAAGGTCTGAAATATTCAAGGTCCCACGATCTGAAATTTACAATATAGCAAGATCTAAAATTTTCAAGGTCTCAAGATCTAGAATTATCAATATCGCAAGACCTGAAATTTTCAAGGTCCCAAAATCCAATGTCCCGAGAATTCCAAAGTCTCGCACTGTTCCAAAGTAATTGCAAAATTATACAGAACTGACCTCCGAAAATTGCAAGATGACAAAACCTCACAGTACCTAATAACAGTAGTTCAACATTGTCCCTCGCAATAAAATTTGCATATCAAATCACATATACATCAAGTACAACAGTGTTTCATCGAATGATTCCTGCTGTCAGCTTTTCTGCATCCGACCCCTTTCGCAACAAAGTAGCAGCCGTACTACTCAATTATTAACAACGCAACCCTCCGGCCGTAGCATGCAACGCTAAACATTAAAACGGCGCTTGCGTTTCAAGCACCGCGTCAAGTGTTCATTCGATCGCGTGCGTTACAGCCGTCACGATGCGTGATCGATCCTTCGATAACGTAGTCCTGAAGAACTCTTATTATTCCGCGGACATACAATACTCTCTGCAGATGTGTCAATGGACTCTGAAGCCCATCGGAATATGGCCTTTGATCTACCACCGCGTTACCAGACGGGAGAAGCTGATTTCCGTCGTTCTTTTAATCCTCGGTTTCTCGTTGTTGTTCTTCATCCTGATTCCATCTTGTCGCTTCATATTCTTCGAGGGACACATCAGCACGAAAGTGCGTCTCCTCGGCCCCGTCGGATACCGTATGTCCACCACGGTGAAGTACATTTACCTCGCTCTGAGGGGATCCATCTTTGGACGCTGCATCGAGCACGTGGAACGAGATTGGAGAACAGTGCAGGATCAACGTCACCGTTCTATAATGCTGGAGTGCGCAGGATTGAGCAGAAAACTGATCACAATGTGCGCCGCTTTCTTGTACACTGGCGGTTTGTCGCATCACACCGTGCATGCGTTCTTCTCCAAAGACAGACGTCACAGCAATGTTACTATCAGACCGTTGATTTACCCTGGATACGACGCGTTCTTCGACACTCAAGCCAGTCCGACGTACGAAATCATATATTGCATGCAGCTGCTTTCGTCCTTGATCGTCTACACGATCGGTACTGCTACGTACAGCTTGCTCGTCATTTTTGTTATGCATATCTGCGGGCAAATTCAGATACAGATGGCGAGGTTGGAGAACTTGAAGAACGCGAGGTTGGAGAACTTGAAGAACGCGGGGCTGGAGAAGGGTCAACGTAATCCTTTGTCGAAGATTGTTTATAATCATGTGGAGATTTTGAAGTAAGGATGGGTTGGGGAATGTTGGAAATCAGGTTAATGTTGGGGGGAAAATTTTGTAGGTTTTCGGAGAAGGTTCAGAAAGCGCTGGAAGAGATTTGCTTTACGGCTGTTGTGGAGTGTACGATTAATATGTGTTTGCTGCAGTATTACTGTCTTAAGGTAAATTGTTGTGTTGGTAATTGTATTGTGTTTGTATTGTTTATGTATTGTGTATACATGACATTGTGTATTATGTATTATGTATTATGTGTACATAACATATATAACATTGTGTGTTATGTATTATACATACATAATATTATGTATTATGTAGTATGCATACATAACATTATGTATTATGTAGCATGCATACATAACTTTATGTAGTATTATATGTTATGTATACATAACATTATGTAGTATTATATGTTATGCATACAAAACATTATGTAGTATTATATGTTATGCATATATAACATTACGTATTATATGTTATGCACACATAACATTATATATTATGTATTATGCATATATAACTTTCTGTATTATGTAGCATGCACACATAACATTATATATTATATGTTATGCACACATAACATTATGCGTTATGCATTACGCATATATAACTTTCTGTATTATGTGTTATGTGTACATAACATTACGTATTACGTTAGTATTGTAATTGTATTAGTAACATATTCTCAATTATTTTTCATAGTATTACAACTACTAATACGTAACTAATAATATACATACATATAGCTATTACAAGGGTAAGTATGTCCTCAGTAGCAATTAAAATGTGATATTAATTGAAAATTTGAAAACTAATTAGAGAAACAATGTGCATACATATTTTCACGTTTTCAGTCATGGAAAGCATCAGACACTGTACAAATAGTTACATATATTACTTTGTTAATGTCCTTCACCTACAATATATTTGTATTCTGCTACATTGGAGAAGTTTTGACTGAACAGGTACCCTTTATTAAATAATTACTCTTTACAACTATAAATCTTCATTTAAGTATCACTTATCTTAATATCTCAAATTGTATATCTTTTATAATAATTTTTTTAGTGCAGCCAAATTGGTGTAGCCTCCTATGACATCGACTGGTACAATTTACCTGCGAAGAATGCTCACGACCTCGTTCTGTTGAACATCGTATCGCAAAATCCTCCTAAATTGCTGGCTGGGAGAATAATTGAGTTATCATTGAACACCTTCACCGCTGTAAGTGAAAATTGTAAAATGAATATACGAAAGTTTGATGACGAATATAAATTTCAGGTTGTTAAAACATCTGTCGCTTACATGAACTTGCTCCGAACTGTTACAGACTGATATACAGTTTATTATTGGTCCTGGAACAACACTGTTAGTGTTACTGACTGCTCGAAAATTATCTATTAATATTAATTATTTATAGATAAGAAAAATCTCGCGTGGGATTAAAGCTTCTTAATTATAAATGTAATGTGAAAGACTCGAATATGGTAAATAATAAAATATATGACCATATGATTATGTGTTTCTTTTTGAACAATTCTCAACTTTTACTTTGGATATACAACAAGTTGTCTTTTTCTTTCTTTAAATAATTTTAGTATTAATTTCTATCAGTATGTAACCACTTTCTCGTAATTAAACACAACGTAACTATAATTAAACTTGAAATCATATGTGATTTCAGAAATCTCAAAGACATGTTTCACTATTCAAGAATTCGCACTTTGACTACCACGTTGAATAAAAGTCACTTTTAATAGTCCTTAATTACTACTTTTGTAGCTATTATCTAAAGTATTATGTATTTACAAGTATTTCTAAAACAAGCTCTAATAATATGACACATATTAAAACAATTTCTAATATGACCAATAACCAAACGTATTAAAAAAAATTCTAACACGAAAAATGAAATATTACGCATAATTTTGTCATAGTCTACATACTGATAATAAAATAGATTTGCACATACGTCTAAGTACACAAAATACACAAAGCTAGTTTCAAAGAGCAATAACGCATAATCATGCAGTAGTCATTATGCACCCTCATAGCATCATTCTATAGAACTAGTGGTTAGCTTCTGCTTCGACCGCACACGATCGTCCATCTAATTGTAAGAGTAGTAACCGATAATTCCCTGTCTGTTCACAATCCAAGGGGATGCACGCACACAATATCGCGCCAACTCGTAAGTGATGTATCGTGAATAATCGAACTCTCAACGATCATGAATGACTTCGTTCAATATCAGAGCTTGCAGCCAAATCAGAATTACGAGAACAGTATTATTTACTTGAGAAAGTATAGCAGATCTTGTTCTTCAAGATTTGTCCAGTATTAAGGGTTCTGCAATGTTTTTATTAACCCTTTGCACTCGAAGTTTTTATTCATATTACTAGCCACTCGATATATTTTCGGTGAAAAAATTATATTCACTTATAAGTAAATCATATGCGCATTAAAAGGAAAATTCATAGATCCATGTGTCCTTGCATTATGAACTGAAAATTATTTGCTTTAACGCGAAGTCCTCGTGTTTGAAGACAAAATGGCGTCGCACCGGAGTCCTCGAGTTTGAAGACAATTTTAAATGGCGCCGCTTCAAAGCCTTCGAGTGCAATGGGTTAAAAATAGTGATTGGCTTCGGCAAGTTCGTACTCTTTTCATATTCTAATTGTCCGTATAATACGTAATTAGTATATAATAACAGTGTATACAATCCGCAATGTTAATTGTATATATGTTTCATATAGTTAAAATGTAATTTATAGAAGATATTACAAAATCAGCAAAATTATAAAAGTATTTGATTTACTGTTATTGTCAACATACTGATGTTTTGTTACTTCAGAATTCATCCACATTTGCCTACCTCTTTTCGAAAGACGCAGACAAGAGGAGATTTAATCGTCGAAATTATAGACACGAGCGTTGTATCAGCAGTAGCTTCTTACGAGACATCATGGTACAATCAGCCAGCGAGGAAGACACATTCGATCTCTCTTTGAACACCTTCGACGTTGTATCTAATTTCATCAGTTAAACCACTGCAACCTTTAAAAAGTAAAATTTTTAATGATTGACATTTTTATTGCAGGTGTTGAAATCGTCGATGATTTACCCAAACATGCAAACAATTATCAAATTGTAATGTTGAGTTAAAAATTGTTAAAATTGTTTTGTAATCAATATTTATTAAATAGTTTCAAGATCCGAAGGTCATAAAATTCCAAATTTCCAAGATTCTAAAATTCCAAAGTCCCGAGGACTCCAAGTCACAAGCTCCTTAGTATATAAGACGAATGAGAAAATAAAATGTGATTAATAATAAAGTAAACAATTTATTTAAACGCGAAGATAAAAATTCCAGACGGGATTGTGACCGTTCTTTTACAAAACAGAGTGACCAAAAACACCTACATTGCGACGCACTTCGTGAAACAGAACGAATATCGTTAAAATGGCGGGGTGGTCTCGTCACTTTTACAACGCACCCTTCCAGAAATTGATCCTACACTCTTACTATTCCACCGTTTTAACATTTCTAAATTCTACCAAACCAAAATCCCAAAATTCCAAGATCTCAAAGTCCCACAATCACAAAACCCCTTACCGATCAAATTTTACCACAACAAATCGCACACGTTAACAATTGCGTCTCACAGTAAAATTTGCATACCAAGTCACCACATGCACTGTCCAGCACCGAGTGCATCGAGTTCAACAGCGTTTCATCGAATGATGACTGCCCTCTACCTTTCTGCATCCCAGACCCTGTCCCCTTTTGCAACAAAGAAACAGAAACGTACCCTTTCAATTATTAACTACCACAACCCTTCGTACCGTCCATACCTCGCATGCAACGCTACAATTAAAATGGCACTCGCGTTTCAAACATTATATCTAGAATTTGAAGCCTTTTGTTCATTCGATCGCGTGCGTTACAACCATCAAGATGCATGATCGATCCCACGATAACCAAGTCCTGAAGAACTCTTATTATTCATCAGACATACAATACGCTTTACAGATGACTCAATGGACTCTGAAACCCATCGGAATATGGCCTGTGATCTACCACCGCGTCACCAGACGAGAGCAACTGATGTCCGTCGTTCTGATGATCTTCGGGTTCTCTGCGTTGTGCTTCGTCCTGATTCCATCGGGTCATTACATATTCTTCACCGGGCGCATCAGCACGAAAATCAGTCTCTTCGGCCCCGTCGGCTTCTGTCTGTCCACCACGGTCAAGTACGTCTACCTCGGTCTGAGGGCGTCCATCTTCGGACGCTGCATCGAACACGTAGAACGAGATTGGAAAGCGGTGACGGACCAACGTCACCGTTCCATCATGCTCGAGTGCACAGCGTTCAGCAGAAAACTGATCACAATGTGCGCCGCGTTCTTGTACACCGGCGGCTTGTCGCATCACACCTTGTTCCCGTTCTTGTCCAAAGACAAACAGCAGGACAACCTCACCATCAGACCGCTGATCTACCCAGGATACGACGTGTACGTTGACTCTCAGGCCAGCCCCGCATACGAAATCATCTTCTGCCTTCATCTGGTCACCGCTCTGGTTATTTACACGATCAGCACCGGCGCGTACAGTCTGCTCGTCATTTTTATTATGCATATCTCTGGACAAATACAGATACAGATCACGAGGTTGCAGAACTTGAAGAAGGCGCAGATGGAAAAGGGGCATCGGAATCCTTTGGCGATCATCGTTTATAATCATGTGGAGATTTTGAGGTAAGATGGATTAGAGAGTGTTGGACAGCTTAACCCCTTGCACTATGATTTTCTTGTCAAGTTAGAACTCACTAATTATAGCCGTAACATTAAAATACAAAAAGTTGAAATGTTATGTTAATTTGGTATCATGCAGTCGTTGACTATGCAAATTATAGTTGAACTTAAACTCCAAATTGAAATGTATTAAAAAATCAAGTAAAATTGGTCACAGCTGAAGTATGAGTGCATCACGATTCAGACTCGTTAAAATAGTGTACAAGGTTAATTTTGGGTGAATTTGCAGATTTTCGGAGAATGTGCAGGCTGCGCTTGAAGAGATATGCTTTACGGAAGTTGTGGAGTGCACGATAAATATGTGTATGCTGCAGTACTATTGTCTTATGGTAAGAAATTTTATTAGTAAATTTAACATGTTTGTGATTAGTTGGGACACTAGAATAGTAACTAGTATAGCTAGTAACTAGTATAACTAGTTAACCACTGGTACAGTGGTACTTATAATAGATATAATGAATAATTGTTTAACATGTTTATGATTACTTGGGATACTATTAGAATAGTAACTAGTATAGCTAGTAACTAGTATAACTAGTTAACCACTGGTACAGTGGTATTTATAATAGATATAATGAATAACTGTTTAACATATTTGTGATTACTTGGGTTAGGGGGTGTCCCACTTGGACGTCGACCGATTGGACGCGTCCCGATTCGCGACGTCCGATTGGACGCGTCCCGATTCGACGCGTTCCTATCCGAAGCATTCCAATTCGAAGCTCTACCGATTAGATACGTTCCAATTCGAAGCTGTTAGATTAGGTTAGGTTAGGTTAGGGTAGGTTAGGTCCATTCGGCACTGCTTTGACTCGGAACGCGGCCAATCGGTACCGCTTCGAATTGGAACGCGTCGAATCGGGACCGTCCCGAATTGGAACGCGTCGAATCGGTACCGTAATCGGTCGACGTCCAAGTAGGCATCTATTAAAATAGTAACTAGTATAGCTATTAACTATAGCTAGTTAATGGTACTTATAATGGATGTAATGAATTTAAAAAATAGAACATTTAGTGCTTGGTATCTTAACCACTATGACTTTCGTACGTCTTTGGCATGTCTTTGATAACCCCTTGCACTATGACTTATTTGTCAGGTGCGTCAGTCAGAACTGCCCAATTAAGCTATAATATTAAAATAGACAAAAAATTGAAACTTTATTTCAATATGTTATTATGCAATTGTTGACTATGCAAATTATAATTGGACTTGAACTCCAAATTGAAGCGTATTAAAAATTTGAGTAAAATTAATCGCGGCCGAGGTACGAGTGCGTCACCGAGTCAGACTCGTCAAAATAGTGCAAGGAGATAAACTTTTGTACGTCTGATTCTTAAGACAAAGTCACATAATTATGAAAACAAAGTGCATATATTTTCAGTCATGGAGAAGTTCAGATGGTGTCAAGATAATTACTTATTTTACTCTGTTATGTTCCTTCACTTCCAATATATTCATATTCTGCTACATCGGAGAAATTTTAACTGAACAGGTATCCATTTTTAAATAATTGTCCTTCATGAAAAGAGCACTTGTAATAAATTGTAATCCTTCCAGTGCAGCCAAATCGGTAAAGCTTCCTATGAAATCGATTGGTACAATTTACCAGCGAAGAATGCTCACGATCTCATTCTGTTGAATCTCATATCGCAAAATCCTCCTAAGCTGTTAGCCGGGAGAATAATCGAGTTGACGTTGAACACCTTCAGCGCTGTAAGTGATCGTATTTTGAAATAAGTGATCGAAAGTTTGGTAACGAATATAAATTTCAGGTAGTTAAAACGTCAGTCGCTTATATGAACTTGCTGCGAACTGTTACTGACTGATGTATACAATTCATTATCAGCGCTGGAACACTGTCTGTTACCGTAACCGATTCCTCGTTGAAAATTATTCTGGCTTTCAGAAATTAACTTCTGTTGAAATTTGTAATGACTGTTATCGCAATTAAGAAATATAAAACTAATTTCCCTTGTTTCTAATTTTAAGGTAATTTGAGAACATTTATCCGCGTGGAATTATCGAGTTCAGTTTCTTAATTGTTTAATGTGAAATACACGAATATAATAAATAATTAAAAATCTGCATATAGATTATGAGTTTCTTTGAACGATTCTAAGCTTCGGTGGATTGTACTTTTTTGAAATTTTAATTCTTTTTTTGATCAGCTTTCTCGCAACGCATGTGCACAGAGCGACCAATAAACGAAAAGCCAACCCCCAGGGTGTTGGCTACGCCTGCGTTGTGGACACCTTTACCATTCTGTGAAACTGATACAGAATCATTTGGAGGGTGTCTGGGGGTTGGCTTTTAATTTATTGGTTGCTGTTGTACTCACGCGTCGTCCAATTAAGAGTCACTGCTGATCAGTAAGTGCGAATTAGCTAAACTTGTAAAATTGACTACACTTAAAAGCACTCCGTATTGATATCCAGACATGTGTCCTGTATCGTGTATTTATTACATTCGTTTTTTCGATTTCTGTAACACACATTGATTACAATTAATATTGTAAGTAGTACAATATATTTAATATCGAATAATCTGAATTTTAATAAACTTGTATGAAAATGTATTTAAGAAGTCATATGTTGGTTTCACCAGTCAAGGTTTGACACATTTGTTGTATCGTGAAAACAAGAATTTTAATTTAATTATTTCATAATTATAATAGTAACAGTAATAATATAGTATACTGTTACTATTAATAATATAAACTAATACTATTATTAATAACAATAGTAATAATATATTACTATTATAATAATTATAAAGACTACACATTACTATTATAATAATTCAAATTACACCATAATTTAATTATCTAAAATATCAAGTACTTGCATGCATTCCTAATCAGATTTAAAACAAACAAGATTGAATCATGTTAGATTTCTAATACGATTAAAACAGCTTCAAACGTACTCAAAAAAAAAACAAGAAATGACATTACCCACATGATTTCGGAGTCAACATGTTGATAACAGTTTACACTCGGATATATCCAAGTCCACCGCTAGTTTCAAAGAGCAATCAAGCATAATCATGCACCAGCCATTATGCACCCTCACCATTCTACAGAACCAGTGTTTAGCTTCTGTTTCAATTGCACACGATCACCCGTCTAAGAGCAGTAATCGATTATTCCCTGTCTGTCCGCAATCCAAGGGGATGCACGCACACAATATCGCGCCAGCTCGCAATCGATGTCTCGTGAGCAGTCGTGTTCAGACTCTCAGCGAGCATGAATCAGAGCTTGCAGCCGAATCTGAATTACGAGAACGATATTATTTACGTGACGAAGTATAGCCGATGGATCCTCGTGTCCATCGGTATTTGGCCAGCATCCTTGAAAGGATCCGCGAAATTTTTGTCGAAAATCGCGATCGGTTTCGGTAACTTGGTACTCTTTTTTGCCATAATACCGTTTTCTCTGCATATCGTATTGGAGCAGAAGGATACAGTGATAATGCTGAAGATGCTAGGGTTTCTTAGCTTTTGTTTGATTTCGGTGTTGAAGTACTGGGCACTCGCTATGAGGAAACCGAAGATCGAACGGTGTATTGAGTTAATGCAGACGGACTGGAAACAGGTCGGTAAAAATTGCAAAACTATTTTAATACAAAACATTTTCCATGTATTATAGTGCAAGTCTCTACTAAATTTTGTTATTTTACAATTTTCTGAGATTGTCCTCTTGTGAGGCATAGCCACATATGAGACCACATGTAGATCAGTGACCACACATGTAGACATTCTAATATGTTAACTCTTACAATTATTATTTTAATCCCTACTATTATTTTTTCCGATTGCTATCGATTTAACACATGAACTGCCACAATGAAACAGCTAAAAATTGCATTGGGTAGCATTTTCCTTTTTAACAAATCTTACCAAATATTTTTACAGTGTCCTGTTACATTTATTTTTCATAGTTACAAGCAGTTAATACGAGTATTTTCAATTAAGGGGACATATTTGTAATAATATAGATGGTAGATGTGTATAGTAATTGCAGTGTCACCCACATATGGGTTACATGGCAGTCAAAGTGTTAAAATAAGATTGCAAAACATATTTTATCACATTTTAATCAAATATATTTTACAAAGAATTCTTCTTGCAAACCAAGAGAAAATCCCAAAGTAGTTTAAATTATCCTACATCTCTACTATACCACCTTATTTCTAATATACCACCTTCCTTACAAAACCCCCCTAAATATTTAACCAAAAACAGCCTTCATTCGATGAACAATATGAAAACCGAATGTGGCAGGTGGAATTTCGCAGGAACCGCCATATGATGCTGAAATACGGGAAAGTGGGTCGAGATCTAACGATCCTCTGCATCGTCTTCATGTACAGCGGCGGCACGATTTATCACACGATCATGCAATACGCAATCGGATCTTTCATCGACGAACATAATCGCACGATCAAACCGTTGGTTTATCCAACTTATAGTGCTTTGTACGACGTCCAGAAAATTCACGTCTATGTGCTGGTCTACACAGTGCACTGCATGTGTGGATACGTGATTTATTCAGTGACGGCAGGTGCGTGTGGATTAGCGGCACTGTTCGCGACCCACACTTGTGGACAGATTGATATTGTTCTGAGTCGTTTGAACGGTCTTGTGGATGATAATTTAATGAGACACGATGATTTGAATGAGAGGTTGATAGAGATTGTTGAACATCATCTGAGAACGTTGAGGTATATTTTGTACGTGAGTTTAGTGAATATTTGTAGATTGATAAATTTAGAATTGATGGAATAAGTGAATGAATTGAATGTAATGGAATATTTGTGATGGAAAATGTAATGTAATGGAAAATTTGTAGATTTTCTGCGATGATGGAGACTGTTCTTCAGGAAGTGTGCTTTTTGGAGTTTGTTGGATCTACTTTTATGATATGCCTTCTGGAGTATTATACTATAGTGGTGCGGATATTGCTATTTCTATTTTGTATATTGGGGAAGTTATTATTACTTCTAATAATTATTACTTCTACAATTTTTGTGGACGTGTGCAAGTTTTTTTGTATTTGTACGGGGTGGTTATTTATTTTGGGTGGGTGGATGATAGTAGTGTTTAAAAATGCGTTATATGGACCGAAAAAGAGGGACTTTGAAAGTTTGGTATTTTGAAGAGTAGATAAATGAAATTTTGGAGATTTTAAAATTTAAGAATTTGCTATTATGAGAATTTAGAAATTTAAGGATCAGGAAAGTGAAATTCGATGTATTTGGAAATTAGAAAATTTGAAAATCTGAAAATTGGAACAAATTTAGGAAAATTTAAAGAAACCGAGAGAATTGAGAAATTTAAAAATTCGAAAACTTGAAAAATTAGAATTAAAGTTTAAAGATTTTAAAGTTTGTAAAGTTTGACTTATTACAGGATTGGAAACAAAGTAATACAATAGGACTTACAACTTACACTTTGTTGTTAATATCTCTGACGTTTAATATATTCATTTTATGCTACATAGGAGATCTCCTGATAGAAAAGGTAAATTTTCAACATTTTTCAATTATTCATACGAAAAATATTTATGTGATATTTTATACAGAAAAGTTGGGTATAAATAAAAATGCACACGTTGTTAATAACAATTTACCTACTTTATTCATTATTTTATGTATTTTATATATTACCATTTATTTGTATACATTACAGAGTACAAGTATTGGAACCTCCAGTTTTGAGATCGATTGGTATCGATTACCAACCAAAACGATACGTGGGCTTATTCTAATCATTGCTATGTCAAATAATCCTGTAAAAATTAGTGCCGGTGGAATAGTTACTTTATCTTTGTCTACTTTTGTAAACGTAAGTTTTCAAGTCTATATTATAATGAAATAAATATCATGTAACTAGTCACTTTTCCTTTAATCATGAAATGTAATCTATTTGTAACAGGTGCTTAAATCATCATTGGGATATTTAAGTTTCCTTCGAACAGTTGTTGTATGATTAATTAATTACCAAATTAACTCATGACTTATGTAATTGTTCATACAATATGTAATTGGTATATTATAACAATGTATACAAAAATATTTATAATACAATGTATTATAACAGTGTGTTAATTGTATGTATGTTTCGTATAATTAAAATATAATTTACAGACAGTATTATAAAATGTATAAAATTATACTATTTGAGTTACTGTTATTGTATGATACTGCTGTTTACTAATACTTAAAAAAGTATTTTATTTATGAAATTAAAAAATAAATACCACGATTTTGCTGTGCGAATTAATTTTTAAAAAAATCACCTTACTTTTAAAATATTTGTAAATACAATACGAAATTTTGAATAAAACAATTTGATATAAAATAGTTTCTTATAAAATAAAAAAAACCTTTGTTCTTCAATATTTCCACAACACAAGTTTCACTGTTAGGGTTTGGTCGAGCCCTGATATTGCACTACGTGCCGTCTATGTACTATGCTTGTGAAGGACCACCCAATTTGTCCGGATTGGGGTTGTTAAGAATTGATGCAGGTGATTAAATAACAAAAACAGTTTATTGAATGTGTGTGAATTAAACTTTATATGTTTGTGTGTGAATGAGTGTGTAAAGCTTGAATTTTCTAAGTGCTAATCTGATCACTAGCAAGTTTTAACTAAAGTGTCACTCTAAACTGTGACTCTGCTATACTATCTGTTAACAATTCTGAGTGTTAACTATTCTGATTACTATCTGTTCTGTTGGATATCTGCCTATTTTCGAGTTTTCTACCTTAGTTAACACCTCTGTTCTCCCTTCCATTGCGCCCTTAGCGTGGTACTTTTCTGGAAGGGGAACTCGCAAAATCCTCCTAAGCTGTTAGCCGGGAGAATAATCGAGTTGTCGTTGAACACCTTCAGCGCTGTAAGTGATCGTATTTTGAAATAAGTGATCGAAAGTTTGATAACGAATATAAATTTCAGGTAGTTAAAACGTCAGTCGCTTATATGAACTTGCTGCGAACTGTCACTGACTGATATACATATACAATTTATTATCAGCGCTGGAACACTGTCTGTAGCGTAACCGATTCCTCGTTGAAAATTATTCTGGCTTTCAGAAATTAACTTCTGTTGAAATTTATGGTAACTGTTATCGCAATTAAAAAATATAAAACTAATTTCCCTAGTTTCTAATTTTAAGGTAATTTGAGAACATTTATCCGCGTGGAATTATCGAGTTCAGTTTCTTAATTGTTTAATGTGAAATACACGAATATAATAAATAATTAAAAATCTGCATATAGATTATGAGTTTCTTTGAACGATTCTAAGCTTCAGTGGATTGTACTTTTTTGAAATTTTAATTCTTTTTTTGATCAGCTTTCTCGCAACGCATGTGCACAGAGCGACCAATAAACGAAAAGCCAACCCCCAGGGTGTTGGCTACGCCTGCGTTGTGGACACCTTTACCATTCTGTGAAACTGATACAGAATCATTTGGAGGGTGTCTGGGGGTTGGCTTTTAATTTATTGGTTGCTGTTGTACTCACGCGTCGTCCAATTAAGAGTCACTGCTGATCAGTAAGTGCGAATTAGCTAAACTTGTAAAATTGACTACACTTAAAAGCACTCCGTATTGATATCCAGACATGTGTCCTGTATCGTGTATTTATTACATTCGTTTTTTCGATTTCTGTAACACACATTGATTACAATTAATATTGTAAGTAGTACAATATGTTTAATATCGAATAATCTGAATTTTAATAAACTTGTATGAAAATGTATTTAAGAAGTCATATGTTGGTTTCACCAGTCAAGGATTGACACGTTTGTTATACATATTATGAAAACAAGAGTTTTAATTTAATTATTTTATGGTAATAATTTCATAATTATAATAGTAGTAGTAAGAATATATTATAATAGTAATAATTATATTAGTAATAATGTATTACTATTATAATAATTATAATGACTACACATTACTATTATAATAATTCACATATAAATTCCATCATAATTTAATTATCTAAAATATCAAGTACTTGCATGTATTCCTAATCAGATTTGAAACAAACAAGATTGAATCATATTAGATTTCTAATATGATTAAAACAGCTTCAAACGTACTCAAAACAAAAAATGACATTACCCACATGATTTCGGAGTCAACATGTTGATAACAGTTTACACTCGGATATATCCATGTCCACCGCTAGTTTTAAAGAACAAACAAGCATAATCATGCACCAGTCATTATGCACTCTCACCATTCTACAGAACCACTGTTTAGCTTCTGTTTCAATTGCACACGATCACCCATCTAAGAGCAGTAATCGATTATTCCCTGTCTGCCCGCAATCCAAGGGGATGCACGCACACAATATCGCGCCAGCTCGCAATCGATGTCTCGTGAGCAGTCGTGTTCAGACTCTCAGCGAACATGAATCAGAGCTTGCAGCCGAATCTGAATTACGAGAACGATATTATTTACGTGACGAAGTATAGCCGATGGATCCTCGTGTCCATCGGTATTTGGCCAGCATCCTTGAAAGGATCCGCGAAATTTTTGTCGAGAATCGTGATCGGTTTGGGGAACTTGGTATTCTTCTTTGCTATAATACCGTTTGCTCTGCATATTGCGCTGGAGCAGAAGGATACAGTGATAATGCTGAAGATGCTAGGATTTCTTGGCTTTTGTTTGATTTCGGTATTGAAGTACTGGGCACTCGCTATGAAAAAACCGAAGATCGAACGGTGTATTGAGTTAATGCAGACGGACTGGAAACAGGTCGGTAAAAATTGCAAAACTATTTTAATACAAAACATTTTCCATGTATTATAGTGCAAGTCTCTACTAAATTTTGTTATTTTACAATTTTCTGAGATTGTCCTCTTGTGAGGCATAGCCACATATGAGACCACATGTAGATCAGTGACCACACATGTAGACATTCTAATATATTAACTCTTACAATTATTATTTTAATCCCTACTATTATTTTTTCCGATTGCTATCGATTTAACACATGAACTGCCACAATGAAACAGCTAAAAATTGCATTGGGTAGCATTTTCCTTTTTAACAAATCTTACCAAATATTTTTACAATGCCCTGTTACATTTATTTTTCATAGTTACAAGCAGTTAATACGAGTATTTTCAATTAGGTAAGGGGACATATTTGCAATAATATAGATGGTAGATATGTATAGTAATTGAAGTGTCACCCAGTATGGGTTACATGGCAGTCAAAGTGTTAAAGTAAGATTGCAAAACAATATTTTATCACATTTTAATCAAATATATTTTACAAAGAATTCTTCTTGCAAACCAAGAGAAAATCCCAAAGTAGTTTAAATTATCCTACATCTCTACTATACCACCTTGTTTCTAATCTACCTTCTTCCTCACAAAACCCCTCTAAATATTTAATCAAAAACAACCTTCATTCGATGAACAATTCAAAAACCGAATGTGGCAGGGGGAATTTCGCAGGAACCGCCATATGATGCTGAAATACGGGAAAGTGGGTCGAGATCTAACGATCCTCTGCATCGTCTTCATGTACAGCGGCGGCACGATTTATCACACAATCTTGCAATACGCAATCGGATCGTTCATCGACGAACATAATCGCACGATCAAACCGTTGGTTTATCCAACTTATAGTGCTTTGTACGACGTCCAGAAAATTCACGTCTATGTGCTGGTCTACACAGTGCACTGCATGTGTGGATATATGATTTATTCAGTGACGGTGGGTGCGTGTGGATTGGCGGCACTTTTCGCGACCCACACTTGTGGACAGATTGATATTGTTCTGAGTCGATTGAACGGTCTTGTGGATGGTAAATTAATGAGACACGATGTTTTGAATGAGAGGTTGATAGAGATTGTTGAACATCATTTGAGGACTTTGAGGTATATTTTGTACGTGAGTTTAGTGAATATTTGTAGATTGATAAATTTAGAAATGTTGGAATAAGTGAATGAATTGAATGTAATGGAATATTTGTGATGGAAAATGTAATGGGAACTTTGTAGATTTTCTGCGATGGTGGAGACTGTTCTTCAGGAAGTGTGCTTTTTGGAGTTTGTTGGATCTACTTGTATCATATGCCTTCTGGAGTATTATACTATGGTGGTGCGGATTTCTCTTTTGCTATTTCTCTTTTATATATTGGGGAAATTATTATTACTTTTAATAATTATTACTTGTGCAATTTTTGTGAACTTGTGCAAGTTTTTTATACTTATACGGGATGGTTATTTACATATTTTGGATGGTTGATGGTAATGTTTAAAAATGTGTTATGTGGACCGAAAAAATTGGGACTTTGAAAGTTTAGTATTTTGAAGAGTAGGAAAATGAAATATTTAAAAATTAAAAAATTTGCTATTATGAGAATTTAGAAATTTAGAGATTAGGAAAGTGAAATTTTATGTATTTGGAAAGTAGAGAATTTGAAAATCTGAAAATCTGAAAATTTGAAAATTAGGAAAATTTAAGAAAATTGGAAGAAACATGAAGAATTTAGAAATGCAAAAATTCGAAAACTTGATAAATTAGTACTAAACTTTAGAAATCTAAAAGTTTGCAAAGTTTGACTTATTACAGGATTGGAAACAAGGCAATAGAGTAGGACTTACAACTTACACCTTGTTGTTAATATCTCTGACGTTTAATATATTCATTTTATGCTACATTGGAGATCTCCTGATAGAAAAGGTAAATTTTCAACATTTTTCAATTATTCATACGAAAAATATTTATGTGATATTTTATACAGAAAAGTTGGGGTATAAATAAAAATGCACACGTTGTTAATAACAATTTATTTTACTCATTGTTCTAAATATTTTGTATATTATCATTTATTTGTATTCATTACAGAGTACAAGTATTGGAACCTCCAGTTTTGAGATCGATTGGTATCGATTACCAACTAAAACGATACGCGGACTAATTTTAATCATGGCCATGTCAAATAATCCTGTAAAAATTAGTGCCGGTGGAATAGTTACTTTATCTTTGTCTACATTTGTAACCGTAAGTTTGCAAATCTATATTATAATGAAATAAGTATCATGTAACTAGTCACTTTTCCTTTTATCTTGAAATGTAATCTATTTGTTACAGGTGCTTAAAACATCATTGGGATATCTAAGTTGCCTTCGAACACTTGTATGATTAATTAATTTGCAAATTGAACTATGATTTATTTAATTGTTAATACAACACGTAATTGATATATTATAACAATGAATACAACATTATTTATAATACAATGTATTATAACAGTGTGTTAATTGTATGTATGTTTCGTATAATTAAAATATAATTTACAGACAGTATTATGAAATGTATAAAATTATACAACTATTTGAGTTACTGTTATTGTATGATACTGCTGTTTACTAGTACTTAAAAAAGTATTTTATTTATGAAATTAAGAAATAAGTACCACGATTTTGCTGCGCGAATTAATTTAAAAAAAAATCACCTTACTTATAAAATATTTGTAAATGCAATACGAAATTTTGAATAAAACAATTTGATATAAAATAGTTTCTTATGAAATAAAAAAAAAACTTTGTTCCTCGATATTCCTACAATACATAGTTTCACAAACTAAAATAACATACATATATATTGTATGAAAATAAAAAATAGTTAAAAAGAATCTATAACATATTGCTCCATATAAGTTAAGAATAACTTAATACTTGTATAATGTATTAATACTAGTATTAATACATGTACTACATGTTTAATCAAAAAAAAATTTTACAATAAATCATGAATCAATAAATCATGAATCAATAAATCAATCAATAAATCAATCAATAAATCAATCAATAAATCAATCCATAAATCAATCAATAAATCAATCAGTAAATCAACCAATAAATCAATCAATAAATCAATAAACACATGATACAATATTAACAATAACAATTTAGTTATCAAACAATTGTAAAAATAAATAAAATAATAAATTAAGCAATAAATAAATGAATAATAAATGAAGTAATAAAGTACATTTTAATATAATAATCAACAAATATCTTGTTTACACATACGCACGAAAATATTATAAAACAGTAACTGAACAAAGTTCAATTTGTAATTATCGTTAAATACAAAGGTAGCTATAGACTATAGACAGTGATACGTGCGTGATGGTTGATTGGGCATAGCGGTTTACCTATCATGTTATAGGTTCGTACTTGAACAGGTCATAGGTAGTCAATGTTATTGTACCTACCAGAGTTAGGATCAACCTCATCATCACATACTGGTACGAGTCAAGGACTCAATTAAAGTATTATATGTTCATGTTAATGCTACTTAATATATCAGTGTATTAATGTGTTCTATCAAGTGTTTTTTTTATATGTATTTCGTACTTTAAGACTTTGAAATCTCTTCGAGGTTTTATTATAAGTTTTGAAATTTCTTATGTAAACCCTATTTCGATTTTAACTTGATAAATGAGCTTATTGTAAGGGTGGTTAGGACTTGGAGATCGGGGTGGGTCACAATCGTAGCCACCTCCATGTGGTGTGACCTGGAAATCGATATCGTTCTCTAAAGATTTTGCAGATCTGTAGAAAACTATATCGAGCTAAGTGCTACGCCGTTTAAGTTAAAACTTCGTTTATTTTCTAACATTTTCTTTTTCAGCAATATTTATTTTGCTGAACGAAAACATTTCATATTTTAACAATTATAATAAATTATAATCAAATGCTGGAATTCTCTTACTTACAAAATATTTATAATGACGATTGTATATTACAGAACTTATAAAAGAATAGACAATGTCTCTGTAAAGCTTAGCCTAAAATAATACAATTTTAAAAAGTTGTATTATATTGTACGATAATGTATCATACATTTAATGATTAATAGCTGAAATTATTATAATTTTTTGTATCTACATTTCCTCACAAAGGAAAAGTAATTTTTACAAATAAAATATTGAATAGGAAATTGTGTTTTGTAAGTTCACACTTTTGTGCGTATTAATGTTATGTTTGTTTGGACCTTTTTATTTTCCATGCTCCAATTCTATACTTGTACCAAATAAAAAATAAGTCTCTACCCATTTGTAACCAACTCCAGAAAGGTACTATTTTAGATCCTTCTATTTCTGTCCAATGAACAGGAATTTCAGTAATAGGAATGTCTAAAACTCTTGCAATGTATAACATTTCTACATCAAAAGCCCATCGTTCAACGTGTAAGGCTTGAAATATAGCCTGTGCAGCATTTCTTGTTATAAGTTTAAAACCGCACTGTGTATCTCTGATACCTCTTACACCCCAAAACCATACTAAGAAATGAAATCCATGCATTAGTAACAATCTAAAAAATGTTCGCTTGGCAGTTTCTTCTTTTTCTAAGTGAGCTCTGGACCCACATACAACTGCAGAAGAGGAGCTAACTTCGTCTGGTTTGTTTATGTAATCAACTAAAAAAAATAATCAAATTATACACATTGTATCATATGTTCATGTTCAATTTCAGTTTAAAGAATAACTTACATCCTAAAATGCTTCTCAAACTTTCATCTAACTTTTCTAAGTCGCTAAATTTAGTAGCACCATCGGCATCTGCAAATAGTATTGCACTTCCTCTTGCATTTAATATACCCTTAAATGAAAATAATTGTGATAAACAATAACAAAGTGTAGAATATGCAAAAAAGATTTAAACAATTGTTCAGTACTAACTAATCTTACTGCACCACCCTTTCCTCTATTTTTAACAAGTTTTAATACTCTGATATTTTCATGTTCTAATGCATATTTATGCGCAATATCCACAGTATTATCTTTGCTTCCATCGCTAACTATAATTATTTCATAAGTACATCCAGTTTTCAAACGTTGATCTAAATATTCCAAACATTCGTCCAACATCAAAGGCACTGCAAAATAAAAGTAATATTATATTCTGTATAGTAACTGTTAATAAATCAATAATTACATCTTTTTTCTTCATTATATGCTGGTATTATGACGCTCAGATGTACACTCCAATTATCATATAGCGATGGAAAAGCTTCTGTCTTTTGTGTCTTTGGATTGAAAAAATACTTTTCTTTTTCATCTCGCCATATTTTTGGATATGGTTCTGTTATTACGTATAATATCACTGAAAACTAAAAGTATATAACATTAATTATGTCACTGTAAAAGAAATTATATTAACAATTGCGCGTGCTTAAAAAAAATTATATTTTTTAAAGTATGCTTTTAAAACTGCCACGTTTATACAACTTTAAGTGACATATAATTTATAATATAACCTGAATACGTACCAGAATCATACATACTACTGCAAATACAATAGCATAAACAAGTAAAAGACCCAAAGATATCATTTTAACTTTACAGTACAATTAAATATTAAAATATATTTTATAAAAGACGTCAAACAATGCGTATACTTTCATAGTTTCTTTCACGTGCCGCCACACAATGCCACACACGTCTTTTAGAAGTACAGTAAATTTGCATATGTTTTGTGCGTTGTTTGCGCTAAATGTAAATATTGTCTATCGTTTTATTCATAGAATAAATATTATATTTAAATAAAAAAAAATTGTAAACTTGAATGTTTATTAATATTTTTATATAGTTCTTATCAATTTTACAAAACAAATTAATAAGTTCACGCATTTAACAATAATAGAGGGCGCTGGATTTATGCAACCTAATATGTACAATACTTATCCAATTTCAAAAATTTGAATTATCTTAGCACAATAAAACTGCGGTATAAATAATTTTATATTACATCATTCTTTTACATGCAAAGATAAAAATTTAAGAAACAATGGCCTCGAGTGATGTAGCAGGCGAAAGTACAGGAAAGAAAAAGAAAATACTTATAGAAGTCGATGAAGACGATCCATGTTTAAAGAAAGATGAAGAAGCACCTGTACCAAAATTTCAAATTTTTGTTCCCGGTGAAGATCCGAGGTAGCTTGATGCTCTATTATACATAAAACTAATCACTTTAATATTCTTGTTCAGAATAATGTTAAATGTTGTTTAGATTTCAACAACAAAATCAAACGATACGCTGTTGGGTAATGTATACAGATTTCTACCGATGCGAACATATTTTAGGGGAGGGAGCAGATGCGTGCACTTGGTTCAAACACGTCTTCACGTCAATATGTCCAATGAATTGGATTCGTAATTTCGACAGTCTAAGGGAAGGAAATAAATTACCCTGGCATAAATATAGAACTCAGGGTAAATTTCCTGGGAAAACATACGGAGAATAAATTATTACATTTTTAATGAACTTGGAAAATAAATAAACTCATTATTAGAAAAAAATATCAATCTTTTATTATACAGGTACAAGATTTTTTTATGAGGTAACTTATATAGAAGTACGAAATGAATATTTGTTGCAATGCCCGACGTTGGCCTGTTGTACGGCTGTCTTCAACAATCGGTCAACAATTTCTTCTTTTACTTTTATATTAACCACACTAATTACTTACAGTTTATATATGACACTTTATATACATATGTAAAAAATAAACACTTGCAGAAATTCTTCTTTAAACTTTCGTTAGAATAGAAGCTTGAAATAGCACGGTATTAAAAATTTTGTTTTGTTTAAAATTTAAGATTCTTACATAATAAAATGGTTATTTTAATTTGTGCACAAACTCCTGCCATGATGAAGACAACTTACCATCTTCAGACGTTACTTCTGGTTAGCAGGATTCTTCCATCTATATGAAATATTGGTTCATCAGAAACAGTACCTGTAATTATAAAAGTGGTAATATTTATTTACAACAAAATTATGCATTTCACATTGTTTCTAATTATAGAAACATTTGATCACTTTCAATGATTATTTTTGAGTCTTATTTTGTTAACTCCTTCTGAATCTTATGATTAAAGATTAAAACCACCTTACATATAAGTTAACAATGCCACTTTAGTAGCTAAATGCTACTTGGCTTGACTGTCTGTTTGATGAATAAATTGACAATCGCCATCACTGCAAGTCCCCATCAACTCGTATGGACAAAGAACGCCATTGGGATTCGTGTTCCTAGTGAAGAATGACAAAAAACACAAAAAAAATGCTCAACATTTTTATAACTTTTAAATAAAAACAATTTCGCGTTATTAACAAATAAGTAAACGAAAGTTACCGAGATATATTTAAAAAGAGAAACCCACCTTGGCACTTTAAAGTGCACCAATATTGATTCATAAGGTAAAAGTATCTTTTTTGTTTGATGCTCTTTGTCGGACTTTTTAGGACTTAGTTTCTCGTTACAATCTTCTAGTGATCCAGGGTTGATTACGTTACTTTCCAGCGTTTCTTTAGGATCTAGATCTTGTACATCTTTTGAATTAGAAGTACTAGCCACAGCAACAGGAATATCATCCAATTTTGTTTGATCCGAAAATACTTCCTTTTCAGTATTAATTTGTTCAGGTGTACTTTTATCATCATTAGTTAAAGTTAAATTATTTAATTCCACATTTTCTTGTTCACTTGGTTCTTCATTTACATTTGCATTTGTTGTAGTTACTTCTAATGACGTAGTATTTTCAGCTTCGGTGGATTTTGCTGAACAATCAATTTCTTGCGAAATTGATGTATCAACATTATTTACATTGTACTCTTCTAATAATAAATTTTCATTTTGTGAAATTTCCGTGTACGTAGTAAATACAGTTTCATCTTCTAATTTCGATGAATCATATATTTCAGGAATGTCAATGGATGGTACTTTTTTCCGCGAAAGCTGCCACGTATGATTGGCAAGTTCTTTCAGTCTATTAACTAAAAGTTGTGCTCCAGCTTCAGGTACCCTATAGGAGATTAATGAATTTTTATAATTTTGTTTAATAATCGGTAATAACTCAGTATATTATTTACCTGTATTCTTTCCCTACAATCCTATTTCCCAGAGTTGAACAAATTGTTACAAGTTTAAAACATTCTTTTCTACCAGCAGTGATCTTTCCATGTGCTGCTACTACTTTTGGACTTATGTTATTGATACGATCACGTTGCAACTGTAATCTCTCTTCAGCAACTTTGAGCTGCTCTCTAAGTTTCTTCACTTCAGCTGCAAGGGTTGCCTGTAGATCACGTTCCATGTGCCACTGACGAATGTTACTTGACATTTCTGCCAAGTCATCCAAAATTGTATACCTGTTAACATGCAAATATTTGTTTATGTTCATATATGTATATCTAATGCTATAAAGTAATATTTATAATTACCGTTTCATAACTAATTTCTGCTCTGTATCCATTAAACGTCGCTCTTGTTCCTCTCGTGAGAGACTAATAAGAGTATTCAGTTCCATTTTAGCATCTTTTCTAATAGCTTCCCAATTTCCTTCTATGCTCATTTTATTAGATGTTGTTTTACTTTTGGATAGCAGAGATTGACTATCATCTTTATTTTCTGTACTTGTTGATGTATGTCTATTGTTTTGATAATCCGATAATAGGACTGTAGATTCGGCTGTATCATTACTTTCTCTTCCTATAGTTTGATTTCCTCTTGGTAAAATAATAGTTGATGCTTCCGAATCCACTGAATTATTGTTACTGGATGGAGTATCATTAGTACGAACTTCCTTTCCAATGGACTGTACAACTTGGTTTGTATCATTTTTATTACTATCATTAATTTTAGAAATATTTTCAACTCGATTAGTTACCGTTTTATTATTTAAGGTCACTTTATCTTTTATTGTTACTACTCGTTCCATTGTATCATTTTTCACTTGTACTTGTACATATTTTCGATTTACTTCATCTGTGGACAGAATTTTTATACCGGATGAAATTTTCGCTTTTGCTTGAGATTTATGAATAGGTGCTTCAAAAATTTTGCGCGATGTATTTCTTAATTGAGTAAAATTACCAGTTATTTTATTTCCGAGAGTATTTAAATTATTTTCGGTGGTCACACGCAGATTTGTTATTGTTTTTGTTTGTTTTAGATTTATGTTTTCTTGTTTATCCATGTTGCACACTTTATTAATGCTTAACTGATTATTATTTGTACTTGTTATAGGTGTATTTTTTATTGAGTCCGAATTTTTAGAGCAGTTTTCCTTATTTAGTTGTTGTGCATTTATAACCTGATTTTTGGTGAAGGTCGTCTGATTCACTTTAGAGTACAATTTTTTATTTGGACTATTGGATAGCACGGATTTTGGAGATACTTCTATATTCATATTTTTTGTTGAACTATTATTTTCTATAGTTTTATGTAACTTTAATTTTTCACGTTCTAAAATTTGTTGTTTTAGTCGGCGATATTCCTCTTGCTGTGATACTGGTAAATGACGTACAGCCTGTAAAAATATTAAATAATTGAATGTATCATCATGTAATAATAAATTATGTGATTCTTACCAATGGTGTATGTAGATTGGAAGAATTTAATTGCTCTGATTTGGTATTTAATACTGTATCTTTTTTGGGTACTTGTGACATTGAAGTTGGTCTTGCAGCTGCCATAGATTCTTGTTTTTTTCGTACATCTCGTAAAAATTGTTCTACATTTTTTTCAAATTCTGCTGTGGTATTTGCTGATTCAGTTTTCTCTACTGTGGGTGAATTGGTTGCAGATGCAATCTTATTCTTTCGTCGTTCAGATTCAGAATCACTTTCTGAATCAGATTCCAAATTGATAACAATTCTTTGGGTATCAGATAATATTTTTGTATTGGTAGACCATTTATTATCAGTAGACTGTATTTTAGATGTAATTTTATTTTCTGCTACCTTCTGTTTGTTATACACTGCTTTTTGTAAATTTAATTTCTTTTGAAGCATTGAATTCTGATACTTCTTTGCATTATTTACAACTTTTGTACTTGCAGGAATTGCAATTCTTTTTATAAGTTTCTTTTGTGGACCCTTAGGCACAATAAGTGATCTTTTCCTCCCAGAAGTCATTGGTTGTCCTAAAGTTTTTACTGTTTCAACTGGTAAACTTCCTTGTGGAACTGTATTATTTATCTGATCTTTCGAATTTGGTTGGTTTTTATCATTTTCAGAAGTGCATGAGTTTATCAAACCTGTTGCACTATTAGTACTTATTGTATTGACTGTATTAACCACAGGTATTGTTTTTAGTTCAGTTTGATTAGTAAATATTTGAGTTGGTGCAGTAACTGTAACTGATCCTGTTGTGATGGTAGCTGAGTTTGTCACACTGTTGACAGTTTTTGTTCTTTTTGGCAAAGAAGCTAATAAAATTGCTCTTAATGCTTCTTCATCTTCATCTAAACTTTCTCTCCTATTTTCTGTATTTTTAATTTCATGTAATGTCTTAGATGAAGCATCTTCAGTTTGTATGGTTTCATCTTTTTCTGAAGAAATTATAGTTTTATGAATAGTAACATTTTGTGGAGCTTCTGAAACAGATGCAACTGTACTGTCCTTTGCATTAGAATGACTCATACAAGGTGATTCATGTTGTGTTTTATCTGTGATATTTGTATTGTCACTATTTGAATGTAACGCAATTTTTTTACTAGCCAATGGAGTTGAATTGACACTTTTTCTTTTTTGGCCCTTTTTTATATGTTTCCTTTTCTTCTGAGCTGAATTTTTACTATCACAAATTTTATTTAAGTCTTCCGTATTTGTAGTTGTATTATCATGTACCAGCAATAAATTATGATTATCTTTTATTAAGGAGGTACTTTTATTTGTAACTGTATTATCAAGAATTGGCTCTTCATGTAATGTATCATGAAACACAGTAGGTATTGTTAGAACAGAATGGGATTTTTGGGGGATGGACATTAGTTTCATTGGTTTAAAGGCAGTACTTGATTTTGCAGGTTCTTCATTAATTACAACTGGTTGCATTTCTGCACTTTTAAATGTAGGTTCCTGTTGTGTGACACACTTCTTTGTAGATAATGGTTGCTGTAATTTTTTATTTGTTTTCAGGATTGGTGCTGGAACAAGTGTCCTATTAATTAATGTTGGTATTTTGTTTGCATCTTTGGTAATATCTGGTATTCCTTTCATATAAAGTGGTTCTGGCACTATTTCTTTAATATTGTTTAAATTATTTGGAATGTTCTCTGCACTCTTAGCCTGTGTAATAGAATCAGTCAGTGGGCATGTATTTGCATTAGTTTCAGGAAAGTCATCAGTTGTTATCATTGAACTACTAGGTGATACAGATTCCATAAGGGAAGTTGTTATAGAACCAGTAACTGGATCTAGAGGGAGTGTTTCTGCACTATTTAATTGTCCATCTTCAATCACACTGTTAATTTGTTTTGTTGCTTGTATTTGTTGTGCTTTCAACACATGGCTACATTGATTACTACTTCCATGTGTATCAGGATTATAAGATTCCAAGGTGGCTAAGGAAGAATTTGAGGTAGTAATTGGACCAAGAGTTTGTGGAAGTGCATGTGATAAATCAGGATCATATACAGGAGTATCAGTTGGAGAATAAGGCATTTCTTGACTTGAATTGATATCAGTAAATTCAGAAATATTTTTTAGAACATTACATGTATTTCCATACTGGGGCTCATTTAAATGAGATTTCATAAAATCTGGTTTAGAAGGTTGTACTTGATCAGTTGGAGAATACTGTATGTTGGTATTTGTTGTTGGACATATTGAATTTTGCAAGGGTGTATAATATACAACATTCGGCAAGAAACTTCGGTTTTCAATTATTTTCCCTTGGTAAGGTGATTGATTATCCTGATTAGGTGTCATAGATACATTAAAGCCTGGACTATTATTTACTGAATTAAGATTAATGAATGATACATCAGATGGTTGGATACCTAATAATTCTGTATCCATAGGTATATTGGTGGTAATTTTATCAGTAGGAGAATATGGCAACTTTTCTTTTTCTCTTTCTACATCTGTATCTAATTCCATGTCTTCTGTATGATTATCTTCATTCATAGGAAGGGGTGTATGAGGTGGTGATGCAAAATTTAACAATTCTTCTCCAGGTATGGGAATACTATCTAAAAAGCTTTGAGTGAATGGACTTTCACTTCGAGAAACATTAGATTTTTTGTATGCCCTAGATTTTATACCCTTCTGAACTCTATTCTGATGTTTTTTCAACACTGCAGAACGCAACGCAATCATTCTCAATTCTAAATCCTCCTCATCTTGATCATCATTTACATTCGCTTTCTTTGTAGTCTCAGTCTTTGGTTGATCATTAGATTTATTTGATTTGTTTTGTTTAGTTTCAAGTGCTTTTTGTCTTAATAATGCTAAATCCTCTTCATCATCTGCATCATTAAGTTCCTGCTTACTCATATAGTTACCAGATTTTTCTTTTGAGGAATTTGATATATCACTATTATTGTCAGAAACTTTTTTCATCATGTTCAACTTTTCCTTTAACGAAGATGCATGTTCCTTATTTTTACTTAACATCGTTTGCAAAGAATGTGTTCCTATCGAATCTAATTTTCTCACTTTTTTAAGAAGTTTATGCGTTTCTGTATAGTTATGAGACAAAGACATCAACTCAGAATGCGATGTTTTCCGAGGAATTGTTTTTCCTGATGATTTGTACGGTGATCGTTTAGGAGATTTTAGTCTTCTTGGAGATCTCCTGATTGGTGATCTAGCACGAATAATTGGAGATTTTGATCTTCTAAATGGAGAACGTGCTCTTATAAGAGATTTATGTCTTCTGGGAGGTGATCTTGAAACCATTCTTGACCTACTAGTTTTACGAATAGGACTTATTTCTCTATGATGAGATCTTGAAGAATTATTTTTTATCGCATCATGTTTTAGTATACTGATATCTTCAGTTACAGCCACATCCACAGTAGACGAAGAAACTAAATCATCCATTGACATTACAGTTACATGACTTCTTTTCTTCTTTTTTTTCTTTTTTATTCTATTTTTTGAGGAAGAATATATTATTATTTGTTTAGAATTATCTGCAAGACCAACAATTTCCATATCACTGTCACTCGATATAGGCACAAGGTCATCATTTTTTTCTTGAAGTGTGGAAACTGCATGTTTTGTTCCAATGCATCCTGATTCTTTGATTTGATGACGGTTTTCTTTTCCCTGGACTGCATCTTGTAGAATAAGGTCAACTTCTACTTGGTTAGAACACGATATGTCGAAAATGATAATAAATTGTGCATAAAAATTCAATGTATTGCAAATAATATTTATAGAATATAAGTATATATAAATAAAAGAAATAATTTCTTTTAATCAGGTTTCATTAATAAATCAAAAATCATGAAAGAATATTGAAAGCAAGTAATACAAAATATACAAAATTATATTTATTTTAAAAACTAAAGCATATTAAGTTCTCGAAATCGACGTATTATCAATTGCAATATTTAAAAATGCTAAAAAAAAATTATATATTAAATTTACCTCTTCTATTAGAAGAGCCTTTGGAAGGATAAAATTTGGCAGAAGTGCGCCACGTTGCATTATGTTGCGTTGATAAACAGTCAGAATATTGAGGAACCCTACTTCCGTATCCATAATTTAAATGTCCTTCCTCGGAAGAACTTACATCTTCCAAGGATATTTCACCTTCTTCTTTCTCATCCAGCACTCCAATTGTTTCGGTACACTCACTCGATAAATCGCTAGCCATTCTTAGACTTACCCTCAAAACGACAATTAATCGCGTCCATTCGAAATAATAAAAATAGATTTTTGCAATTTCGATAATATCGTTACATAAAATTTAGGGTTAATTACGCGTTACAGATAATTCCGATTTCCCACTGAACCAAATGTTACACACGCACACTCCTATTTCTAACGAATCAATTTATGTGAAAAACCTTTTTTTTTATCCGAATACAAAATCAACTAAAATTTAATCAAGTGCAAATACTGATTCCGATATAAAATACAAATGACTTATCCGCCACAATGTCTGCTTTCAAAGTACTTCTATCCTCACGATGAGATGCATGCAACAACTCCGCCATGCTATGTCGTATTCAACATATGACATGAGACGGCTGGTATTCACTATTACGGACATGTTCTAAAATTAGACGATCATTTTCATACAAAAATGTGCGACTATTGTCTTGATACTTTTTAACGTTATTTTTTAACATTCAAAACGAATTTTTTATAATATCTTTTTTTATCTACATCTGCTATTAATAAATTTTTATTAATATACTACTGTGTTTAGTAATAGTAATTCGAACTTCAAAGAACGATATTTTATTAGACTTCAGTTTTTAATTTACACTTCATACATTATCAAATTCTTTGTTACACGTAGTTTATTAAACTTATACCTTTATCTCTATCCAATCAAAGAAATAACAGACGTTACAATATACGTTACTAAAACGATTACACATTCCCGCCTAATTTTACATGGAAACGGCAGCGCCATTTGTTTTCATTACATGCAATTTTGTGCGAATAACGTTGAATTTCGGTACAACATAATTTTTCAGTAAATCTTTATCGAATATGAAACGTGCCAGTGCTTGATCCCCGATTCCAGATAAAACAGCCACGAATCTCCCCATTTCATTTACGCTCTTCATTTGATCTTCCATGAAGCCAGTAATAATAAAGTCACTGGCATTTAAATCGCCATGTTTTTCCGCCACGGTATTTACAGCTACCAGTTTTTCTGCTACTTCAGTCTCTAATTCTAAAGCCGTCTAAAAAAATATTAAATAACGTTTAATTAAAATAACGTTGTAACATTTATATTTAATTAAAGAATTTAAAACTTAAAAAATTTACAAATTTTGCAATTTGAGTATTTTTCCTAATCTCTACATTTGAGTGAAGTGCAACAATGTAGAATGTAGAGTATGGTACTGAAATGTGACTCATGCGTCAATGACTCATGCTTATCGTAGAAAATAAAATAGTATCTAAATGTTATTTTTTCTCTATTTTTCTCAGACAATAGTGAAGCTAAAAAATTTAGAAAGAAGATGGCAGAAAGTGGTTTTGGACAGAAATGGACAGTGTTGTATTTACTGTGAATTTAGGAATAGGTTATTAGAGGCTAGGGGTACTCGATATATTTACTTTAAACGCATGCAGAGGACATTTCCAATCTTGGTCATTGGGGGGCAGTACTGGACACAAATTTACACGCCCCCCGCGCATTTGAATGTAATTTAGAAACCTGAGAGCGTGTTCGTGCTCTTCGTGATGCATCTGTATGAAAAACGATTCGCAACCGGGCAACGCTACGTCGACACGTCCAAAATATGCAGCCTATTTGTTCGTACATGAAATAATTACAATTGAACAGTACACAAAAATTTGAATCTTACCATGGACAAATAATGATAGCAAGCTTTTAATTCAATATTTATCTGTTCATTTAGAATATTCTCGGTGTCCTCGTGGAATTTGTACTTCGCTAAGTTGCCACTTGGCCACTTCATCGGTTTGTCGATGCAGAATTGATCGGAGGCTTTGCATGATGACAAAAGTCGGTAATCCTTTTTGTTGAATTTTCGTTGGCAGATTAATTTTTGCGTGATCGGCGCATGTGCAAGATACTGTGATTTGCATGTTCTCAAAAAAATATTAGCAATTTTGTTTCAGATTATTATGTCGCGATAAATTTATTTAATTTAGCAGACTTACTGTGTATTACATAAGCGTCGAAAATGTGGATGCGATACGCTGACAAAAATTTTTCTGCAATACGATTTCAACATGTTTACGTGCGATTTATATACATATTTTATAAATAACTGTTATTTACGCATAAAATTTGTGCGTCACATAGTATCTGCGCGCAATTGTTTTTCTTTTCGATATAACATCGTAATTACACGTAATATCGAAGTTTCCTTAATTTACGAGTTCAGCCTGAACATTTTATCGACATTGTTGCGAGCGAGTGCAAGTAAACACGGCATAATCAGAATTATCAACTTTTATTGCGAATAAAGTTAACACAACGTTGCGCAGTACATCGCAGTATTCATTACATCTAATAACACGTTAAAAGCTACTGATTTTATTTGGAATTGACAGTCTGTGGCATTCGAGGAAGTATGTAGTAACTTGTCGGAAATGTCCTTATCAGAATTATGCAAGTACTGTACCATCGATAGAATCTGTTTAAATGCAATATTCTTTCGTTCTTCTAAACTGCATTAATCTTTTGATTTCATTATTGTAAATTGCATTCGTAAGTTCCGTTTGTGCAAAGTATATTAATTGTTTCAAAATAATTTTCTATTCCTTTCTTCAATAATATTTTAATCCTTGAGTTCCCTGTCGAAAATGTATACTCCGAGTCCTTCGCCAACTCGTTCCAAATTTGTCACGTGATCGGCAATTTCTTTGATGGAGTCCACTTGTTCTTGCAGGTATTCGGTTTCTAAGAAATCTAGGAAATTCGGGTCGTTGTGTGATGAGGCGAGAGCGTGCAATTCCAGGAGACTCTGAAACAAAATTGTTAATTAAGTTATTGATTAAAAAGTTTAAGGTTTTGCAACAAATAGCTTTTGTCTATTTAAAGTAAAAATAACATTTATAAAATAAAAATCACATTTATATATACTTTGTAAATTCGTGAAAGAATGTTCCTTTTTGTTGTATGTCCTTAAATCTTTTCACTAAGTAACTTGCACAATTTTTCTATATTTTTATACATAACAAATATTTGTTAAATACAGTAATTTAATACAGTAATTTAACAAATATTCAATAAATACTTTATAACTTGTAATAACAAATAATACACATTATATTTATAATTAATAAAAAAATATCATTGTATCATATTTTGAACTAAAGATACTAAAAGCGCAGAAATAATATTTGCATTCACAACATTTGCATATGTTCATTTAAAAATATTATGTTGCTATTGTAAAACATTTCTGTCGTTGAACAATCGAAAAAAAGAAAAAAAAATAGTTTTGGAGGAGCTGGGATTTGAACCCAGGACTTTCCGCATGCGAAGCGGACACTCTACCACTGAGTTACACCCCCGGTTGGGATATTAGTCTCTAAAATCGCATAAAGCTGGTACTAAGATATTACTGAATAGTTATGAAATGTATGTTAATTGAATTAACAGACGAAGCAAAATTAAAAATGTACTCTAACGTATAGAATTTAGTTACAAAAATAGAATATATACATCGTTCTCTTAACCTTAAATGATTATAGTATTAAATAAAAAAAAAATAATCGTCATTTAAATGGTAAAAATTTCTATTTTATAATATTTTTGAAGGTATACACATACCTCGTTAACTTTTTTCTCCAGATCTAATGCTTCTGACATAGCATCTTTAGCTGCGTTCCAATTATTTTTGGGCGGGCTTTCGATGGTTGTCAAAATGATGTTGCCGCCTCTTTTATTCTGATACGCCATAAATTTCATGGCATGTTCCCTTTCCTCGTCGGACGCTTTTTTGAAATATTTGTAAAGACCGGGCAGAGCGACATCGCTCCTGTTGAAATAATAAGCCTGGAATAAAGTAACAACCGTCACGAAATCGAAGGATACGTTTGGGGAAGCGAAGGGCGAAATAACGGGAATATGTTTATTTCATTTTCTTTTTTATTTTTATTTAAATATCAATGTAAGATGCAAACGTTAAAAATAACCATTCAATCGATACGTCGACTAACCATAGATAGGTAGACGTAACTGGCGTACAGTTCCATATTGATTTGCTTGTTGAGGGCTAATTCGCAGTCCTCGTGAAAATTTTGCCTGACCAAACTCATGATGTTTTGTGCTAAGCTGTACGTTGGACAAGATAAAACACAAAAATACACCAGGCGATCGAATAACACTCCTGTCGTTCTGCTCTTTCAAAACATACTGCACCAAGTGCAGACAATGCCGAACGCTAGCTATTCACGCAAGCGCGGGTGCGCATCATTTATCGAAATCGCAAGTTCAGAATTTACAACCGTGAACGTAATGTCAGCAAATAGGAAAATTTAATTAAGACGATTAATCGTTTTAGTTTTATTTGATAAAGCTTTGTCTGTATTTCCTTCCTATTGAGTAACGGGTTCTTTTTATTTGAGTTAGTAGAATTTTATTTACGCCTTATTTTATTTACAAATTTTACCGCGCTTGGATTCTCAAGTTTTCGTAAAAAATAATTTTGAATAATATACAATGCTTTTTGACATACAATGTCTTTCGTGTTTATTAGAACTAATCTTACGTACTTATCTTAATTTCGAATGTTAATTTGAGTAATGTGCGTTCTAAAAATATTCTTTTCTGATTCTCGTTTATTCCGTTTTTGAACTAATGGGAAAGAGCGCTTCAGCGCCATTCAATTTGGACAGATTCAAGAACACATAGAGTCGAATGTAATTGAATGTATCAGCTTCGGGATAAATTTTGATAATTATGTGATGTAATAATAATTCTTATGTTCGTAATTATGTCTGTAATTATCTCTTTGTTTATATTTTGTTAATTCCATTCATGTCTATATTTCATTTAATTAAGAGTATCGGTTTACTGATATTGAGGTTAGGTTATCATTCATATAAAACTGATGTCACATTCTTGAAATTGCTTGATACATTTTACTTGAAATTATATATCATTTTTAATGTTTCAGAGATAACTTGTCAACCATATTGATATAATTCATTGATTTATTACAGAAAATGAAAAAATTCAACCAGTAGCAACAAAGTTATGTGTTGTTGAAAGTGCATATACATTTATTGTGTATGGTATTTTGTATGATATTACATTATAAAGACAGAAAGTCTGAATGAGACACATTAATAAAAAGTGTGATTAATACGAATGATTGTTGTGGTATAACTTGAGTGAAGGAATGAACGAATCGCTGATCGATAAAGGAATGAGAGAAGTGCCTTTCTGCAAACGAACTTGTATTTTGCATTAATATTTATGTTATTCTAATAGGAAAGAAGATTAAATAAGATATATTTGAAGATGATTATTGAATGTTAACATGTTTGTCACCAATGTTCCATTGGAAATTTGTTCAATAGAAATTACTTCCTACGTTATAAAATAACATAATTCTCATCTATTGTAAATTGTGCTATATGATACTTTTTTGAATATTATGTTACAGAATTTAATCTTTATCATCTTAAACCACATTGAATAATTATGATCTTACATAGGAAATTAAATTTACATATATGTTGGCAAACATGTTAAATTTGTATAATGCAGTACATAAAATATTCAGGGTAAAAAATTATACAACAAACAAAAGATTAATTCAAACTTTATTCTCATATTGAGCAAAACATCTGGATTCACTTACATTAAATAATAAACATACTTAAGTGTTATATATGCTAGATTATATTACAGTGAAACCCATTGCTTTATAAATATTCCACCATAATTTGAAACCTGAAAATACATAGTATTTTATACATACTTAAAAATACTTTACATACATAAAGTATATATACTTTAATATACTTCATTTTATATACTTATGTGACATCAGAAATATACATTCCACCACAACTATCTTCATATCACCAAACAACGCTTACAATTAAGAGTACAGAACATTCTTACCTACTTAAGTTATATCAAACTGTACCAGGTACCATTTTTGAAAACTTTAATTTTTTACAACCCATTAATGATTTGAAACGCATATTTTAAACACAGAAGAGAAGGGTTGAATTTTGCTATACTACTTTAAAACATTTTATATTTAAATGTTTAATAACCCAGTCAAAACCAAGTCGAGTTCCACACTTTGGGAACCTCTGATATCGACGGATATTGATGAAATGAGTTGTCGTATTCGTTTCGAAGTTTCAGTGGTCTTCTCACAAGGATATAGGTCTCGTTACGTCGAAGCCTCGTGGAAGCCCCATCATAGCCGCTGTCACACGCACAAGAGTCTTATGTCTAATCTTGTGCAGTGGCCAGCAGCTGCACTGGGGTCCATTATTCCTTTCTCCTCTTTACGCGAATAGTTTCCTTTTAAACCGTAGCTCTTTTTGAATTTTCACGTTGCTGATGAAAGAACTCCTATCAGAAAAGCTGAGAGACAGTAGATGACCCCAAGAAAATTCTCATTAAATTATTAGCTATGACTTCATTTGCCTCATCAAGCTTAATAGCAAAGATTCCCTTTTAACTTTATTCTCCTCGCAAATATTAGCGAAACTACGAAAGTGGGGTACGAAGGTACATAGTATTCTTTTGAAATTAATTTCGATCACTAAAAGTTAGTGCCATTGTTAACGAAATTAAAAGAGTAGACTAGCAGCAAAATATATAAATAATTAACTACGTCGGCAAAACTAATTTTTCTTTGTACAGAAAGTTTAGCCAATAGTGTCAGCACTACCCTTTCTATTACCGCTACCTAATTTCGCTCTCTTACAGCCATTAGCGTATTTATGAAAGTAGGATACGAAGTAGTAAAGAATGTATGAGCGTCGATTGACTAAAGTCACAACGTGCTGTTGTCTTTTACCACAATACATATTTCCTTTTGCATTCTGTTCTCGTTATTTTCAAAAAATCAACCTCCGTCCTCCAAGCTCTTTTTACCACCTCGGTACTTGTCTTCCCAGAAATTCTTGAACATCGTACCTGGCAGAGCTTTTCATGAAACTCGATAAAAGCGTTCGACGAAAGTTCTACCGAAGATTGTGACCAGTTACAAGAATTGGTTCGAAACAATTCTTCTAAAAATCGATCGTTTCTACTGACATATTTCCACATAAAGTCCACGCGAACTCACAGCAAGTGTATGCGTTCTAAGGTAACTTGTGGGGACCGGACATATGGCGGCTCTATAGGCCGATAGAATAGCTCGGTTCCCATACAAAATTCATTGGCTTCGATCTCTTTATCCGTGCATTTCTACGATGAACTTACCACGATTTCTACACATCATAGCTACGTCCTCTTCCATTCGTTATCCTCTGGAATTTATTCCTCAAGTTCATTTTCCCTACGATCCCAAAAAGTTCGAGATCTATTTTTCTAATCAAGATTCGACTAAAGGGTACACAGTGCAACCCCCTGTGAGATTATTAGAACTTGGTATAGAAATCTAAAAGCCTTTTTGAGCCCAACTTTTGCTCGAATACACTCAGCAATTCTGATGCTAAAACTTCAGTATAGCTTTGGATTCTATGTCCTCTTCTTATCTTGGATTCACACAGTCGCGTTTACACGTTGGTCCAGTCGCTCCACTCACGTAATTTACGTTTAATCCACGTAAACTATAAAAATTCGAGAGACTTGTATGAGTTGCAGAATCTTCGGGTAAAGGCACTTGATCGTATCGTTATCACTACGCGAAGGTGGACGCAGGTTAATGAAAAAATGCTCGCACTTTTCTGTCCATGTTTCGTGCACAACTGCCGATACCTTCTTAGTTCACCCTTGGTTATATACCAGGACACCACGTGGTCATCTAATCCATCGACCAATCAGGGGGTAGCTTTAGGTTACATCGACCAATGGACGTTTTGCTTTAAGGCCACAAGACACGTGTTTCTTGGGAAATAAGGGCACAGGCATTACGAACAAAATCGTATTTGCGGTGCCGAAGTTGGACGATCGAATACCGAACGATTGTTCTATTTTTTAATGAAATAATCATGCGTTACGTGAGACGCTTGATCTAAACTATCTTTCGAATGTCTGAAATTTCTTTTCGATGCTGTTGTCCCATTTTGATGCAGGGGTAAATCTGGTCATTTTTAAGTTCATCTTGATACAAACGTCAGGGGAGTTTCGGCTTTCTTGAGGTCCAGTTTTCGTTGATTACATAAACCTTCCTATTTCGTTATGTAACTGTTCACCCTGTGACCTGGCTATTGTCGTCTGTTAGCAGCGTGGCTGTTTGTAGTAGTGTTTAATGATATTGTGAAGAGGTGAATCCTTAAAATGTATCCCACATACATACTAACGCAAAGCAGGCTGCCCGCTCGTTAAATAGCGGGATTCGGCATTAAGATGACCTAATTTTCATGCTTTGCTTTGAACCGTTGCTATCGTGCTCGATTCAGGGCCTGTGACCACTAAAATGGTACTTGTACTTGTTACTATTACTGTTCTTGCTCTGTTTCCTATGTACATTCCCTCCAATTTAATTCAGCTACCAGAAGTTATACCCAAGGAGACCGTGCGATTAAGACAATTTCTCCAATCTAATTTCGTTCTTATTTTCTTGCGATTTCGTGGAATGGAAAATTGTTCAATTTCATTGCTGACACAAGTCGACGGGAGTATACAGTACAATTAACGTATTATCAACACATACTGGGGCTTCCCACAAAGGAGGTTACATGATAAAGATGTGGCTGAAAATCTACAAAAAATTTTAGTACAAATACTGCACAGTACGGTAATTATCTCTTAAAGATGAGTTAATGCAATTCGAACATTTATACTTTACTTCCAACATACAAAGATTTCTTTAAAAATTAAAACTTCTCAAATACAAGGATTAAAAATTAAGCAACAGCTTTGAGCAACTGAGTCGTATAATAAATTCCGGAGGTCCACATCGACACATGGGGTTAAATCATAAGTCATTTTTTATTTCGCTATAATTCGAAAATAAAGGAAGAGAGATAGGGGTAACAGTTTTTTTCGAGCAAAGTTACTCGGCCCGTAATAAGGGTGGAATGCGAGAAGCGGATGAAGATGAGGAGCCATCTTAGCCAACCTTTACGCCCCTGCCGTGCGTTCCCTCTGCTCGAGGAGACACAATGTGGAGAAAGAAAAAGAGGACGGTGGCGTGGAGGGTAACACTAGCCGAGTAAGCTCTGAACACTTTTCAGGATTCAGGGCTTAGCACCCCCTGGATCCTCAGGCTTCACGTCTGCCTGGCCCAACCTGCGACT